CCTTCCCTTCCCTTCCCCTCCCCTCCCTTCCCTTCCCTTCCCTTCCCCTCCCCTCCCTTCCCTTCCCTTCCCTTCCCCTCCCCTCCCTTCCCTTCCCTTCCTCTTTCTCCTTCCCTTTCCCTTTCCCTTTTTGGTCTTGTATAGAGTCTCCTAGTCTTCCTGGTGCTATTTAATAGGTTCTTCTAGCTTATAAATGTCTTGTCAATTAATTGTTGCTACTGGAGTTTTGATCAAATTCAGGTTAAAATATTTTTTTGGTTAGAGTATTTCAATAATGGTATAGTTCTATATGGAAGTAGATATTTGCCTATATTTTTGTTGTGCTATCATCTAAAAATAGCAAGATCTATTAATTCATTAGTTATAATATAAATATAAATGAAATTCTCCCATTTATATTATTTGGTATCCCATTGGTTCAGTACCTATATAAGAAAGGCAATTTAACTTCTTGATTCCAGAAACCCTTAATTTTTGGTATATTATCTTTGGATACAATCCCTGGACTCTCTTCTATGAAAAACAAAGGACCTAATATATCCTCTTCTTTTTCTACTATTCATCCCTTTCTGAACCTCCCTATTTTGTTATTACATTATTTTTATACTGTCAGGGTTTATCATAGTTTACAGTATTTTAAAACTCTAATTCTTGTGATTTATTTCTATTTGAATCACAAATGGAAGGCCAAATAAACAAGTCACAACATTACTTATTATGTTATTTATTGTAGAAGCAATCTATATGTTTGCTTTGGAAATGTAGTTATCATTAAGACTGCTATTTGAGGGTCACCTGGGTGGCTCAGTGGGTTAAAACCTCTGCCTTCGGCTCAGGTCATGATCCCAGGGTCCTGGGATCAAGCCCCATATCAGGCTCTCTGTTCGGCAGGGAGCCTGCTTCCTCCTCTCTCTCTGCCTGCTTCTCTGCCTACTTGTAATCTCTGTCTGTCAAATAAATAATTAATATCATTAAAAAAAAGACTGCTGTTTGAAATGGATACTTTTCTAAATTCAAAGTATCATGGATCCTCCTATTTTTCTTTATGGCTTCCTTTAATTTTTCTGGGTCATGTATAGTTTCACTGTTTCTTGATTGTCCTATGCTTGTCCACCTTCACCCCCAATTTTCTGTATTACCTCCTTAAATAAAATTATCATTTAGGATAGGTGGTTGGTGAAATTTCTGACTTCTTGAATGTTTGGTGATACTCTCTTTCTGCCCACTTAATGGATTGAATGACTAGATATGGAGTTCTAAGTTCAAAATATTTTCCCCTGGGAACTTTGCAAATATTGCTTTCTTTTATCAAAACATCCAGTGTTGCTCCTTGTTTTATTCAGTTCTGTGTGTCACGTGCTATATTCATCAATTTGTATACATCAGGTCATACATTTTATTAGCTAGAAAACACAAACGGAGGAAAGTGACATTATTGTCTGTCTCAGTTTCATAGATAAGTAGACTGATATAGGGAAAGTAAATAACTTGTCTAATATTATAAAACTATAGTATGTGTCAGAACTAGGATTAAAACCTAGGCATTCTGCCAATAATACTTATGCCTTTAACCACTTTACTTATGGACTCTCTGACTTACATTTCTTCATAGCATATCACCATCTTTCTCTTTGCTCTTGGAGCTCTGCAATTTAAAGTTGCTATTTCTAAGTGTGTGTTTCTCTTTTGTCATTATTTCTTCTTTGTACTTGGAAGAACTTTTCAGTCTAAAAATGTGTACTTTAACTGTGGTTCCATATTATTGTATGACTTTAAAGTTATATCTTTGGTTATTTTTATCTCCACTCAATTTAGAATCTTAGTTTTCTCCATCTGGTATTACTATGGGATGATCTTAAAACTTTTAAATCTATCCTTTGTGTTTCTTGGTATTTTTTCTATTTTTCATCTCCTTGTTTTTTTCTTCTGTCTTCTGAATTTCCTGGGGGTGCCTCAGTTGGTTAAGTGTCTGACTTCAGCTTATATCATGATCTCAGGGTCCTGGGATGGAGCCCCACATTGGACTCCCCACTGAGAGGGGAGTTTGCTTATCCCTCTCCCTCTGCCCCTCCTACCACTAGTGCTCTCTACGTCTCTAAATAAATAAATAAATCTTTAAAAAAATTTCCTGGATTTTATATTTCTGGCTTAAGATATCAACATGTCTATTTTATTGTTCTGCACATGATTTTTTCCTGAAATTATATTTAAAAATTTTATAAGCATTTATGAGCATTTAAATTTTTATGAGCATTTTTTAAAGGTTTTTATTTATTTATCTGACAGAGAGATCACAAATAGGCAGAGAGGCAGGCAGAGAGAGAGTGGGAAGCAGGCTCCCTGCTCAGCAGAGAGCCCAATGCAGGGCTTGCTCCTAGTACCCTGAGATCATGATCTGAGATGAAGGCAGAGGCTTAACCCACTGAGTAACGCAGGTGCCCCAAGCATTTTTTTTTTTTTTCTGTAGCAGTTTGTTATTGTTGCATTAGATAATATTGTAATTATTGGAAAGCTAATTTGAACTATTCTGTCCTTGAATCATGTTTATTCATCTGGCTTCTTCTTAATACCCCCCAAAGTCTAATGATTCTAGTTTTTAAATTTACACATATTTAATGGTTATTATGATGAGTAATTGGCTTTATTTTCCCTAATGTGCCTCTCCCTTAAATAAGAAAGAACTGCACATAGTGATATAAATTCTGTGTAAATGTTAAGTGGGGCATGAATTCAGAGTGAAATTTCATAAGGAGTTTCCTGTAGGCTGTGTGACAGGAGAGTAGGCAGTCAGGCTGCGGAGCCCCTTAACTGTCAAATTGAGAAAGGTTTTATTCTGCCATGATGGCTCTTGTTGAAAACTTGTATAGTGTCCAACATGTCCAACATGTCTCATCAGTGATTATTGTTATTTGGTTTTTCTGACAGAATGCTCAAGTTCATTCTCTTCTGCCTCTTTGACAGTTCTTTCTCAGGTACCTTTGCAGATGCTTCCTCTTCTCTCTTGGCATTTATTGTGTATTAGTGATCTACATAACTGGATTTTTAGTCCTTTTTTCTTCCATGATACTGTGTCTCTTTGTCCAAGCAAGCTTATCTATGTCAATGGACTTGTTTGCAATAATATTAAAATTACTCACATATTCAGGTCTAGCCCAGACCTTGTGTTTGACCTCTAGACCTATATATATATTTCATTTATTTATTTATTTATTTATTTTTAAGATTTTATTTATTTACTTGACGGAGAGACACAGCGAGAGAGTGAACATAGGCAGGGGGAGTGGGAGAGGGAGAAGCAGGCCTCCCACTGAACAGGGAGCCCAATGGGCTCGATCCCATGACCCTGGGGTCATGACCTGAGCCAAAGGCACATGCCCAATGCTGAGTCACTCAGGCACCCCACCTATATATATATTTTAAAGTTTTTATTTATTTATTATGCCAGAGAGGGAGAGAGAGAGAAGAGGGGAGAGCACAAGCAGGGGAAACAGCAGGCAGAGGGAGAAGCATGTTCCCTGCTTAGCAAAGATCCCGATGTGGGACTTGATCCCAGGACCCTGGGATCATGAACTGAGTCAAAGGCAGATGCTTAACTGACTGAGCCACCCAGGTGTTTCATAAACCTGTATATTTAATAACTCTTGTTACCTATCCTATAATAGGTCTTGAAATCAAGTCAAACTCAGACTTGCCACAAATTTGAATTCATGATCTTTCCCTGAAATGTGGGCTTGTTCCCAGGTTTCCTGCCATGGGAATGTCCTAGTCCTTCATCCTGCTGCATCAGGTAGAATCCTAAGAATCATCCTTGACAACCCTCAATCTCCCCTCTTCTCCATCCATATCAGATCCATTACCAAATTATGGCAAACTTATCTTCTAAATATTTAATATCTATAAGTGCCCAAACTACCAACAAACTGTATTACATCAAATTATGATCATTACCCTTCTAAACAATGGTTTTTCTTTCTGCTCCAGTAACAGGAAATTTGTTCCTATCCTATCTCTTCTCTCTATATTACTATATATTACTATAGCCAGAGTAATCTTTCAAAATGTAAAACCATCATAACACTACCTGCTTAAAATCCATCAGTGGATTTTAAGATGAAAACATGACCTCAAAGGCTCTGCATGCTCTTCTGTTTCTGGAACCCTGTAGCACAGCTAGCTTTTCCATCACCCTCTCCATTTCCAGCCTTGCTGGCTTCTATTTTGGATCTAGTACCACCCACGTTCATTCATGCTCTAAGACTTTTGTACATGGTGTTTGGATATGCCCTCTGCCTGGAATGCTACTCTTCCCTACTCATTTGTTTAATTAATTCTTTTTCAAAATTCAGCTCAAGCATTACTTAGGGAAGCTTCCTCTATTCTCTTTGACTTTGTCACATTTGTAATTTCCACTGTTTATGTAATTATCTATTAATATTCATCTTTCCTGATGGACTTTAAGCTCCATGAGAACTGACAGCATGTTGCCTTTTGTTCATTTTTGTATTCTCACTGCCTGATGTTTTGCTTAACATACAGTAGTTATTCAATACTATTTGTTGATGGAATAAATGAATTTCTAATTTTTCTTCTTTCTTTGCAGGTCTGTCATTTTCATTAATAACTGCTGCTTAGAGGTACCAAAGTAAAGGATATTTGCTATATTTAATATTTTCCATTTCCAGTTCAAGGCCCAGGTAGCAGCAACAATGGGTAATTTTCAATTGAAAGTTTTTATAAATTATAAAATAATGATTCTTTAAGCTATACAGATTTGTTTTTTTTACAGATTTAATAGAATTAAAATAACTGTTATTTCTTTTTCAAATAATAAGCAATCTTTTTTTATAGGCTTAGAAGAACACATGATGTTTTTAGAGAGAATGTCACAGCTAATTTTGAGTGCAGTACCAAGAGCTGAGTGAGTATTATAAGAAATAAAGAGATGTACAATTTGACATATTTCCTATTGTCTATTTGACATTAAAGTAATGCCTATCTAAAAAAAGTAATGCCTGGTTCCATCAAGATGGCAGAGGAGTAGAGGACTCCATTTCAACCAGCCCCCTGAATTTAGCTAGAAATCTACCAGGGCACTCTGAATACCACATGAAATCAGCCTGAGATTTAAGATTATACACATCTGGATCTCTATGGGGGCAGAGGATCATGTTAAGAGGTACAAAAGACATAGTTGGGATTGCACAGACAGGTATAAACAGAAGGGGGATAAACAGAAGGGGGAGGGAGCTACCAGAAGCCAGCCATTGGAAAGTAATACCCCAAAGCAAAAGTGCCCTGCACTTGGGGACCAGCGATAACTTGGAGACTGGTGGCTATGAGAGGGAAGGGACTAATAACAGTATTCAAACAGAACAAAGGGGCTTAAGGGATAATTGCTGGGACTGGTTGGCCACAGGGGCGGACCTAAGCTCATGGTCCCAGGACTGGCTGCAGCGGCTGCCCACCCGTGCCTAAGAGGACCCAGCTTGGATTGGAGGCCACAGTCCCAGGAGCAGCAGTCACCAGGGCTGGGCTTGCCTGGACAAGTATTGCTCACAGTTTTGGTCCACAGAGGTGTAGAGACAAGTGGGGGCCTCAGTCGACAATTGGGAGGGTTGCTGGGGATGCGCATCGCCTGTGGGAGGCTGTGGTATTCAGTGGTGCTTCTAGAGGGAGAGTCTGTGTGTTGTGGAAGATTCAGAGAGGAACAGACTGTGTGGCTTCTCTCTGAGGCCAAAGTCAGGGTGTGGACAGTTTACTTTGCTCTGACCCACAAAAAGGTACAAAAAATTGCCAGAGAACAAAAGCCTCCAGATTTAAAAAAGCCCGAAAAACAGATTTCCATGGAGCCCAGCCCCTTGATAGTGGGCAGGGCAACTCTGCCCAAGCAGGATTGACTGAAAAACAATGCAGCAGGCCCCTCCCCCAGAAGACAAGCTGAAAGAATAAGAGGACAACCACCACAGGGTCCCCATAAAACTGTAAAACCTGGACACCAGGGTAAAGCAGTATATCAAACTCCTGGTATTGTCCCACAGCCTGTATATTGCTTAGATACAACTTTTCTCTCTCTCTCTCTCTCTCTTTTTTATTCTTTCTAATGACTCTTGGTGTTTTTTGTTGTTGTTGTTTTGTTTTGTTTTAACCTTCTTATCATTTCAACTAGATGTTTAGTACAACATATTCCATAGTAAAACTTAAACTTTTTCATGCATATGCTTTTTTCTTTTTCTTTTTTAAATATATATAGATATAAGCTTCACTGTAGTCCTTTTCTCCCCTATTCAATACCATATATATATATATATATATACCGTGTGTGTGTGTGTGTGTGTGTGTGTGTGTATGCCAGTTTTAATTTCCCTGTATCTTTGGGAAGTAGAGTTCTCTAACAGAGAACTCAAAATACACCCAGGAAGAACTGAAATACCTTTCCTAACCCACACTGAGGGATTATAACCACCTTCCCCTCACTCCCATACTCCCATTGTTTTATTTTGGGTGCCTTTTCTCTTTCTTTCTTTCTTTCTTTCTTCTTTCTTTTTTGGTTGGTCTTTGTTTTTGTACTTTATAAATCTTACTCTTGGGGCTCATTTTGGCTGTTTTTTGTTTGTTTGTTTCTTTTTGGTGGTGACTAATAGCTCTGAACCTTCCCAGGAAGCACCTTGCCTAGATAGTGGTTGATATTTTTGGCTGTACACCCCCTCAACCACAACTCAACAGAATGACTAGGAGGAGGAACTCCCAACAAAGAAAAGACCCAGAGACAATGGCCTCTCCCACAGATCTAATGGATATGGATCTAAGCAAGTTGTCAGAAATAGATTTCAGGGTAGCCTATGAAGCCTATGTAGTCAGGCTGGAGAAAACTACCAAGACTGAAACAGGAAGGAATCAACAACATGAATAGACCCATAACCAGTAACAAGATTGAAGCAGTGATTAAAAAAAAACCTCCCCCAAAAATAAGAGTCCAGGGCCTGATGGATTCCCTGGGGAATTCTACCAAACTTTCAAAGAAGAAATAACACCTATTCTCCTGAAGGTGTTTCAAAAAATAGAAACAGAAGGAAAACTTCCAGACTATTTCTATAAAGCCAGCATTACCTTGATCCCCAAACCAGCCAAAGACCCTATCAAAAAGCAGAATTTCAGACCAATATCCCTGATGAATGTGGACACCAAAATTCTCCATAAGATCTTAGCTAATAGGATCCAACAGTATTTTAAAAGGATTATCTGTCATGACTAGGTGGGATTTATCCCTGAAATGCAAGGTTTGTTCAACATCCGCAAATCAATCAAAGTGACAGAACATATAAAGAAGAGATAAGAACCACATTGTCCTCTCAATTGATGCAGAAAAAGCGTTTGACAAAATACAGCATCTGTTCCTGATTAAAACTCTTCAGAGTATAGAGATAGAAGAAACATTCCTCAACTTTATAAAATCCGTCTATGAAAACCCACAGTGAGTATGTTTCTCAATGGGGAAAAGCTGAGAGCCTTTCCACTGAGATCAGGAACACAAGGATGCCCACTCTCACCACTTTGTTCAACATAGTACTAGAAGTCCTAGCAACAACAATCAGACAACAAGAAGAAATAAAAGGTATTCAAATTGACAAAGAAGTCAATCTCTCTCTCTTCGCAGATGACATGATACTCTATGGAAAACCCAAAAGACTCCACCCCCAAATTACTAGAACTCATACAGCAATTCAGTAATGTGGCAGAATACAAAATAGTGCATAGAAATCAGTTACCTTCTTATACGCTAGCAAAGTAACTGTGGAAAGAGAAGTCAGAGAATCATTTCCATTTACAATAGCACCCAAAACCATAAGATACCTGGAATAAACCTAACCGAAGAGGCAAAGGGTCTATACTCTAGGAACTACAAAACAGTCATGAAAGAAATTGAAGACACAAAAAGATGGAGAAACATTGCATGCTCATGGATCAAAAGAATAAAAATTGTTAAAATGTTTGTGTTGCCCAGAGCAATCTATACTTTCAATGCCATCCTGATCAAAATACCAATGGCATTTTTCAAAGTGCTGGAACAAACTATCCTAAAATTTGTATGGAACCAGAAAAGACCCCAGGTTGCCAAAGAAATGTTGAAAAAGAAAAATACAGCTGGGGCCATCACATTGCCTGATTTCAAGCTATATATACACAGCTATATTACAAAATAGCATGGTACTGAAAAAAACAAAAACAAAAACAAACCAGACACATAGACCAATGGAACAAAATAGAGAGCCCAGATATGGACTCTCAACTCTATGGTCAACTAATCTTCAACAAAGCAGGAAAAAATATTCAATGGAAAAAAGACAGTCTCTTCAATAAATGGTGCTGGGAAAATTGGACAGCTATATACAGAAGAATGAAACCCAACCAATCTCTTACACCATACACAAAGATAAACTCAAAATGGATTAAAGATGTGAGACAGGAATCCATCAGAGTCCTAGAGGAGAACGTAGGCAGGAATCTCTTCTACAGCAGTCACAGCAACTCCTTTCAAAACACATCTCCAAAGGCAAAGGGAAACAAAAGTAAATATGAACTTTTGGGACTTTATCAATATAAAAATCTTCTGCACAGCAAAGGAAACAGTCAACAAATCAAAGAGATAACCCCAAGAATGGGAGAAGGTATTTACAAATGACATATTAGACAAAGGGCTGATATCCAAGATCTATAAAGAACTTCTCAAACTCAACATCCAAAAAGCAAATAATCAAGTCAAAAAATGGGTAGAAGATATGAACAGACACTTCTCCTAAGAAGAACTACAAATGACTAACAGACATATGAAAAAGTGCCTGTTAAATGAAACACAAAAAAGTTCATTATCATTAGCCATCAGGGAGATTTAAATCAAAACCACATTGAGATACTATCTTACGTCAGTTAGAACGGCAAAAATTGATAAGGCAAGAAAGGACAAATGTTGGAGAAGTTGTGGAGAAAGGGGAACCCCCTTACACTCTTGGTTGGAATGCAAATTGGTGCAGCCACTTTGGAAAACAGTGTGGAGATTCCTCAAAAAATTAAAAATTGAACAACCTTATGACCCAGCAATTACACTACTGGGTATTTACCCCAAAGACACATATGTAGTGAAAAGAAGGGCCATATGCACCCCAATGTTCATAGCAGCAATGTCCACAATAGCCAAACTGTGGAAAGAGCTGCGATGCCCTTCAACAGATGAATAGATAAAGATGATGTGGTTCATACACACAATGGAATATTACTCAGCTATCAGAAATGATGAATACCCAACTTTTGCATCAAAATGGATGGGACTAGAGGAGATTATGCTAAGTGAAATAAGTCAAGCAGAGAAAGTCAGTTATCATATGGCTTCACTTGTGGAATATAAAGAATAACATGGAGGACATTAGGAGAAGGAAGGGAAAAATGAACGGGGAGAAATCGGAGTGGGAGATGAACCATGAAAGACTATGGAACCTGGGAAAAAAATCTGAGAGTTTTAGAAGGGAGGGGAGTGGGGGAATGGGTGAGTCTGGTGATGGGTATTAAGGAGGGCACGCATTGCTTGGAGTGCTGGGTGTTAGATGCAAACAATGAATCATGGAACACCACATCAAAAACTAATGATGTACTGTATAGTAACTAACATAGCATAATAAAAAAGTAATGCATATCTATCTCAGTATATGTGTCATAGTATATTTTAAATATAATTATATATATACATATTTATATGATTAATAGAACTTTGAGAGCTTTTTGATGCTGAATGGACACAGTTTTCTCTTGCTTTATTTGTGCACAACTGTCAATGAACCCATTGTTATATAAAGAAATAAGGTTGATTAAGTGGGAAGCATTTAATACCAGTCTATATGCAGAATAGAGGTGTTAAATTCTGATTCCAATCCAGATTTTGATACGTGATCTTACATAATTTGCTCTTATCTCTTTGAGCCTCAGTTTCTGTATCTATAGAATGATAATGATCCTGTCTTTTCCCTATGAAGGATAGTCATGCATATGGATATATTTGAAAAGTCTTAGCATACAGCCTGACATAAAATAATTACTCCGCAAATCACTTGCTAATAATAATGATAATGGATAATAATAACAATGCTACTGCCTTTTTTGGGCTTTATTGAGTCAAAATGTAATTTTTGTTTTAACTTTTTTCATTTCAGATATTCCAGTTTATTCAATGATTTTGTTGAATCTGAATTTTTTCTGATTGATGGAGATTCATTACTTATTACATGCATATGTGAGAAATCATTAAAACCGGGGCAGGAGCTCCACTTCTTTTATCTGGTTGAATACTATCTTATGGATCTTGCCAGTAAAGGAGGACAATTTGCCATAGTTTTCTTCAAGGTAATGTGACAGTAGAGTTCTTTACTATGATTTAAGAGCTAAAACTAAAATTCCTTACTATTTTGTAATTTTCCCCCTTATTACAAAGTTAAATATATCTAAAACAATTCAGAAAAGTTAAAGGGAACAACAGAAAAAAATACTTAAAATCTCAGTATTCAGAAATTACCATATTTAAGATTATATTTTAGTGATGCTTGGGTGACTCAGTTGGTTAAGTGACTGGCTGAGGTCATGATCCTAGGGTCCTGGGACTGAGGCCTGAGTCTGGCCCCTTGCTCTTCAGGGAACCTGCTTCTCTCTCTGCCTGTTCTTCCTGTCATTCCCTCTGCTTGTACACACTCTCTCTCTTTCTGTCAAATAAATAAATAAATAAATCTTTTTAAAAAAAGAGTATATTTTATTCTCAGTGATTAAATTTCATGTAAAGACACACAGGATCATGAAGGAAGATGAGCTATCCTCTCAACCAAAACTCAGTTGATCTCTGGATTCTACTTTTCCAACTCTGAAAACTGTGTCTGTCTTCAGAACTCAGCAATTTATTTGAGCCTTGAAAATGTCAAACTCTTTAATACTGCTTTGCTTATTATTTGCCCTATAATGAATACTTCTGAGGGAATATATTTGATCTTCCTTTTCCAATTATGAATATAATTAGTAAAATATTAAGAGTTTCAAATACAGGTAGGTATAACCACTACCACCCCTTCCTTATTCTGTCCCTAAAGGTAACCACTGTGTTTCTCTTAAGGATTTTGGAGTATGTCTGTTCAGTCACTTTGCAATCTACATTATTGCTAGATTTTTAAACATTGCTGACTTCTTGCAAGCAATGTTTTAAATAAAGAGCCAGGATTCTAGTCTAATGTTGACAGTCTGGTTAACTGTACTAATTCTGATCTGTTGAGAAAAAACTCTGCTGCTTCAGGAAGATCATTCTAAATTGGAAAAGTCCTCTCAAAGTGATTCACCTTGGCTTCCTGTTCTGCATAATTTATATCCACCATTTGCTTTTGCATGTTTTTCTGTCTTTTTCTTTCTGAAGTGACATTGGAGAGAAAAAGAATCAGAACACAAAAGGAAAGTAGGATAAACCTTGACTATTATGTGCCTGCTTAAAGGGGACATATGTATTTAAGTCCAAGTTGTGATTTATGGCTTGTATTTGAGAAATGACTGTCAAGGCTTAAGGTTCTATTCCCTGACTAAAGCTGAACAAAACTGTGTTGGAACACATTCCTTTAGTGACTTTAATGATATATATAAACCAATTAAATGATAATTTCAAAAGAATATACTTTATCCCATCCCCACAGGATGCTGAGTATGCATATTTCAACTTCCCAGAACTTCTTCCATTGAGAACTGCTTTAATTCTTCATCTTCAGCATAATACCACCATTGATGTTCGAACAAAATTTTCTGGATGCCTGTCACAGGAGTGGGAGGCTTTCTTGGAAGACACTTACCCATATTACCTAGTAGTTGCAGATGAAGGCCTGAACCATCTACAAACATACCTTTTCAACTTTTTAATTACTCAGTCTTGGGCGATGAAGGTCAACGTTGTGCTTTCCTCAGGGCAAAAATCTGATATTCTTCGACTTTATGCATATCTTATGCCAAGCAGTCAGAAAAACCAAAAATTTTTCAAAGAGGTAACCGATACCTAAAGACAAATTTCTTCTAGAATTTTATAAAATTTAATGACTCCAGTCATTAAACTTTTTCCAACTCTAGTTGCCTACTGTGAGTAGGAACAGCCCTGGGATTGATTTTTGTATTGGGAAGAGGTACTATATATAATCACTTGAACTCCTTTTATTCTAGTGAAGCAATTTCTGAATCTGAGTTTGAGGGGTGCCTTAACAAACATGCTTCCCAATCTCTCCTTAAGAAGTTTTTTTTAAGTGTTAGATTTTATCTTTAGTATAATAATGTATTTCCTTGTTTATTGAAAACTCATTTTAAAGAGGTTATTTCATTTATCTCTTTACGGATGTTATGTGCTCAAAATAAAAATGTGGTGTATGTTGATAGTTCTTGTTGCTGGATGATAGGTACCTGGGGGAAGATTATGCTATTCCTTATTTATGTGTGTGTGTGTGTGAAATTTTTCATAATAAAATACAGTGTATTAAGTGGGCACACTCTTTGAGATATTGGAAATGTTCTAAAATTAAATTGTAATGGTGGCTGCACAACTGTAACTTCACTAAAAGCCATTGAATTGTCCCCTTAAAAAGTGAGTGAATTTTATATTATGTTAATTATACTTTTCATAGAGTTGTTAAAAATGCACTAAATTCCCAGACAAAAATTAATTCAGCAAAAACAAAATTGTGCTGCTTGGCAGGCTTTAAAAGAATTGATGATCTGTAATTACATTAGTGTATTTTTTTTAAACTGGGAAATACATCTTAACAATTGTATCTTCAGTATATGATTATCTGTAGTTGGAAAGTGATTATATATTTTATTTATGACAATTTATCTGACTTGCCTTCCTTTTACAGAATAAAAAGAAGATTGAGAGTGCTTATAAAACCCTGATTAAACAATTGGAAGAGTATAGAATTTCAGCACTAGAATCTCTTTTTGGAAAATTAAAATGGAAAAATATGATGAAAGAGGTACTGAAACCTTAAAAAAAACCCTTTTTATTTGCGTTAATTTTTTGATTATGAAAAAGTTGCAGAAATAGTACTGATTTCCCATAGACTTCTCACCCAGATTCCCCTAATATTAGCATCTGATGTGACCATGGTACATTTTTCAAAACTAGGAAATGAACATCAGCATAATACTATTAACTAAGCTTCACACATTATTTGAGTTTCACTTACTTTTCCACAAATGTCCTTTTTCTGTTCCAGGATTCTGTCCAGCATCCCACATCCATTTATTTTTTACTCTCTAGTCTCTTTCAATCTGTAGTAGTTTCCTTGTCTTCTGTGCTTTTGATGTTTTTGAAAGGTATTGATCAGTTATTTATTTTTTTAATATTCCTCAATTTGGGTTTGTCTGGTGTTTCTAATGACTGGGATGAAGTTATATATTTTTGGCAAGAATGCCAATGAGTTGGTACTGTGAACAATAATATGTCAAAGGGTTCATGATATTGATATGTCTTAACACTGATTAAGCTGGTGCCTTCTAGCCTTCTCCACCGTAAAGTCGCTATCTTTCCTGACTATGTAAATCCTGTTTTTTCTCAGACTTTTGCTAATTAATTTTAGAACCCATCAATGGATCTTGTCTGCAACAATTATTGCTAGGTATGTTTGCCCAATAGGTATTTTGTATTTCACTCTTTCCTTCTACTTTTCTTACTTAGAATTCTGTAAGGGAAAGCTCCTATATCTCTGCCCTTTACTTGTTTATTTACTTATATCAGCATAGACTAGTGGACATTTTACACTATGGATCAAAGTCCAATATTACAATAGTTTTGGTGCCCAAATAATTCTAGATTTGAACATTAGAGACTCCTTCAAATTTGCACCTATGTTCTTTTGCATGCCCCAGCCCCTTCCCATCTTTTTCTCTTCTAAAACCACTTTATTGAGGTTTGATGACATACCTTGTGGTGATGGTTACATGACTGTATATTTATCTTCAAATTCATCAGGCCCCATCTTTTTGAGCACTGTTTTACTTTTTGAAACCACAACTCGTAATTTCTTTGCTTCAACCTTGAAATCAACCGCTTCTCCAAGGAGTTCTGGTTGCTTTTGTGGAAAACTATTTAGAAGCCATGATCTGGGAAATATGTTTGTTCATTTCTTTTTTATTTTTAAATTTATTTATTTGACACAGAGCACAAACAGGGGAAGCATCAGAGGGAGAGGGAGAAGCAGGCTCCTCACTGAGCAGGGAGCCTGATGTGGTGCTTGATCCCAGAACTCTGGGATCATGACCTGAGCCGAAGGCAGATGCTTAACTGACTGAGTCATCCAGGTGCCCCTGTTTGTTCATTTCTACTGGGGTATCATTGCAATGAGGATTTTTCAGCAGACACAGCTAGGAAATATATGTATATATGCTAAGCCATGCATCTACACCTGTTTTTTTTTTTTTTAAAAGATTTTATTTATTCATTTGACAGACAGAGATCACAAGTAGGCAGAGAGGCAGGCAGAGAGAGAGGAGAAAGCAGGCTCCCCGCTGAGCAGAGAGCCCGATGCGGGGCTCTATCCCAGGACCCTGGGGTCATGACCCGAGCCAAAGGCCTTAACCCACTGAGCCACCCAGGCGCCCCCACCTGTCTGTTTTTTAATCTATCATCTATCGTAAATATCACATATTTATACCAGTAACTTCTACTTTGATCCAACTTCCTATGCTTCATTTTACCCTTCCCCTTTCCTTATTTGTAATTTTTCTTCAATTTATGAGAAATTTAGCTCTCATTATGCACTATATGTATATAAAGTTGTTTTAGGATTGCTAACCATATCTTGTGAGAAACATATTTACTAAATGGTTACAGGATTTATGTGCAGTTCTTTTTATCTTTAGTCATAGAATACATAAAATACTGCTTTCTAAAGTTATTTAGGTTAGTTCTTTTCTTGCAGGCCCCATTCAGTTTGGTTGTTATTCATTACTAATACAGTTAGGTTCATTGGTTAGTGTTTGTATTTCACTTTGGGTCCCTGCCACCCATTTACAGTTTGTTTTTAATTATCTGTTTATTTTGGAGGGTATGTGAAAGGTGTAAGAAGCATACTTATGATTCTAAGAATCAGAGATATACAAAAAGATAGGTTCAAAGAAGTGATACTTTGTTCTTATCCCTGCTGCTCTGATCCCATTCTCCTCTACAGTTACCCCTTTCCTAAATACTTTTCGTAAGTGATTTGTCTCTTTAGTTTCAAGTTTATCTTTCTTGTATTATTATTGTTATTATTTTTTGTACAAAAAAGCAGATGTGTGTATTTTCTTATATCTTCTTTCTTAAATAAAGGATCATATATATAGATATTTTCAGTACCTTTCTTTTTATACTTAACAGCATATTTAGCAATCATTTTAAAACAATTTATAGATATCTTCTTCATTATGTTATATAGCTGCATAGCACTCCCTCATGTGGATGTACTGTAATTTGTTTAACCAGTTTTCTATTATGCAATTTATACTTACTTTTAACATTTTGCAATTATAATCAATGCTGTAATAAATAATCATTTGTAACATATGCAATTTTTTTATTATTGGAGTTATAGCTTCAGAGTAGATTTTAAAAATGGAATCGATGAGTCAAAAGATAGAGATGAACCATGAGAGACTGGACTCTGAGAAATAAACTGAGGGTTTTGGAGGGGAGGGGTGTGGGGGCTTAGGTGAGCCTGATGGTGGGTATTAAAGAGGGCACGTATTGCCTGGAGCACTGGGTGTGGTGCAAAAAAGAATGAATCTTGGAACACTGAAAAAATAAAATTAAATAGAAAAAATAGGATGATAAATATATATAAAGTTAAGGTATTATCATCACTTAATAATGTTATGCTGCTGGGGCACCTGGGTGGCTCAGTGGTTTAAGCCTCTGCCTTCAGCTCGGGCATGATCCTAGGGTCCTGAGATCGAGCCCTGCATCGGGCTCTCTGCTCAGCCAGAGCCTGCTTCCCCCTCTTTTTCTGCCTGCCTCTCTGCCTACTTGTGATCTCTCTTTCTGTGTCAAACAAATAAATAAAAATCTTTTAAAAAAATTAAAAAAAATGTTATGCTGTAAACTGTTTCTTTGTTAAAAGGATTTGAAATTGTTTAGTTTTATGGAGACAATGAAAGTATTTTGAGAGTTGTAAATCTCTCTGCAAAGTAATATGACTAAGAATAATAAATAATAATAAACATAAAAAAGGTAAATGTATATGTTGCTTACTTAGGTTTTGTTCATTTTCATTCTAGAAGGATTATATCATTTTTTTATCTTTCAATTTTAAGTCTTCTCTCTATATTACAGATATTAGCACTTTGTGATATATATTATGAATATTTTCTTCCAACTTAGTTGGTTTTTACTTTATGATTTTTTGTTGTGTACATTTTTAAAATTTTTAATGTCAAATTTATTAATTTTTTTGTTGTGTTGTTGCCTCTAGACTTTGAGTCATAGTCAGAAAGACTTGGCCTACATACATACATGAAAGAGGATTTGCCTGTGGTTTCTTCCTATACTTAAAATTTTTAAAAACTTAGATTCTTAATCTATTTGTAATTCATTCTTATAGATAGTGTGAGGTATAGATATAATTTTTATTTTTTCAAAGGGATGCTCAGTAACATTTATTAGAAAGTCCATTTTTATCTCAGTGATTTCAGATGAAACATTTATTAAATTTCTATATGTTTTTGGAAATAAATCTGGACTTTCCACTCTGTTCCTCTGGTTTATTTACAAATTTTATACTCTTTTGATTAGAAAGACTTATTAGTATTTTTAATACTATTTCTATATAAATGTAGAATATTTATATAATATATAAAATATATATACTATAATATTTTATAATATTTTATATATTATAGTATATATAGATTTATATATATTTATTATATATATAATATATAAAATATTATATATTTTTAATACTATTATAAATACTAATGTATTTATAATACATTAAAAATGTATGGCGGGCTCTGGGAAGGGCGGGCTCCTCCGGCAGTGCCCTGTCGGCGCCCGGCATTGACCTATTTGGGATAGACGGGCCCCTAGAGGGGCCCCGGGCACACAGGGAAGCAGAAAACCAAACATTTCACTGGGAAAGGACACACTCCCTGGCCTTGGGAGGAGCACAGTGAGTTCTTCACAGAGCCACGCCGTCGCAGTGCGTTCTGACTGTTTTCTCTCCATGTTTGTAAATCTGTAATATACCATTCTCTGTGGCCTGTTTTTCCTGGAAGAAGAAGAAGAAAAAAAAAAAGGTTTGGCAGGCCATCTTTTTTTTATACTTAAAAGTAGCCTTAAGAACAATAATAAAGTGCTCTTAAAAACAAAAACAAAATTATATTATTATATTATATATATTATATTATATATTATATAAATATATAATATTTATATATACTAATACTAATATATAATAGTATATTTAATACTATTTAATACTACCCGCAATACATTTTTAATGTATTGTTTAGCTGGGTTTTCCAGGTATAGTTCTTCTCTTACATTCATTTTGCATTTTTATTTTTCTATCTGAACTTTTGTTATCAACTTGTCTAAGTTAAAAAAAATCTTGTTATTTTTGTTGGAGTATATTGAACTTATAAGTTAAACTGGAGAGAATTGGCATTTTTATAATGTTGACTTATTTCATGCAAGAAGAAGGGGTGTTTTTACGTTTGTTCAAATCTATTTTTGTGAGTCAAAAAATTTTCTCTTATATGTTTTGTATATTTCTTTTTAAATTTTCTTCCTAAGCATTTAATGTTTTGCTGTTATTAAGTAAATTTTGCTCTTATTCCAAGATTTTATCTACTATTGTGTTCTTTGATCCTTTGTTGTTTATACATATGAAGTCTATCGATTTTTGTGTCAATTCTATGTGCTGATGTCTCATTGGTATTTTAATTTTTTAATTAATTATTCTTTGGGGTTATCCACATATACTATCATATAATCTGTGAACAGTGATAGTATTAAATCTTCTTTATCCATTCCTATGCCTGAAATTACCTTTTCTTGTCTAGGTGCTTTAGGTAACAAACTTGGTACAATAGTGGATAGTAGCAGATATAGTGAGCATTTTTGCCTTTTTCCTAATCTTAGTGGGAATGTCTCTAGTGTTTTGGCATATATGTGTATTCATTCTGATGTTAAGATTGTATCCCTCAACTTGGATTTTTTAAGTGTTTTTATCATGAATGTGTATTGAAAGTATAGATACAATTATGATTTTTAAATATTAGCTTTATTAATATGGTATTTTGATATAATAGATTTTTAAATATTGAAGCAAATCTGTTCCTGGAATAAATCCCATTTGATCATGTATTATTTTCTTGATGTGGTGTGGGTTCTGGTTGCTAATATTTTGTTTAGAATTTTTACATCAGTATGCGTGAGTGATGCTTTTCTATAGTTTTCTTTCTGTGCACTATAATTATTTGGTTGTGTATCAGTGTCATTGATGCTTCATAAAAAAAGATTAGAATATTTTCTTTTTCTTTTAAGTATTCCAAAATAATTTATGGATCACTGGGATTATGTGGTTTTTAAAGATTAAAATAGAATTTCTCTATAAAGCCATATGGAACTGGTGATTTTTTGTGGGGCAGTTTCTTAATTTTCTCTATTTGTCCTATAGAAATTGGTTTATTTAAGCTTAGTAACTCCAGTGGGGTCGATTTTTATAATTAATCCTTATAATGAAGTTATCCATTTATTTACATTTCAAATTTATTTGCATAGAAGTTTACAAAGTAAGGCATATGACTTTGTAAAAATTGTTTCTATTTTAGTAGTTATTTTTCTTTACATTTTTATTCTGCTCACTTTTTATTTCTATTTATTAATGATCAAATTTGCTGATGGATTGTCTGTTTTTTAAAGTTTTTTAAAAAATCCCTGGAATTCTGATTTATTAATTAGATATATCTACCAATTTTCTCTTCTTAATTTTGCTAACTTTTATCTTTATTTTTCACCTCTTTTACTTCCCTTTAGTCCAGTTTGTTTTTCTTTTTTAGATTTTCTTTTTGGAGCTGAGAATTAAACTCATTTTTTTATTCTTTAATATTTATTGTTAAATATGTTTAATACAATGAATTTTGTTTTGGTCACTGCTTTTAATTTATCCCATTAATTATGATATGTAGTGTTTTTATTATCATTTTTATAAATTGTATTTGTATTTCCTTTTCACTTATAAGTAGCTTTGTAAAAAATGTTTTTAAGCTTTAGATTGAAGGGTCTTTGTGCCTTTTTTAAAGAAACTAAATTCTACCTTTATTATATTTTGATCAGAGAGCTGTTTGTAGTGTTTCTACACTATGGAAGTTACTGATGTTTTCTTTTTGACTTAACATATGACCAATTTTTATGGATGTGCTGGGGGCACTTAAGAGGAATACATATTCTGTATCACCAGAGTTTAATTCATAGGATCTACACTATTGATTATTCTTTTAAGTCATCTTATTTTTTGTCTACTTGATTTCTCTTGTAATGAAAGTAGTGTATTAAATTCTGTTATTAATAATATGTTTATAAATATAGCTCCTTTAATCTCCTGTAATTTTTGTATCATAAAGTCAGTTATGACATTATATGTTGCATAATTATTCATATAAGATGAATCATTCATAAAGGTTCTGTCGCCATTATGGATGGCTTTTAGAATAAAAGAGTGCTTTTCTTTTTCACATTTAGTGCCCCTTTCTTTCTTTCTTTCTTTCTTTTTTTTTAACATTTAGTGCTTTTGAACTTGAATTCTCCCTATACTGCTGTAAAAATTGCTAGCCTCTCTTCTCTCCTCCCCCACCATTTGCCTGGTATACTTTTATCCAACCCTTTATTTTTAGTCCTTCTGAGTCACTTTATTTAAGTTGTGTTTCTTGCACACCACATGTATTTGAGTCATTGAAAATTCTTCACATATTTTATTTTTACTTGATGCATAATATTTCCCTAATGCTAAACACCTAAATTATCTGAGAATTGATTTCTAAAAATAATTCTATATGAACATCTTGGTGCATAAATCTTGGTACACAGTTTGTGTTATTTACCTAGCCTGGATACATAGAACTTGAATAGACAGTCACAAAGTATCAATATATTTAATAGTAATCATATGTGTTGCTAAATATACCTATCTCTAGCAAAGCATAAGAGAAATGACACATCACTTGATTTCCAGTGCTGTTATCATTAGAATATTCTAATATTTATTAATTTGTAAATAAAAATATGCTATTTAATTGTTCACATATTACTAGAGAGAGAGTTCAAATATTTTTTCTATTTTGTTAATATTTATATTTCTTCTGTGAATTATCTGCTCATGTCTTATTAAAGGCCAAGATGTTTTATTATTGATTTATAATAATTTACAATAATTTACAGCTCTTTACATAGTTACATTTTAATTTTACTAAAACATGTATCTTCCCATCTTAAAATTTTATCATTTTTAACAGAAATTTTATAGTTTTATGTAGTCATACCTATCTTTGTATGATTTCTTCTAGTAAGATTACTTATGAATAAAAATATTTTTAAAATATCCTGACATTTACAGTTTTCTTTTGTCACAGGCACATGAAACTATTTCTCAGCTTAAGCAACTCTGGCCAGAAGGATCTGACATTCGACGTGTTCTTTGTGTTACTTCATGCTCATTGTCTTTGAGAATGTACCATCACTTTTTAGAAAACAGAAAGAAGACTACGTCTGATGAGAAAACTAACATCCAAGAGGTGTGATTGTTGTAGCTTTACTGGGAAACACCATTGCTTTCCACTTTTGAAATTTTACTGATTTTCATCTACCTTTTCTTCCATTTGGTACTTTATTTATTTCCCCAACTTATATAAATTTCTCCCAAAAGATGGAAAACCTGGAATTTGCTTATCAGAAATATTTATGATGCTGTTATATGATTTAGTGTTTTACTATACAGACGTTTCCCCCAGTACACATTTAGTCAAATTTATCCAATCATCTAGAAGAAGGGGTAATAAGAAAGGAAATTAGCTTTTGATGAGAGCTTACATTATAATGTTCTGTGTTCTTTATATGCCTTGTGTCTTATATTCTCACAACAGCATTTTAAGAGAGGTATTTATTTGCATTTCACATATGGAAACACCTGAGGTTCAGAAAGTCCAGGTAATATTTTTTTTTTTAATTGTGTTATGTTAGTCTCCATACAGTACATCATTACTTTTTGATGTAGTGTTCCAAGATTCATTGTTTATGTATAACACCCAGTGCAATACAACACTCCATGCAATACATGCCCTCCTTAATACCCATCACCAGGGTCACTCATCCAACCCCCTGCCCCCTAAAACCGTCAGTTTGTTTCTCAGAGTCCACAGTCACTCATGGTTCTCCAGGTAACATTCCTTAATTAAATTGTGGTGTGGAATGAGGATTGAACCTGTATCTGTCTTGTTGAAATTCCGTAACACCAAACTGTCTTTATAAAGAACATTCTTGCTGTAGTGTCTTAGTGCCATCCTAGCTGGAGGAAATACTAAAGCTCTTAACCTTCTTTATGGTTGATAGAGTTCATTAAGAATCTGTTGGTCAGTATGGGTTTGCTGGCCTGCTAAACAGTCATCCCTATATATATGTGTTCATATGCACACACATACACACACACATGCACACATACTATTTTGTTATACAATCTGACTCCTGGGGGATTCTTGCCTGAATTTTTATTAAAGTAAAATGAAGCCTTTTGTAACTTTTTGTACATTCTCAGAAATGAATAGGGTTTACTACCTTTTACCTAGCATCATTTATATTTGATTTTCCAATATCTACTTGAATATATTCTTTTTTTTGTTAATTATAGTTCTACTTGAATACATTCTTAGTAAAACATCTTTTATGTCATTAGATATGACATTTTAAATTATTATCACAAAAATGGTACCAAACCAAGTATTTCTTGCTGGAACTTCTAGGCATTATACCCTATTTGGCCCTGTGGAGGCACTCCGAAATAAATCATAGTTTTGTTTCACTGACAACACTGCAAACATTTGAAGATGGCTAGGAGATCCTTGTCCCATCATGTTAAATATGCCCATTTCTTTACCCTTTTTTAAATTGGATAAGTTCTTTTAGATGTGTCCTGGTTTCTTCACTCTAATAGTATTCAGTGTAACTTCTAAAATACAATGCTTTGGACAGAATAGGACATTTAAAGCATGGCTCCATCCTTGCAAAGTCCTGTTCCCACAGGAACAGATAACTTCATTAACTGTTGGATCAGCTCATGTAAAGTTAAGCTTAACTAAAAATACTAAAAAAATTCTCTATGTAAACTAGTATTGAGCTGGCAGTTCCCCATCTCCTTACCTGACATCTGTGTTTTGTATGCAGTCAAATTTATGTATGAAGAAAAAAACCTCAAAAGCCTTATTGAATAAAGAATGTAACAAAGCAAAATGTGGCTGCTGATCTTTGTGGTGTTGCATGTGTATCATGCAATTTCATAGTCTGCTGATCTCTATTTTACCTTCTTTATTTTACTCAGGTGGAAAGTAATTGCTTAGCTCTACAAGAGATGGAAGATTTGTGTAAACTGCATTGTCTCAGTGTGGTTTTCCTACTCCACTTACCTCTTTCTCAAAGAGCCTGCACTAGATTCATCACTTCTCATTGGACTAAGAACATTCACACTTTCTTAGAAATGGTAAATATGCTCCTTATTAGTTTATTTATTTTTTTTGTTTCCATTGTTTGTATAAAGAAACCACAGTCACCTTCAAAAATAGATTCTTAAGGGGGCACCTGGGTAGCTCAGTTGGTTAAGCATCTGACTTGGTCTTGGCTCAGGTCATAATCTCAGGGTTGTGAGTTCAAACCTCATGTTGGGCTCCATGCTGGACAAAGAGTCTATTAAAAAAAAGAGAAAAACATTTATAAGGGGATATTGTCAACTGTTTGGAGACCTTAAAGATTTAAGGGCCTAAGTCAATTTCTTCCTGATTTCAAAAACTCTGGTAGTAATAACAAACAGCATGATATATATCCGATCTAAGAATAAAACAAAACCAAAAAAACCTACTTTCCTTCTAATTGTGGTCAAGATCAGGTTTATGTGTCATTAATTATAAGAGATTTGTGACCATTTTGTTCTGCTCTTGAGAGAAATTGAAGGTATAAATGTATTAGTTATTTTTGTCCATTATAGATGTTAGTTAGAGAAAATTTGTAGACTTTAGGAAAATAGTAAAAACAAAAGAAATAGCCGGTGACCCACTATTCAAATCAATTCATATATTACATTGGAATATATTATATTATATATGAACATATATATGTAAATATTTTTCTTTTCACATATTTTTAAATTTTCTTTCATACTCTTGGTTAACCTCATTTTTTAATGGCTACTATTTTTTAATGGGTATACCACAGTTTACTCACCCTTTCTTCTATTATAAGATAATAAGAGATTTTAATTATTATATTATAAATGCTGCTATTTTCCAGGTTCTTTGAGTGTAAGACTTTTCCTTTAATTTGGGGATATTGACTTAGACTTCATGCTCAGAAGCGGGATTAGTGGGTAAATTTAAACACAAAATTTTAAAAAATCTTGATACTTGCAGTCAAAATGTTCAAGGAAAGTATTTTAGAACCAATCAATTCGTAAGCTAGTCCACAAATATTTATCTAATGTATGTACATTGTGAGAGCCACTGAGGATACAGTGAGAAAAATAAGAATATATTTACCCATCACCCCATTACTTTCATAAAGCTACATTTTGCAGGAAGACAAGTGTTAAATTTTTAAAATTATTATTAAGGAGGAATTATAAGATACTTTAAAGTCTGATAATAAAAAGATTCGATTCAGTTAGAAAAGGATGGCTTCTTTTAAGAGATGAAGAGAAATGAAGTAATGCAAATCTTGAAGGATTTGCAAGTTGGAGAGAGGATGGATACTGGATTACAGGAGATGAAACGGCATGTGGGATCACCCCGAGAATGGCATGATCAAGGAACTGGAACACAACTTGTGTAACTGGAATAGAAAGAATATGGGAAAGTGATAAAGCTGAAGAGATGGGTAAGAGACAAATCATATAGGAAGGACAGTATAGATCCTGTAAAGAGAATAGAGATTTAACTTGATCATAAGCACAATGAGAACCAACTGAATGATTTCATGCAAATGAATGACACTTTCATTTAAAAAAATTTTTTTTCTTTGGCTTGCAATGCAGAGAGTGCATTGTAGTGGCAAAACTGGATTTAGGGAAACCAGTTAGGTGACTGTTACCTCAGTTCATGTAAGTGTTAATTATATTAGGGACTAAGGAAATGGTAAGTAAGAATGTATGCCAATAGTCAATTTCAACAATTATTTAACAAGTTAACTATGGGCATGAGAGAAAGGGAGAAGTCAAGTGATTCAAATCTCTGGCTGGAGCATTTGTGGGGATGATGCCATTGTATGAAGTATAGTTGTGGAGGAAGATCACAAGTTCAAACCTGAGTTTGAGGTGCCAGTGAAATACTCAAATGGAGATATCTAGTAGGCAATTTGAAATACTGGTTGAAGCTTAACAGAGTGGAATGAATTGGGGATCAAGATTTGGAAATCACTAGGCAATGGATGTTAATTTATGCCAAGGCAGTGGATAAAATGATTTTTGGAAAGACAAGAGGGCGTAGGACAGAGACCTGAGATCCTCCAATTTAAAATGATTAGGAATAGATTGAGACGCTGGCAAGGGACACTGAGAAGGAGGTACTTAGATAAATAGTGTTGAAAGCTTAGAGAATAGACTATTGTGAAGGTCAAAGGAACTGGGCTTTTCAAAAGGTGGGTTAATACTACCAAATGCCATGGAGAACTATAGGAGGTTGAGGACTGAAAATAGTACTTTGGGTTTAATGGCATAGGACTCACTGCTTATTGTAATTAAGAGAAATATTTAAAAATATTTTTCTAAAAAGAGAAATATTAATGGAAATGTTAGAAGCAAAAATCTATGGCAGAGTGGATTCAGTAGTGAGTGGAAGGGAGAAGATAAAGGTGAAGAGAAGTTTATATGTAAGGAGTTGAGAATAAAGAAAGTGACAGAATAAAATGTGATAGGAAGGTGGGTCAATTAGGAATGTTTTTAAAATGGCAAAGACTCAGCATGTTTAAATTAAAAGAGAGGATAGGATGAAAATCAGGGAAAGTAAGGTGAGAGGGGATGGGGTCTAGCATGTGTTCTTATACAGAGGGAGGGATATTGCCATTCTCATAGGAGAGAATAAAGAAAGAATGGTGCGGCATTGGCTGTGATGGAAATTGTAAGATAACTTTGTTTCTGTGTCTGGTTTAAGGTTCTTTATGAAGTAGGAATCAAAGTCAAAATGCTGAATGCTGTGGTGAGGAAACAAGCCCAGAAATTTAAGAACGGTGAAATATTTTGGAAATATTTACCAAGGATCTTAGGGGTCAAACTATATTGAGGGGGGTATACTAGATATATATACCTATATATATATTTCATTTATTTATTTATTTATTTATTTTTAAGATTTTATTTATTTACTTGACGGAGAGACACAGCGAGAGAGTGAACATAGGCAGGGGGGAGTGGGAGAGGGAGAAGCAGGCCTCCCACTGAACAGGGAGCCCAATGGGCTCGATCCCATGACCCTGGGGTCATGACCTGAGCCAAAGGCACATGCCCAATGCTGAGTCACTCAGGCACCCCACCTATATATATATTTTAAAGTTTTTATTTATTTATTATGCCAGAGAGGGAGAGAGAGAGAAGAGGGGAGAGCACAAGCAGGGGAAACAGCAGGCAGAGGGAGAAGCATGTTCCCTGCTTAGCAAAGATCCCGATGTGGGACTTGATCCCAGGACCCTGGGATCATGAACTGAGTCAAAGGCAGATGCTTAACTGACTGAGCCACCCAGGTGTTTCATAAACCTGTATATTTAATAACTCTTGTTACCTATCCTATAATAGGTCTTGAAATCAAGTCAAACTCAGACTTGCCACAAATTTGAATTCATGATCTTTCCCTGAAATGTGGGCTTGTTCCCAGGTTTCCTGCCATGGGAATGTCCTAGTCCTTCATCCTGCTGCATCAGGTAGAATCCTAAGAATCATCCTTGACAACCCTCAATCTCCCCTCTTCTCCATCCATATCAGATCCATTACCAAATTATGGCAAACTTATCTTCTAAATATTTAATATCTATAAGTGCCCAAACTACCAACAAACTGTATTACATCAAATTATGATCATTACCCTTCTAAACAATGGTTTTTCTTTCTGCTCCAGTAACAGGAAATTTGTTCCTATCCTATCTCTTCTCTCTATATTACTATATATTACTATAGCCAGAGTAATCTTTCAAAATGTAAAACCATCATAACACTACCTGCTTAAAATCCATCAGTGGATTTTAAGATGAAAACATGACCTCAAAGGCTCTGCATGCTCTTCTGTTTCTGGAACCCTGTAGCACAGCTAGCTTTTCCATCACCCTCTCCATTTCCAGCCTTGCTGGCTTCTATTTTGGATCTAGTACCACCCACGTTCATTCATGCTCTAAGACTTTTGTACATGGTGTTTGGATATGCCCTCTGCCTGGAATGCTACTCTTCCCTACTCATTTGTTTAATTAATTCTTTTTCAAAATTCAGCTCAAGCATTACTTAGGGAAGCTTCCTCTATTCTCTTTGACTTTGTCACATTTGTAATTTCCACTGTTTATGTAATTATCTATTAATATTCATCTTTCCTGATGGACTTTAAGCTCCATGAGAACTGACAGCATGTTGCCTTTTGTTCATTTTTGTATTCTCACTGCCTGATGTTTTGCTTAACATACAGTAGTTATTCAATACTATTTGTTGATGGAATAAATGAATTTCTAATTTTTCTTCTTTCTTTGCAGGTCTGTCATTTTCATTAATAACTGCTGCTTAGAGGTACCAAAGTAAAGGATATTTGCTATATTTAATATTTTCCATTTCCAGTTCAAGGCCCAGGTAGCAGCAACAATGGGTAATTTTCAATTGAAAGTTTTTATAAATTATAAAATAATGATTCTTTAAGCTATACAGATTTGTTTTTTTTACAGATTTAATAGAATTAAAATAACTGTTATTTCTTTTTCAAATAATAAGCAATCTTTTTTTATAGGCTTAGAAGAACACATGATGTTTTTAGAGAGAATGTCACAGCTAATTTTGAGTGCAGTACCAAGAGCTGAGTGAGTATTATAAGAAATAAAGAGATGTACAATTTGACATATTTCCTATTGTCTATTTGACATTAAAGTAATGCCTATCTAAAAAAAGTAATGCCTGGTTCCATCAAGATGGCAGAGGAGTAGAGGACTCCATTTCAACCAGCCCCCTGAATTTAGCTAGAAATCTACCAGGGCACTCTGAATACCACATGAAATCAGCCTGAGATTTAAGATTATACACATCTGGATCTCTATGGGGGCAGAGGATCATGTTAAGAGGTACAAAAGACATAGTTGGGATTGCACAGACAGGTATAAACAGAAGGGGGATAAACAGAAGGGGGAGGGAGCTACCAGAAGCCAGCCATTGGAAAGTAATACCCCAAAGCAAAAGTGCCCTGCACTTGGGGACCAGCGATAACTTGGAGACTGGTGGCTATGAGAGGGAAGGGACTAATAACAGTATTCAAACAGAACAAAGGGGCTTAAGGGATAATTGCTGGGACTGGTTGGCCACAGGGGCGGACCTAAGCTCATGGTCCCAGGACTGGCTGCAGCGGCTGCCCACCCGTGCCTAAGAGGACCCAGCTTGGATTGGAGGCCACAGTCCCAGGAGCAGCAGTCACCAGGGCTGGGCTTGCCTGGACAAGTATTGCTCACAGTTTTGGTCCACAGAGGTGTAGAGACAAGTGGGGGCCTCAGTCGACAATTGGGAGGGTTGCTGGGGATGCGCATCGCCTGTGGGAGGCTGTGGTATTCAGTGGTGCTTCTAGAGGGAGAGTCTGTGTGTTGTGGAAGATTCAGAGAGGAACAGACTGTGTGGCTTCTCTCTGAGGCCAAAGTCAGGGTGTGGACAGTTTACTTTGCTCTGACCCACAAAAAGGTACAAAAAATTGCCAGAGAACAAAAGCCTCCAGATTTAAAAAAGCCCGAAAAACAGATTTCCATGGAGCCCAGCCCCTTGATAGTGGGCAGGGCAACTCTGCCCAAGCAGGATTGACTGAAAAACAATGCAGCAGGCCCCTCCCCCAGAAGACAAGCTGAAAGAATAAGAGGACAACCACCACAGGGTCCCCATAAAACTGTAAAACCTGGACACCAGGGTAAAGCAGTATATCAAACTCCTGGTATTGTCCCACAGCCTGTATATTGCTTAGATACAACTTTTCTCTCTCTCTCTCTCTCTCTTTTTTATTCTTTCTAATGACTCTTGGTGTTTTTTGTTGTTGTTGTTTTGTTTTGTTTTAACCTTCTTATCATTTCAACTAGATGTTTAGTACAACATATTCCATAGTAAAACTTAAACTTTTTCATGCATATGCTTTTTTCTTTTTCTTTTTTAAATATATATAGATATAAGCTTCACTGTAGTCCTTTTCTCCCCTATTCAATACCATATATATATATATATATATACCGTGTGTGTGTGTGTGTGTGTGTGTGTGTGTATGCCAGTTTTAATTTCCCTGTATCTTTGGGAAGTAGAGTTCTCTAACAGAGAACTCAAAATACACCCAGGAAGAACTGAAATACCTTTCCTAACCCACACTGAGGGATTATAACCACCTTCCCCTCACTCCCATACTCCCATTGTTTTATTTTGGGTGCCTTTTCTCTTTCTTTCTTTCTTTCTTTCTTCTTTCTTTTTTGGTTGGTCTTTGTTTTTGTACTTTATAAATCTTACTCTTGGGGCTCATTTTGGCTGTTTTTTGTTTGTTTGTTTCTTTTTGGTGGTGACTAATAGCTCTGAACCTTCCCAGGAAGCACCTTGCCTAGATAGTGGTTGATATTTTTGGCTGTACACCCCCTCAACCACAACTCAACAGAATGACTAGGAGGAGGAACTCCCAACAAAGAAAAGACCCAGAGACAATGGCCTCTCCCACAGATCTAATGGATATGGATCTAAGCAAGTTGTCAGAAATAGATTTCAGGGTAGCCTATGAAGCCTATGTAGTCAGGCTGGAGAAAACTACCAAGACTGAAACAGGAAGGAATCAACAACATGAATAGACCCATAACCAGTAACAAGATTGAAGCAGTGATTAAAAAAAAACCTCCCCCAAAAATAAGAGTCCAGGGCCTGATGGATTCCCTGGGGAATTCTACCAAACTTTCAAAGAAGAAATAACACCTATTCTCCTGAAGGTGTTTCAAAAAATAGAAACAGAAGGAAAACTTCCAGACTATTTCTATAAAGCCAGCATTACCTTGATCCCCAAACCAGCCAAAGACCCTATCAAAAAGCAGAATTTCAGACCAATATCCCTGATGAATGTGGACACCAAAATTCTCCATAAGATCTTAGCTAATAGGATCCAACAGTATTTTAAAAGGATTATCTGTCATGACTAGGTGGGATTTATCCCTGAAATGCAAGGTTTGTTCAACATCCGCAAATCAATCAAAGTGACAGAACATATAAAGAAGAGATAAGAACCACATTGTCCTCTCAATTGATGCAGAAAAAGCGTTTGACAAAATACAGCATCTGTTCCTGATTAAAACTCTTCAGAGTATAGAGATAGAAGAAACATTCCTCAACTTTATAAAATCCGTCTATGAAAACCCACAGTGAGTATGTTTCTCAATGGGGAAAAGCTGAGAGCCTTTCCACTGAGATCAGGAACACAAGGATGCCCACTCTCACCACTTTGTTCAACATAGTACTAGAAGTCCTAGCAACAACAATCAGACAACAAGAAGAAATAAAAGGTATTCAAATTGACAAAGAAGTCAATCTCTCTCTCTTCGCAGATGACATGATACTCTATGGAAAACCCAAAAGACTCCACCCCCAAATTACTAGAACTCATACAGCAATTCAGTAATGTGGCAGAATACAAAATAGTGCATAGAAATCAGTTACCTTCTTATACGCTAGCAAAGTAACTGTGGAAAGAGAAGTCAGAGAATCATTTCCATTTACAATAGCACCCAAAACCATAAGATACCTGGAATAAACCTAACCGAAGAGGCAAAGGGTCTATACTCTAGGAACTACAAAACAGTCATGAAAGAAATTGAAGACACAAAAAGATGGAGAAACATTGCATGCTCATGGATCAAAAGAATAAAAATTGTTAAAATGTTTGTGTTGCCCAGAGCAATCTATACTTTCAATGCCATCCTGATCAAAATACCAATGGCATTTTTCAAAGTGCTGGAACAAACTATCCTAAAATTTGTATGGAACCAGAAAAGACCCCAGGTTGCCAAAGAAATGTTGAAAAAGAAAAATACAGCTGGGGCCATCACATTGCCTGATTTCAAGCTATATATACACAGCTATATTACAAAATAGCATGGTACTGAAAAAAACAAAAACAAAAACAAACCAGACACATAGACCAATGGAACAAAATAGAGAGCCCAGATATGGACTCTCAACTCTATGGTCAACTAATCTTCAACAAAGCAGGAAAAAATATTCAATGGAAAAAAGACAGTCTCTTCAATAAATGGTGCTGGGAAAATTGGACAGCTATATACAGAAGAATGAAACCCAACCAATCTCTTACACCATACACAAAGATAAACTCAAAATGGATTAAAGATGTGAGACAGGAATCCATCAGAGTCCTAGAGGAGAACGTAGGCAGGAATCTCTTCTACAGCAGTCACAGCAACTCCTTTCAAAACACATCTCCAAAGGCAAAGGGAAACAAAAGTAAATATGAACTTTTGGGACTTTATCAATATAAAAATCTTCTGCACAGCAAAGGAAACAGTCAACAAATCAAAGAGATAACCCCAAGAATGGGAGAAGGTATTTACAAATGACATATTAGACAAAGGGCTGATATCCAAGATCTATAAAGAACTTCTCAAACTCAACATCCAAAAAGCAAATAATCAAGTCAAAAAATGGGTAGAAGATATGAACAGACACTTCTCCTAAGAAGAACTACAAATGACTAACAGACATATGAAAAAGTGCCTGTTAAATGAAACACAAAAAAGTTCATTATCATTAGCCATCAGGGAGATTTAAATCAAAACCACATTGAGATACTATCTTACGTCAGTTAGAACGGCAAAAATTGATAAGGCAAGAAAGGACAAATGTTGGAGAAGTTGTGGAGAAAGGGGAACCCCCTTACACTCTTGGTTGGAATGCAAATTGGTGCAGCCACTTTGGAAAACAGTGTGGAGATTCCTCAAAAAATTAAAAATTGAACAACCTTATGACCCAGCAATTACACTACTGGGTATTTACCCCAAAGACACATATGTAGTGAAAAGAAGGGCCATATGCACCCCAATGTTCATAGCAGCAATGTCCACAATAGCCAAACTGTGGAAAGAGCTGCGATGCCCTTCAACAGATGAATAGATAAAGATGATGTGGTTCATACACACAATGGAATATTACTCAGCTATCAGAAATGATGAATACCCAACTTTTGCATCAAAATGGATGGGACTAGAGGAGATTATGCTAAGTGAAATAAGTCAAGCAGAGAAAGTCAGTTATCATATGGCTTCACTTGTGGAATATAAAGAATAACATGGAGGACATTAGGAGAAGGAAGGGAAAAATGAACGGGGAGAAATCGGAGTGGGAGATGAACCATGAAAGACTATGGAACCTGGGAAAAAAATCTGAGAGTTTTAGAAGGGAGGGGAGTGGGGGAATGGGTGAGTCTGGTGATGGGTATTAAGGAGGGCACGCATTGCTTGGAGTGCTGGGTGTTAGATGCAAACAATGAATCATGGAACACCACATCAAAAACTAATGATGTACTGTATAGTAACTAACATAGCATAATAAAAAAGTAATGCATATCTATCTCAGTATATGTGTCATAGTATATTTTAAATATAATTATATATATACATATTTATATGATTAATAGAACTTTGAGAGCTTTTTGATGCTGAATGGACACAGTTTTCTCTTGCTTTATTTGTGCACAACTGTCAATGAACCCATTGTTATATAAAGAAATAAGGTTGATTAAGTGGGAAGCATTTAATACCAGTCTATATGCAGAATAGAGGTGTTAAATTCTGATTCCAATCCAGATTTTGATACGTGATCTTACATAATTTGCTCTTATCTCTTTGAGCCTCAGTTTCTGTATCTATAGAATGATAATGATCCTGTCTTTTCCCTATGAAGGATAGTCATGCATATGGATATATTTGAAAAGTCTTAGCATACAGCCTGACATAAAATAATTACTCCGCAAATCACTTGCTAATAATAATGATAATGGATAATAATAACAATGCTACTGCCTTTTTTGGGCTTTATTGAGTCAAAATGTAATTTTTGTTTTAACTTTTTTCATTTCAGATATTCCAGTTTATTCAATGATTTTGTTGAATCTGAATTTTTTCTGATTGATGGAGATTCATTACTTATTACATGCATATGTGAGAAATCATTAAAACCGGGGCAGGAGCTCCACTTCTTTTATCTGGTTGAATACTATCTTATGGATCTTGCCAGTAAAGGAGGACAATTTGCCATAGTTTTCTTCAAGGTAATGTGACAGTAGAGTTCTTTACTATGATTTAAGAGCTAAAACTAAAATTCCTTACTATTTTGTAATTTTCCCCCTTATTACAAAGTTAAATATATCTAAAACAATTCAGAAAAGTTAAAGGGAACAACAGAAAAAAATACTTAAAATCTCAGTATTCAGAAATTACCATATTTAAGATTATATTTTAGTGATGCTTGGGTGACTCAGTTGGTTAAGTGACTGGCTGAGGTCATGATCCTAGGGTCCTGGGACTGAGGCCTGAGTCTGGCCCCTTGCTCTTCAGGGAACCTGCTTCTCTCTCTGCCTGTTCTTCCTGTCATTCCCTCTGCTTGTACACACTCTCTCTCTTTCTGTCAAATAAATAAATAAATAAATCTTTTTAAAAAAAGAGTATATTTTATTCTCAGTGATTAAATTTCATGTAAAGACACACAGGATCATGAAGGAAGATGAGCTATCCTCTCAACCAAAACTCAGTTGATCTCTGGATTCTACTTTTCCAACTCTGAAAACTGTGTCTGTCTTCAGAACTCAGCAATTTATTTGAGCCTTGAAAATGTCAAACTCTTTAATACTGCTTTGCTTATTATTTGCCCTATAATGAATACTTCTGAGGGAATATATTTGATCTTCCTTTTCCAATTATGAATATAATTAGTAAAATATTAAGAGTTTCAAATACAGGTAGGTATAACCACTACCACCCCTTCCTTATTCTGTCCCTAAAGGTAACCACTGTGTTTCTCTTAAGGATTTTGGAGTATGTCTGTTCAGTCACTTTGCAATCTACATTATTGCTAGATTTTTAAACATTGCTGACTTCTTGCAAGCAATGTTTTAAATAAAGAGCCAGGATTCTAGTCTAATGTTGACAGTCTGGTTAACTGTACTAATTCTGATCTGTTGAGAAAAAACTCTGCTGCTTCAGGAAGATCATTCTAAATTGGAAAAGTCCTCTCAAAGTGATTCACCTTGGCTTCCTGTTCTGCATAATTTATATCCACCATTTGCTTTTGCATGTTTTTCTGTCTTTTTCTTTCTGAAGTGACATTGGAGAGAAAAAGAATCAGAACACAAAAGGAAAGTAGGATAAACCTTGACTATTATGTGCCTGCTTAAAGGGGACATATGTATTTAAGTCCAAGTTGTGATTTATGGCTTGTATTTGAGAAATGACTGTCAAGGCTTAAGGTTCTATTCCCTGACTAAAGCTGAACAAAACTGTGTTGGAACACATTCCTTTAGTGACTTTAATGATATATATAAACCAATTAAATGATAATTTCAAAAGAATATACTTTATCCCATCCCCACAGGATGCTGAGTATGCATATTTCAACTTCCCAGAACTTCTTCCATTGAGAACTGCTTTAATTCTTCATCTTCAGCATAATACCACCATTGATGTTCGAACAAAATTTTCTGGATGCCTGTCACAGGAGTGGGAGGCTTTCTTGGAAGACACTTACCCATATTACCTAGTAGTTGCAGATGAAGGCCTGAACCATCTACAAACATACCTTTTCAACTTTTTAATTACTCAGTCTTGGGCGATGAAGGTCAACGTTGTGCTTTCCTCAGGGCAAAAATCTGATATTCTTCGACTTTATGCATATCTTATGCCAAGCAGTCAGAAAAACCAAAAATTTTTCAAAGAGGTAACCGATACCTAAAGACAAATTTCTTCTAGAATTTTATAAAATTTAATGACTCCAGTCATTAAACTTTTTCCAACTCTAGTTGCCTACTGTGAGTAGGAACAGCCCTGGGATTGATTTTTGTATTGGGAAGAGGTACTATATATAATCACTTGAACTCCTTTTATTCTAGTGAAGCAATTTCTGAATCTGAGTTTGAGGGGTGCCTTAACAAACATGCTTCCCAATCTCTCCTTAAGAAGTTTTTTTTAAGTGTTAGATTTTATCTTTAGTATAATAATGTATTTCCTTGTTTATTGAAAACTCATTTTAAAGAGGTTATTTCATTTATCTCTTTACGGATGTTATGTGCTCAAAATAAAAATGTGGTGTATGTTGATAGTTCTTGTTGCTGGATGATAGGTACCTGGGGGAAGATTATGCTATTCCTTATTTATGTGTGTGTGTGTGTGAAATTTTTCATAATAAAATACAGTGTATTAAGTGGGCACACTCTTTGAGATATTGGAAATGTTCTAAAATTAAATTGTAATGGTGGCTGCACAACTGTAACTTCACTAAAAGCCATTGAATTGTCCCCTTAAAAAGTGAGTGAATTTTATATTATGTTAATTATACTTTTCATAGAGTTGTTAAAAATGCACTAAATTCCCAGACAAAAATTAATTCAGCAAAAACAAAATTGTGCTGCTTGGCAGGCTTTAAAAGAATTGATGATCTGTAATTACATTAGTGTATTTTTTTTAAACTGGGAAATACATCTTAACAATTGTATCTTCAGTATATGATTATCTGTAGTTGGAAAGTGATTATATATTTTATTTATGACAATTTATCTGACTTGCCTTCCTTTTACAGAATAAAAAGAAGATTGAGAGTGCTTATAAAACCCTGATTAAACAATTGGAAGAGTATAGAATTTCAGCACTAGAATCTCTTTTTGGAAAATTAAAATGGAAAAATATGATGAAAGAGGTACTGAAACCTTAAAAAAAACCCTTTTTATTTGCGTTAATTTTTTGATTATGAAAAAGTTGCAGAAATAGTACTGATTTCCCATAGACTTCTCACCCAGATTCCCCTAATATTAGCATCTGATGTGACCATGGTACATTTTTCAAAACTAGGAAATGAACATCAGCATAATACTATTAACTAAGCTTCACACATTATTTGAGTTTCACTTACTTTTCCACAAATGTCCTTTTTCTGTTCCAGGATTCTGTCCAGCATCCCACATCCATTTATTTTTTACTCTCTAGTCTCTTTCAATCTGTAGTAGTTTCCTTGTCTTCTGTGCTTTTGATGTTTTTGAAAGGTATTGATCAGTTATTTATTTTTTTAATATTCCTCAATTTGGGTTTGTCTGGTGTTTCTAATGACTGGGATGAAGTTATATATTTTTGGCAAGAATGCCAATGAGTTGGTACTGTGAACAATAATATGTCAAAGGGTTCATGATATTGATATGTCTTAACACTGATTAAGCTGGTGCCTTCTAGCCTTCTCCACCGTAAAGTCGCTATCTTTCCTGACTATGTAAATCCTGTTTTTTCTCAGACTTTTGCTAATTAATTTTAGAACCCATCAATGGATCTTGTCTGCAACAATTATTGCTAGGTATGTTTGCCCAATAGGTATTTTGTATTTCACTCTTTCCTTCTACTTTTCTTACTTAGAATTCTGTAAGGGAAAGCTCCTATATCTCTGCCCTTTACTTGTTTATTTACTTATATCAGCATAGACTAGTGGACATTTTACACTATGGATCAAAGTCCAATATTACAATAGTTTTGGTGCCCAAATAATTCTAGATTTGAACATTAGAGACTCCTTCAAATTTGCACCTATGTTCTTTTGCATGCCCCAGCCCCTTCCCATCTTTTTCTCTTCTAAAACCACTTTATTGAGGTTTGATGACATACCTTGTGGTGATGGTTACATGACTGTATATTTATCTTCAAATTCATCAGGCCCCATCTTTTTGAGCACTGTTTTACTTTTTGAAACCACAACTCGTAATTTCTTTGCTTCAACCTTGAAATCAACCGCTTCTCCAAGGAGTTCTGGTTGCTTTTGTGGAAAACTATTTAGAAGCCATGATCTGGGAAATATGTTTGTTCATTTCTTTTTTATTTTTAAATTTATTTATTTGACACAGAGCACAAACAGGGGAAGCATCAGAGGGAGAGGGAGAAGCAGGCTCCTCACTGAGCAGGGAGCCTGATGTGGTGCTTGATCCCAGAACTCTGGGATCATGACCTGAGCCGAAGGCAGATGCTTAACTGACTGAGTCATCCAGGTGCCCCTGTTTGTTCATTTCTACTGGGGTATCATTGCAATGAGGATTTTTCAGCAGACACAGCTAGGAAATATATGTATATATGCTAAGCCATGCATCTACACCTGTTTTTTTTTTTTTTAAAAGATTTTATTTATTCATTTGACAGACAGAGATCACAAGTAGGCAGAGAGGCAGGCAGAGAGAGAGGAGAAAGCAGGCTCCCCGCTGAGCAGAGAGCCCGATGCGGGGCTCTATCCCAGGACCCTGGGGTCATGACCCGAGCCAAAGGCCTTAACCCACTGAGCCACCCAGGCGCCCCCACCTGTCTGTTTTTTAATCTATCATCTATCGTAAATATCACATATTTATACCAGTAACTTCTACTTTGATCCAACTTCCTATGCTTCATTTTACCCTTCCCCTTTCCTTATTTGTAATTTTTCTTCAATTTATGAGAAATTTAGCTCTCATTATGCACTATATGTATATAAAGTTGTTTTAGGATTGCTAACCATATCTTGTGAGAAACATATTTACTAAATGGTTACAGGATTTATGTGCAGTTCTTTTTATCTTTAGTCATAGAATACATAAAATACTGCTTTCTAAAGTTATTTAGGTTAGTTCTTTTCTTGCAGGCCCCATTCAGTTTGGTTGTTATTCATTACTAATACAGTTAGGTTCATTGGTTAGTGTTTGTATTTCACTTTGGGTCCCTGCCACCCATTTACAGTTTGTTTTTAATTATCTGTTTATTTTGGAGGGTATGTGAAAGGTGTAAGAAGCATACTTATGATTCTAAGAATCAGAGATATACAAAAAGATAGGTTCAAAGAAGTGATACTTTGTTCTTATCCCTGCTGCTCTGATCCCATTCTCCTCTACAGTTACCCCTTTCCTAAATACTTTTCGTAAGTGATTTGTCTCTTTAGTTTCAAGTTTATCTTTCTTGTATTATTATTGTTATTATTTTTTGTACAAAAAAGCAGATGTGTGTATTTTCTTATATCTTCTTTCTTAAATAAAGGATCATATATATAGATATTTTCAGTACCTTTCTTTTTATACTTAACAGCATATTTAGCAATCATTTTAAAACAATTTATAGATATCTTCTTCATTATGTTATATAGCTGCATAGCACTCCCTCATGTGGATGTACTGTAATTTGTTTAACCAGTTTTCTATTATGCAATTTATACTTACTTTTAACATTTTGCAATTATAATCAATGCTGTAATAAATAATCATTTGTAACATATGCAATTTTTTTATTATTGGAGTTATAGCTTCAGAGTAGATTTTAAAAATGGAATCGATGAGTCAAAAGATAGAGATGAACCATGAGAGACTGGACTCTGAGAAATAAACTGAGGGTTTTGGAGGGGAGGGGTGTGGGGGCTTAGGTGAGCCTGATGGTGGGTATTAAAGAGGGCACGTATTGCCTGGAGCACTGGGTGTGGTGCAAAAAAGAATGAATCTTGGAACACTGAAAAAATAAAATTAAATAGAAAAAATAGGATGATAAATATATATAAAGTTAAGGTATTATCATCACTTAATAATGTTATGCTGCTGGGGCACCTGGGTGGCTCAGTGGTTTAAGCCTCTGCCTTCAGCTCGGGCATGATCCTAGGGTCCTGAGATCGAGCCCTGCATCGGGCTCTCTGCTCAGCCAGAGCCTGCTTCCCCCTCTTTTTCTGCCTGCCTCTCTGCCTACTTGTGATCTCTCTTTCTGTGTCAAACAAATAAATAAAAATCTTTTAAAAAAATTAAAAAAAATGTTATGCTGTAAACTGTTTCTTTGTTAAAAGGATTTGAAATTGTTTAGTTTTATGGAGACAATGAAAGTATTTTGAGAGTTGTAAATCTCTCTGCAAAGTAATATGACTAAGAATAATAAATAATAATAAACATAAAAAAGGTAAATGTATATGTTGCTTACTTAGGTTTTGTTCATTTTCATTCTAGAAGGATTATATCATTTTTTTATCTTTCAATTTTAAGTCTTCTCTCTATATTACAGATATTAGCACTTTGTGATATATATTATGAATATTTTCTTCCAACTTAGTTGGTTTTTACTTTATGATTTTTTGTTGTGTACATTTTTAAAATTTTTAATGTCAAATTTATTAATTTTTTTGTTGTGTTGTTGCCTCTAGACTTTGAGTCATAGTCAGAAAGACTTGGCCTACATACATACATGAAAGAGGATTTGCCTGTGGTTTCTTCCTATACTTAAAATTTTTAAAAACTTAGATTCTTAATCTATTTGTAATTCATTCTTATAGATAGTGTGAGGTATAGATATAATTTTTATTTTTTCAAAGGGATGCTCAGTAACATTTATTAGAAAGTCCATTTTTATCTCAGTGATTTCAGATGAAACATTTATTAAATTTCTATATGTTTTTGGAAATAAATCTGGACTTTCCACTCTGTTCCTCTGGTTTATTTACAAATTTTATACTCTTTTGATTAGAAAGACTTATTAGTATTTTTAATACTATTTCTATATAAATGTAGAATATTTATATAATATATAAAATATATATACTATAATATTTTATAATATTTTATATATTATAGTATATATAGATTTATATATATTTATTATATATATAATATATAAAATATTATATATTTTTAATACTATTATAAATACTAATGTATTTATAATACATTAAAAATGTATGGCGGGCTCTGGGAAGGGCGGGCTCCTCCGGCAGTGCCCTGTCGGCGCCCGGCATTGACCTATTTGGGATAGACGGGCCCCTAGAGGGGCCCCGGGCACACAGGGAAGCAGAAAACCAAACATTTCACTGGGAAAGGACACACTCCCTGGCCTTGGGAGGAGCACAGTGAGTTCTTCACAGAGCCACGCCGTCGCAGTGCGTTCTGACTGTTTTCTCTCCATGTTTGTAAATCTGTAATATACCATTCTCTGTGGCCTGTTTTTCCTGGAAGAAGAAGAAGAAAAAAAAAAAGGTTTGGCAGGCCATCTTTTTTTTATACTTAAAAGTAGCCTTAAGAACAATAATAAAGTGCTCTTAAAAACAAAAACAAAATTATATTATTATATTATATATATTATATTATATATTATATAAATATATAATATTTATATATACTAATACTAATATATAATAGTATATTTAATACTATTTAATACTACCCGCAATACATTTTTAATGTATTGTTTAGCTGGGTTTTCCAGGTATAGTTCTTCTCTTACATTCATTTTGCATTTTTATTTTTCTATCTGAACTTTTGTTATCAACTTGTCTAAGTTAAAAAAAATCTTGTTATTTTTGTTGGAGTATATTGAACTTATAAGTTAAACTGGAGAGAATTGGCATTTTTATAATGTTGACTTATTTCATGCAAGAAGAAGGGGTGTTTTTACGTTTGTTCAAATCTATTTTTGTGAGTCAAAAAATTTTCTCTTATATGTTTTGTATATTTCTTTTTAAATTTTCTTCCTAAGCATTTAATGTTTTGCTGTTATTAAGTAAATTTTGCTCTTATTCCAAGATTTTATCTACTATTGTGTTCTTTGATCCTTTGTTGTTTATACATATGAAGTCTATCGATTTTTGTGTCAATTCTATGTGCTGATGTCTCATTGGTATTTTAATTTTTTAATTAATTATTCTTTGGGGTTATCCACATATACTATCATATAATCTGTGAACAGTGATAGTATTAAATCTTCTTTATCCATTCCTATGCCTGAAATTACCTTTTCTTGTCTAGGTGCTTTAGGTAACAAACTTGGTACAATAGTGGATAGTAGCAGATATAGTGAGCATTTTTGCCTTTTTCCTAATCTTAGTGGGAATGTCTCTAGTGTTTTGGCATATATGTGTATTCATTCTGATGTTAAGATTGTATCCCTCAACTTGGATTTTTTAAGTGTTTTTATCATGAATGTGTATTGAAAGTATAGATACAATTATGATTTTTAAATATTAGCTTTATTAATATGGTATTTTGATATAATAGATTTTTAAATATTGAAGCAAATCTGTTCCTGGAATAAATCCCATTTGATCATGTATTATTTTCTTGATGTGGTGTGGGTTCTGGTTGCTAATATTTTGTTTAGAATTTTTACATCAGTATGCGTGAGTGATGCTTTTCTATAGTTTTCTTTCTGTGCACTATAATTATTTGGTTGTGTATCAGTGTCATTGATGCTTCATAAAAAAAGATTAGAATATTTTCTTTTTCTTTTAAGTATTCCAAAATAATTTATGGATCACTGGGATTATGTGGTTTTTAAAGATTAAAATAGAATTTCTCTATAAAGCCATATGGAACTGGTGATTTTTTGTGGGGCAGTTTCTTAATTTTCTCTATTTGTCCTATAGAAATTGGTTTATTTAAGCTTAGTAACTCCAGTGGGGTCGATTTTTATAATTAATCCTTATAATGAAGTTATCCATTTATTTACATTTCAAATTTATTTGCATAGAAGTTTACAAAGTAAGGCATATGACTTTGTAAAAATTGTTTCTATTTTAGTAGTTATTTTTCTTTACATTTTTATTCTGCTCACTTTTTATTTCTATTTATTAATGATCAAATTTGCTGATGGATTGTCTGTTTTTTAAAGTTTTTTAAAAAATCCCTGGAATTCTGATTTATTAATTAGATATATCTACCAATTTTCTCTTCTTAATTTTGCTAACTTTTATCTTTATTTTTCACCTCTTTTACTTCCCTTTAGTCCAGTTTGTTTTTCTTTTTTAGATTTTCTTTTTGGAGCTGAGAATTAAACTCATTTTTTTATTCTTTAATATTTATTGTTAAATATGTTTAATACAATGAATTTTGTTTTGGTCACTGCTTTTAATTTATCCCATTAATTATGATATGTAGTGTTTTTATTATCATTTTTATAAATTGTATTTGTATTTCCTTTTCACTTATAAGTAGCTTTGTAAAAAATGTTTTTAAGCTTTAGATTGAAGGGTCTTTGTGCCTTTTTTAAAGAAACTAAATTCTACCTTTATTATATTTTGATCAGAGAGCTGTTTGTAGTGTTTCTACACTATGGAAGTTACTGATGTTTTCTTTTTGACTTAACATATGACCAATTTTTATGGATGTGCTGGGGGCACTTAAGAGGAATACATATTCTGTATCACCAGAGTTTAATTCATAGGATCTACACTATTGATTATTCTTTTAAGTCATCTTATTTTTTGTCTACTTGATTTCTCTTGTAATGAAAGTAGTGTATTAAATTCTGTTATTAATAATATGTTTATAAATATAGCTCCTTTAATCTCCTGTAATTTTTGTATCATAAAGTCAGTTATGACATTATATGTTGCATAATTATTCATATAAGATGAATCATTCATAAAGGTTCTGTCGCCATTATGGATGGCTTTTAGAATAAAAGAGTGCTTTTCTTTTTCACATTTAGTGCCCCTTTCTTTCTTTCTTTCTTTCTTTTTTTTTAACATTTAGTGCTTTTGAACTTGAATTCTCCCTATACTGCTGTAAAAATTGCTAGCCTCTCTTCTCTCCTCCCCCACCATTTGCCTGGTATACTTTTATCCAACCCTTTATTTTTAGTCCTTCTGAGTCACTTTATTTAAGTTGTGTTTCTTGCACACCACATGTATTTGAGTCATTGAAAATTCTTCACATATTTTATTTTTACTTGATGCATAATATTTCCCTAATGCTAAACACCTAAATTATCTGAGAATTGATTTCTAAAAATAATTCTATATGAACATCTTGGTGCATAAATCTTGGTACACAGTTTGTGTTATTTACCTAGCCTGGATACATAGAACTTGAATAGACAGTCACAAAGTATCAATATATTTAATAGTAATCATATGTGTTGCTAAATATACCTATCTCTAGCAAAGCATAAGAGAAATGACACATCACTTGATTTCCAGTGCTGTTATCATTAGAATATTCTAATATTTATTAATTTGTAAATAAAAATATGCTATTTAATTGTTCACATATTACTAGAGAGAGAGTTCAAATATTTTTTCTATTTTGTTAATATTTATATTTCTTCTGTGAATTATCTGCTCATGTCTTATTAAAGGCCAAGATGTTTTATTATTGATTTATAATAATTTACAATAATTTACAGCTCTTTACATAGTTACATTTTAATTTTACTAAAACATGTATCTTCCCATCTTAAAATTTTATCATTTTTAACAGAAATTTTATAGTTTTATGTAGTCATACCTATCTTTGTATGATTTCTTCTAGTAAGATTACTTATGAATAAAAATATTTTTAAAATATCCTGACATTTACAGTTTTCTTTTGTCACAGGCACATGAAACTATTTCTCAGCTTAAGCAACTCTGGCCAGAAGGATCTGACATTCGACGTGTTCTTTGTGTTACTTCATGCTCATTGTCTTTGAGAATGTACCATCACTTTTTAGAAAACAGAAAGAAGACTACGTCTGATGAGAAAACTAACATCCAAGAGGTGTGATTGTTGTAGCTTTACTGGGAAACACCATTGCTTTCCACTTTTGAAATTTTACTGATTTTCATCTACCTTTTCTTCCATTTGGTACTTTATTTATTTCCCCAACTTATATAAATTTCTCCCAAAAGATGGAAAACCTGGAATTTGCTTATCAGAAATATTTATGATGCTGTTATATGATTTAGTGTTTTACTATACAGACGTTTCCCCCAGTACACATTTAGTCAAATTTATCCAATCATCTAGAAGAAGGGGTAATAAGAAAGGAAATTAGCTTTTGATGAGAGCTTACATTATAATGTTCTGTGTTCTTTATATGCCTTGTGTCTTATATTCTCACAACAGCATTTTAAGAGAGGTATTTATTTGCATTTCACATATGGAAACACCTGAGGTTCAGAAAGTCCAGGTAATATTTTTTTTTTTAATTGTGTTATGTTAGTCTCCATACAGTACATCATTACTTTTTGATGTAGTGTTCCAAGATTCATTGTTTATGTATAACACCCAGTGCAATACAACACTCCATGCAATACATGCCCTCCTTAATACCCATCACCAGGGTCACTCATCCAACCCCCTGCCCCCTAAAACCGTCAGTTTGTTTCTCAGAGTCCACAGTCACTCATGGTTCTCCAGGTAACATTCCTTAATTAAATTGTGGTGTGGAATGAGGATTGAACCTGTATCTGTCTTGTTGAAATTCCGTAACACCAAACTGTCTTTATAAAGAACATTCTTGCTGTAGTGTCTTAGTGCCATCCTAGCTGGAGGAAATACTAAAGCTCTTAACCTTCTTTATGGTTGATAGAGTTCATTAAGAATCTGTTGGTCAGTATGGGTTTGCTGGCCTGCTAAACAGTCATCCCTATATATATGTGTTCATATGCACACACATACACACACACATGCACACATACTATTTTGTTATACAATCTGACTCCTGGGGGATTCTTGCCTGAATTTTTATTAAAGTAAAATGAAGCCTTTTGTAACTTTTTGTACATTCTCAGAAATGAATAGGGTTTACTACCTTTTACCTAGCATCATTTATATTTGATTTTCCAATATCTACTTGAATATATTCTTTTTTTTGTTAATTATAGTTCTACTTGAATACATTCTTAGTAAAACATCTTTTATGTCATTAGATATGACATTTTAAATTATTATCACAAAAATGGTACCAAACCAAGTATTTCTTGCTGGAACTTCTAGGCATTATACCCTATTTGGCCCTGTGGAGGCACTCCGAAATAAATCATAGTTTTGTTTCACTGACAACACTGCAAACATTTGAAGATGGCTAGGAGATCCTTGTCCCATCATGTTAAATATGCCCATTTCTTTACCCTTTTTTAAATTGGATAAGTTCTTTTAGATGTGTCCTGGTTTCTTCACTCTAATAGTATTCAGTGTAACTTCTAAAATACAATGCTTTGGACAGAATAGGACATTTAAAGCATGGCTCCATCCTTGCAAAGTCCTGTTCCCACAGGAACAGATAACTTCATTAACTGTTGGATCAGCTCATGTAAAGTTAAGCTTAACTAAAAATACTAAAAAAATTCTCTATGTAAACTAGTATTGAGCTGGCAGTTCCCCATCTCCTTACCTGACATCTGTGTTTTGTATGCAGTCAAATTTATGTATGAAGAAAAAAACCTCAAAAGCCTTATTGAATAAAGAATGTAACAAAGCAAAATGTGGCTGCTGATCTTTGTGGTGTTGCATGTGTATCATGCAATTTCATAGTCTGCTGATCTCTATTTTACCTTCTTTATTTTACTCAGGTGGAAAGTAATTGCTTAGCTCTACAAGAGATGGAAGATTTGTGTAAACTGCATTGTCTCAGTGTGGTTTTCCTACTCCACTTACCTCTTTCTCAAAGAGCCTGCACTAGATTCATCACTTCTCATTGGACTAAGAACATTCACACTTTCTTAGAAATGGTAAATATGCTCCTTATTAGTTTATTTATTTTTTTTGTTTCCATTGTTTGTATAAAGAAACCACAGTCACCTTCAAAAATAGATTCTTAAGGGGGCACCTGGGTAGCTCAGTTGGTTAAGCATCTGACTTGGTCTTGGCTCAGGTCATAATCTCAGGGTTGTGAGTTCAAACCTCATGTTGGGCTCCATGCTGGACAAAGAGTCTATTAAAAAAAAGAGAAAAACATTTATAAGGGGATATTGTCAACTGTTTGGAGACCTTAAAGATTTAAGGGCCTAAGTCAATTTCTTCCTGATTTCAAAAACTCTGGTAGTAATAACAAACAGCATGATATATATCCGATCTAAGAATAAAACAAAACCAAAAAAACCTACTTTCCTTCTAATTGTGGTCAAGATCAGGTTTATGTGTCATTAATTATAAGAGATTTGTGACCATTTTGTTCTGCTCTTGAGAGAAATTGAAGGTATAAATGTATTAGTTATTTTTGTCCATTATAGATGTTAGTTAGAGAAAATTTGTAGACTTTAGGAAAATAGTAAAAACAAAAGAAATAGCCGGTGACCCACTATTCAAATCAATTCATATATTACATTGGAATATATTATATTATATATGAACATATATATGTAAATATTTTTCTTTTCACATATTTTTAAATTTTCTTTCATACTCTTGGTTAACCTCATTTTTTAATGGCTACTATTTTTTAATGGGTATACCACAGTTTACTCACCCTTTCTTCTATTATAAGATAATAAGAGATTTTAATTATTATATTATAAATGCTGCTATTTTCCAGGTTCTTTGAGTGTAAGACTTTTCCTTTAATTTGGGGATATTGACTTAGACTTCATGCTCAGAAGCGGGATTAGTGGGTAAATTTAAACACAAAATTTTAAAAAATCTTGATACTTGCAGTCAAAATGTTCAAGGAAAGTATTTTAGAACCAATCAATTCGTAAGCTAGTCCACAAATATTTATCTAATGTATGTACATTGTGAGAGCCACTGAGGATACAGTGAGAAAAATAAGAATATATTTACCCATCACCCCATTACTTTCATAAAGCTACATTTTGCAGGAAGACAAGTGTTAAATTTTTAAAATTATTATTAAGGAGGAATTATAAGATACTTTAAAGTCTGATAATAAAAAGATTCGATTCAGTTAGAAAAGGATGGCTTCTTTTAAGAGATGAAGAGAAATGAAGTAATGCAAATCTTGAAGGATTTGCAAGTTGGAGAGAGGATGGATACTGGATTACAGGAGATGAAACGGCATGTGGGATCACCCCGAGAATGGCATGATCAAGGAACTGGAACACAACTTGTGTAACTGGAATAGAAAGAATATGGGAAAGTGATAAAGCTGAAGAGATGGGTAAGAGACAAATCATATAGGAAGGACAGTATAGATCCTGTAAAGAGAATAGAGATTTAACTTGATCATAAGCACAATGAGAACCAACTGAATGATTTCATGCAAATGAATGACACTTTCATTTAAAAAAATTTTTTTTCTTTGGCTTGCAATGCAGAGAGTGCATTGTAGTGGCAAAACTGGATTTAGGGAAACCAGTTAGGTGACTGTTACCTCAGTTCATGTAAGTGTTAATTATATTAGGGACTAAGGAAATGGTAAGTAAGAATGTATGCCAATAGTCAATTTCAACAATTATTTAACAAGTTAACTATGGGCATGAGAGAAAGGGAGAAGTCAAGTGATTCAAATCTCTGGCTGGAGCATTTGTGGGGATGATGCCATTGTATGAAGTATAGTTGTGGAGGAAGATCACAAGTTCAAACCTGAGTTTGAGGTGCCAGTGAAATACTCAAATGGAGATATCTAGTAGGCAATTTGAAATACTGGTTGAAGCTTAACAGAGTGGAATGAATTGGGGATCAAGATTTGGAAATCACTAGGCAATGGATGTTAATTTATGCCAAGGCAGTGGATAAAATGATTTTTGGAAAGACAAGAGGGCGTAGGACAGAGACCTGAGATCCTCCAATTTAAAATGATTAGGAATAGATTGAGACGCTGGCAAGGGACACTGAGAAGGAGGTACTTAGATAAATAGTGTTGAAAGCTTAGAGAATAGACTATTGTGAAGGTCAAAGGAACTGGGCTTTTCAAAAGGTGGGTTAATACTACCAAATGCCATGGAGAACTATAGGAGGTTGAGGACTGAAAATAGTACTTTGGGTTTAATGGCATAGGACTCACTGCTTATTGTAATTAAGAGAAATATTTAAAAATATTTTTCTAAAAAGAGAAATATTAATGGAAATGTTAGAAGCAAAAATCTATGGCAGAGTGGATTCAGTAGTGAGTGGAAGGGAGAAGATAAAGGTGAAGAGAAGTTTATATGTAAGGAGTTGAGAATAAAGAAAGTGACAGAATAAAATGTGATAGGAAGGTGGGTCAATTAGGAATGTTTTTAAAATGGCAAAGACTCAGCATGTTTAAATTAAAAGAGAGGATAGGATGAAAATCAGGGAAAGTAAGGTGAGAGGGGATGGGGTCTAGCATGTGTTCTTATACAGAGGGAGGGATATTGCCATTCTCATAGGAGAGAATAAAGAAAGAATGGTGCGGCATTGGCTGTGATGGAAATTGTAAGATAACTTTGTTTCTGTGTCTGGTTTAAGGTTCTTTATGAAGTAGGAATCAAAGTCAAAATGCTGAATGCTGTGGTGAGGAAACAAGCCCAGAAATTTAAGAACGGTGAAATATTTTGGAAATATTTACCAAGGATCTTAGGGGTCAAACTATATTGAGGGGGGTATACTAGATATATATATATATCTAGTATAGGGGGTATATAGATATATCTAGATCGATCTAGATATATCTAGTATAGGGGGTATATAGATATATCTAGATCGCTCTAGATATATCTAGATCGATCTAGATATATCTAGTATAGGCGGTATATAGATATATCTAGATCGATCTAGATATATCTAGTATAGGGGGTATATAGATATATCTAGATCGATCTAGATATATCTAGTATGGGGGTATATAGATATATCTAGATCGATCTAGATATATCTAGTATAGGGGGTATATAGATATATCTAGATCAATATAGATATATCTAGTATAGGGGGGTATATAGATATATCTAGATCGATCTAGATATATCTATATACCCCCCTATACTAGATATATCTATAGTATATCTATCTATCGATCTATATATCTAGATATATATCTATATCGATATAGATATATCTATATACCCCCTATACTAGATATATATAGGGGGTATATATAGGGGGGTAAACTATATATCACTCTGTCCTACCTAGCACTTTGGAAGGTTTATTTGAAGTTTTTGACAAAACAATTATAGTGGCATCAGTATGTTTTATTGCATGATTTTCTTTTTCTAGTAGTCTCAACAATATGCCTATAAGCACAAGAAAGGAAAAAAGGGACATGATAATTTAGGCACAAAAAAGCTATTAGTAGATTTACATAATTTTATGGAAAAGTAAAAAGGAAAAGAGATTTTAGTATCTTCACAAGAAGATGGTAAAAATGATAGACGAGAAAACAAGGTTGCATGAGGTAAACCAAATGGACTCTATTGGATAGGTCCTATCCAGAACTGAGGTCCTGATATGATTAATAAAGAAGTGTGAATGATCATTACACAAAGTTAGATGGATGGGTCAACAGGTGGGAGTAAGGAATTATTCATCAGGGAGTGTGGCATACACTTAATATTTTCTTGTCTGAGTCTACCACTCACTTACTTTTCCATCTTCCTATAAATGCCTGCAACTCCACACCTGGAGGATTTATTTGCTTGATCTGAAATGCTGAAGTATTAATTCTCACGCCCTCCACCAATGACAGATGAGGAATTGGTGGATGAAGACCCCAGCTTCCTTGTATATAAGTTGAGAAATGTATTCTACACTGTCTCCTAGAATTCCCTAGTGAAATTAAGTTCCAGTTGTTCCCAGTGGTCATGGATTGGATAATGTATCCTTTATTGGTTTCTTTTCTTTCCTGTCTTACTTCTGCATTCCCTGGCTGGTGTTTCTTGTGATCACTCTGTTAGTTGAAGTTGAGTCAGATGAAATCAGAATTTCATCCAAGTCCCTATCTTCTCAATTTTTCATTCTCAGCAAACAAGGGTATCAGAACAACCCAAGAAGAATCATTTAGGGTTTCTTGCCTTTTTATTTCCTCTAGGGTCTCCTATGGCTGTCTGATGAATTCTATGAAGGGAATTCTCCCTTCCTCAGGATAATATAAATGCATAAAATAAGATATTTAGGATTATAAGGGTATCATTTACATTGAAATAGCTATTAAATATTAAAAACAGGGGCACCTGGTTGGCTCAGTGGGTTAAAGTCTCTGCCTTCAGCTCAGGTCATGATCCCAGCGTCCTGGGGCTTTCTGCTCAGCAGGGAGCCTGCTTCCCCCCTCTCTCTCTGCCTGCCTCTCTGCCTACATGTGATCTCTATCTGATAAATAAATAAAATCTTAAAAAAATATATTAAAAACACACATTTGTGATGTAGTAATATATGTGTTTACTTGTTACTACATTAGACAGTCCTATAACTACCATGCTTTCAATGTATGGTAAATATAAACAGTATCTCTAGATGTTTGTAGCACTTGCAATGTAATGTGAAGATATGTTATTTCTACTGGTGCTAAATCCCAGCTAAGGCATAGGAGTATGGCATGTCATCTGGGTTTATTACTGAAAATAAACATTTTTGCTACAAGTTAGCAAAAATTAAAATATAATTTTCTGATCTAAATTCGTTAACTCCCTAAATTCTATCAGGTAAAAATACTCCCGTAATAAGATCTTTTTTGCATGACCTCTCTCCTCACAACCCCACCTTCCAGTTGGACCAGCATGTGCTCTTACTTTAGGGATTGGAGGAAAATAGTCAAATTTCCTGCCCTTTAAAAGAATAATATTGGTCTGTATATAACAAATATTATTGAAAAATACAATTACCTTCTTCTGCCTGTACTGAACCTTCCTCATAAAGTGTCCATGAATTGAGGAGGGCAGAGAGGTGGAGAATAAATGAAGTCACCATGAGTGGGGTGGGAAGGGCATGATAGAATCCCCATAAAGTTTCAGGGTTATGTGCATAGAGAGAACCTGTGATTAATTTTTAGGACACAGACTGGGAGATACCTGGTCTCACCTAGGATACCTGTGGCTATATGTGCCAGGGAACTGGACTAGAAAATGCAGTGTGGTGTCTATCCATGAAAGTATGGGAAATGGTGCCTGAACTTCCTGAGGGAGGGTCTGAAAGTTCTTGTAGGTTCTGAATGAGTCATGCTAGTTGATTGAAAGGGAAGGGAAATCTGCTAGTCTTTACAGAATTTTCAGAAACCAGATGAGGGGATAAGTGGGAAAAGACATCTTTAAGTCTGAGGACTGTATTTCAGTAGACTATGAGCTCCATGGGACCAAATGGAAGCCACTCCACAGCCACTGACCATTTAATCTCTATTCAAGGGACCTGGGTCTATTGCCCATGTAGAATACTGAAGAATGAGGTATAACTGGAGACAACCATACTGAGTAATGGGCACTGTTTTTTACCAAAATGTATAAATTTTTTTATACACATTTTGTTGTTGTTGTTTTACCACAAATATATAAACACTCCTGTCAAAGCCTGGCATGGGGGACTCATGAAAATAATTGATCTGAGTGTGATTAGGAAGTAATTAAATCGGACTGATTTTACTTTGTAGTGCTTACATTATATTTACTGAAATAGCATAATGCATATGTAGGATCAACAAAGTTCAGAAACAGAAAAATACATTGTGTATCTAGGTTTATATTTGTGAGCATTTAGAACTGCTCTAACAGAAGTGTTGAAGGTTTTATGATGTGGTATACACAATACCATGTGGTTCTGCTGATGCTCAGCGGCAAAAATATTTTCCTATATCCCAATTCCCATTGAGGAACTTTCCTCTAGGCATTTTGATAGTCTGTTAGGAAGAGACTGACTATGGTTAATTAAAGGAATAGGAAGACTACATTTCCAGCTTCTTTTAGTTTATTTATTTAATTTTAAATATTTTACTTATTTATTTGAGAGAGAAAGAAAGAGAGTGCATGCATGAGTGAAGAGAGGGAGAAGGGAGAGGGAGACACAGACTCCCCATTTAGCAGGGTAGCCAGAGAGAGAGCTCCATTCCAAGACCCTGGGATCATGACTTGAGTCTAAGGCAGATGCTTAACCAACTAAGCAACCCAGGCACCCCTGATTTACTTTAGACATTTCAATAAAATCATGTCAGGTTAATACATTAAATCTATTGACATGACATATCAGATGTTGAAATAATACATTATCATATCAATATTATTGTGTTACAAATTTTGTGCTAAAGTTATTTCTCAGATAATTGATTTTTTGTCAACTTTTTATAGGTTGAATTACATATACTCAGTTACTGTAGGGTATGAATGTAATAATTGTGGTATTGATTTACAGATTTAGATAAATTCTCTGTGTGTATAGTTTTCACTTACAGTTTTATAAACAATTTTTATGGACAGTGGTAATTAGGTAAAAGGATATTACAAAGTCTTTCTAAATTATGGAATGTTCTAAGATGGTTCTGCAGGACATACTTTGTGGTTTTAGCTGATGAAAAAAAATCACTCTTCAATTAGGATGGCATGGATTGAGGACATGATAGGAATAGCTTCTAGGTATTTTGCACCAGCTTTATGTGTGTACTTTACCTATATTACCTCATTAAGACATAACAATACACTTCTTATGTCCTCATTTTACAGGTGAGAAACTTGGGCTCAGAAAGTCTAAGTGGCCCCTTAGCACAACTAATAAATGATCAAGGTGGGAGATAAGTTCCTCTCTGTCCAGTTTCCAAATCTGTGCCCTTCCCACCATCCTTTGCTCCCTTGATAAAGGGAAACAGCTGATTACCCCAGAGTCAAGCACTCCTCTGGTCTTTCTATCATCTGTACTTCATTTTGGTAACACCCAGTAGCTGGAAATGTAACTCAGGTAGCTTCTGAAATTTCACAATAAAAGGCATATTCTGAGGTCTGTGGAAAAAGCAACTAAGCAAACTCTGAAGGGAGAGTTTCATGTTTACTCAAATCTTGACCCTTGGAGACCATATGGAGGCCCTTACGTGAAGTGAATAAAATGAGGAATGTGTGCTGTACTGTATTCACATATTACCATTTGTTTACTCAGTGGTATTATGGGATAAGATTGGGTGGGGAGAACTTTACATGTCTGTGGTTCTCCAAGTATGGTTCCCTTGAACAACAGCATCAGCATCACCTGGGAACTTGTTAAAAATGCAAATTCTTTGGCTCCATCCCAGAGCTACTAAATCAATGTTGGGATGATGCCTAGCAATCTGTGTTTTATTTGACAATCTTTTCAGGTGAGGCTCCTGTTGAGGCTGCAAAATCTTGGCTCTATGGTTTTGTGGAGATCTCTTTAGCATTTTATTGAAGTTAAAACTGCACTGTAGGTAGGAGGTTCCTATGTTGATATTTATGACTTCTTTTGAAACTTGGTCAATCTCCCTGATATCTGTTTAGAGCTAGGTTGTCCAAAACAGTAGCCCATAGCCACAAGTGGATATTAAACATGTGGAATGTGGGTAGTCTGAAATGAGATGTGCTCTAAACTTAAAGGAAACACCAGATTTCAAAAAAACTTAGTATGAAAAACATGTAAACTATTCTATTATAATTTTTATATTGATTACACATTGAAATAATACTTTGAGGGTGCCTGGGTGGCTCAGTTGGTGAGCGGCTGGCTGCCTTTGGCTCAGGTCATGATCCTGGTGTCCTGGGATCGAGTTCCGCATCAGGCTCCCTGCTCGGCGGGCAGTCTGCTTCTCCCTCTGACCTTTCTCCTTTCATGCTCACTCACTCTCATTCTCTCTTTCAACTAAAATAAAATCCTAAAAAGAAAATAATTCTTTGGATGTGTTGAGTTAATTAAAATAATTTTTTTAATGTGGCTTTTGGAAATTTAGGATAAGATATGCAGCGTGCCTATGTTATATTTTTGTTGGACAATTCTGAGTTCTCTTTCAACATCAATATAGATAAGTAAATTGTTCACATATGGAAAGCATTTGATTTTATTATTGAGGGAGGGTGGGGCAGAGAAGGCTTGGTTTTCCCCCAATGAATTTAATTCCCCAATGACTAGGCTCTCACTTGCTAAGGTTGTTTACTCATGTCTACTCAACTCTGAACTAAGTGTGGCCAGTGAAGACATTCTCTCTGTGTTAGGTGTGAACATGGCCTCACTATCATAAACTCAGCAGGTGTAGATGGAAGGGAATCTTTGAGTTTGAAGGATTCATCATCTTCTAGACCACTAAACAATCAAATGCTATTTCTTAAATCCTCTTTTGACCTGAAAGTAGAATTGGAAAACATTAAAACCTCAGTAAAGAACAGAGGCACATTTGAAAACAGAAGTATTTCTGTAGCATTGGGACAAATCTATGAATTTGTATGAGGAAAGAATTGTATTGAGTCAAACACAGATTTCTATGATTCAGAATAAAGAACTATTGCTGAATTAATTTTTTGGTCAGTTTGGTTTTATTTTATGATCTAACCTTTTAAGATAAAAGCATTCAATGTTATCCAGCCTGAAAGAACTTAATAAGAATTGGAAGAACCTTGCCAACTTGCCTTTCATTGGATTACTGATGCATTTGAAGTTATATTATAGTTTATTGCTAATATAACAATCATCAATAACTTGGTTTTATTTCTGATTTGCAGAAAAAGTGGTGTGAATATTTCATCCTAAGTAATATAAACATTTGTGAATTCTGGAATCTGAATTTAATTCACCTTTCAGACTTAAGTGATGAGCTTTTGTTGAAGAATATTGCTTTTTACTATGAAAATGAAAATATTGAAGGTACCACCTCAGTATATTTTAATAATTGTACTTTCATCCAGAGATAAACATTATAAAGAATTTAAAACTTCAAAATCATTTTCTTATATGTCCAACATAAAACATAGCAATTATTTTCCTTTCAATCTTTGTTTATATATATATATGTTTTATTTAGTTGCAATCAGAGTGAGTTATATTTTAAAACATTTTTAAATTAATATACTCAAGTATTCTTGAAAAAATACACGTTTGGGTATTTGGCATTTTTAGATAATTTTAACAGTTGAATTTTTTTCACTTAAATATATGCATTATATTTCAAAATATTTATTCAAATTAAGGTAATCATCCGACTACTATGAGATATTTATGGAATTTTAATTTTTTTCCAAAGATGAAGCTGATTTATATGTTATATGTAATTTGTTTTTCTTTCTTTGAATTATTTTGTTAGAATAAATTTTCTGTTATTTCTTAATAGTCAAAGAAAAAGAAAACATGTTTTAAGAGAGCTATAACTCATTGAGCATTTTTTAATTTATTTTAATTTATTTTTTTTATTTCTTTGACCTCTAGAATTTGGTTCCTACACATGGCAAACATTGAAATGAGTTAGCAACATATAAATGTAGCAGCGCTCTACAAATGTTCTTATCTCTGAAAAATAAGTTATATTCAGTTTTATTGGTTGTAAAGTTATATGTGGCATAACATTTTTTACCTTATAAAATAGATATCCAAAATCTGCTGTTATGATAGCTGTAAATTATTTATTTAGGTGTAGTGTGGAACTCACTGAAAGTTTTACAGTTTGACAAATAATTCAGAACGCTATGAATTTTGTCAAAGTGTATGCTTCTGTATATATAGTAATGATTTTTAATATTTACTACTTTTAACTATCATACAGGCTTACATTTGAATTTGGGAGATATCATTATGAAAGATTATGAATATCTTTGGAATACTGTGTCAAAGTTGGTTGGAAAGTTTGCTGTTGGAAAGCCATTTCCTCTGAGAACAACAAAGCTTTATTTTCTTGAAAAGAATCCATCACCAATCAAAGGTAATAAATCTCCAAATTAATTTGAAGTAACAGTTCAGATCTCTGAAGATTTTTTTTGAAAACACTACTAAGTGTTGTATATCTAATTTTTTTTTCTGGCACTATGCATTTAAATAATAAATAATAATAAATTAATAATAATAATAAATAAAAATAACCTTTTGCTGTTTCATTGGGATGACATGCTATGACTATAGTTTTGAAGAGTTATATGTTTTGCTTATAGCTAATGTTGTTGCCAATTAAAAAAAAAGCCAGATATATGTGACTTTCATTTCTATCAATATGGCAGTATAGGTTAAGGGGAAAATCTCTTTTGGGAAACAATTGAAATGCTGGTAAGACACACCAAACATCTTTTAGTATTATCATAGCTAAGCTCAAAACAATAGAAATGCAATTCCAGGAGACAAGAATAAAGGGAGACTGATCTCTGGCTAATACAAAATGAATTACTAGGTTGATTTCTAATTATAGGTCCATCTTCCCAAGAATTTGGGGTTTCAGTTATTCTGTTAGTAGTGTCAAGACAACTCTAAGCTGGAAAATTAGCTTAAAGTGATCAGAAGAATCTAGTACATTCTTTGTAGATGAAAAACATCATAAACCCTGGGAATGCCTGGGTGGCTCAGGCAGTTAAGCGTCTGCCTTCAGCTCAGGTCATGATCCCAGGGTCCTGGGATCTAGTCCCACATAAGGCTCTTTCTCAGCAGGGATCCTGCTTCTCCCGTTGCCAGCCATTCCTCCTCCTTGTGCTCTCCCTCTCTGACAAATAAGTTAATAAAAATAAAATCTTAAAAAAAGAGAAATATGATTTAGCCGTCATCATAACATCATAGAAGATGTTTCCATTTGATGAATTTCAGGAAGAATAAAATGTCCTCCTAAGGAATGTGAGAAGGAAATCTAATGTGAATTTGGGATGTATCAATATAAATATATTTTTCAGAATATGGGGAAAGAATATATATACTCTTTATGTGTATATATCTATATATATATACACACACACATACACACACATATATATATGTATTATATGTATATATATACACACTCTTTTGTCCAGATGAGTTCTATCAGACAAAGACTCTTGAGGAAGATCAAATAAGGGGTTTATTGATCACAGAAAGATCAAATAAGGGAGTGGTTAGGTAAGATCAGGAAGAGAACAAAACCAGTGTAGGACATGTTAATGAGGTTTCCACTGTGGGCAAGTACAGGCGATTTTACTGGGAATCTTAGAATGTCATTCAAACCACCTCAGTGATATCTTACCTGAAGAGCAAGATAGCTGGGGCATTTACCTGCAACTCCTGTTACATTTTTGGCTGAGGGCTATCTATGGGGCATGGGATCCTTAGCACTTCTGGCCTTCACATGGCTGTAAGAAGAAAAGTACTCAGGCAGAGAGTTGCAGAGACCTGCAGTAAGAAGGTGTCAGGCAAACAGAAACTGAACATGAAGGAGATGGGCAGAGCAATGGCAGCTTACCTATAATTGTGAACCAGGTATAAATAAAAAGGCATTCATTAACCAACTATTATATATAGGATATATGTGTGATATGTATGGTATCTATCACATGTATGTGTATATGTGCAGATACATATATGTATACATATATATAATATCAAAGAGAATGTAAGAAAATACTGTTATGATAACAAGTTATTTCATTATTATCTATATATTTTCCCTTATTTTTTAAATATTTATTTCCATAAAAGTATTTATGTGGGAGATCTGAGTGCAAGTTCCATGTTCAACTTCCTTGTAATAAGGGATAATGAAGGAAATAGATATTTAAAAACAGTAAATAGTTATTTTTCTACCTACCTACATACCTACATGCCTAAATACTGCCTATTTCTTCATACTCTGCTACGTTCCAAAATGTTTTAATGTGGGCAATAGCTTTATGGGAAGGTCTGGAATTGATAAATGTAAATAAAATCAATGAAAAATGTTTTTTATATTAAGGCTTTAGAAAATGATGTGTAATGTTCCTATGTGAAAGTCTCACTTTTGACACTGTCTTAATTTTTTTTTAATTGTTTACAGATACCTTCAATGAAAAGATTCCTAATTTGGGATTTATTTCAATGTCATGTGAACTGGTTGATAAGTTTGTTGGTGATCTTTTGAAAGATTTGCCTTTCTTAAAGAGGTATAAGACAAAAAATGTCTCAGTAAATGGGTGGAATGGATGACTTACTCATTAAAGATTTTATGAAATGAAACAAATTAAATGGAGTATATTAAATGCAATATGTGTTTGTAACACATAATGAGTTTAATAGCAAATTTATCAATGTCTTTTGTCTTAGCTAGGTTAAAATCAACATGGTTTTAATTTTAGAGTAAAATTATTCCAGTTGGATGTTTTTAATTAGTGGGTTAATTAATGAATATTTGTTGATGTTGTTGGGATTGCTAGAGATGTGGGGTAGATTCTGGGTTCTTAAGCACCTAATAAACTGCTTTGGGGATTCTAACACCCACATCGTATTATAGAAAGAAGAAGGGTGGCTATGATTTTTTAAAATATTAAAAAATGAAACCTGTGCTGTGTTCTGTTTAGAGGCATGAAATTTAAAATGTGCACATATTTCTTTTGTCTCATAGCGATGATCCTATTGTGACTTCACTAGTTAAACAAAAGGAATTTGATGAACTTGTGCATTGGCATTCTCACAGACCCCTTAGTGATGATTATGATAGGACAAAGTGTCAATTTGATGGTGAGTTATGTGTCTCTGGTGAAATAAATTAAAATCAATTTCATTCTCTTTTTATTTTGTAAAAAAATTATCATATCATGAGCCACAAGTTATATTTCTTGAATAATAATAGTCTACAAGATATTTAGATGTATGTCAGTAAAGATGGTAATGAAAAAGTCCCACTCTGTTTACTGATAGTCATAGGAACACAGGAATGCAGATGTCCGAGGAAGTGCACCAATACTGCATTTGTCCCCACAAAAACTTGGAGCTGTTTTAAATAAATATGGTTTGCAGTTTAAAATATCTGTGTATTCCTTGACATTCATAATACTAAGGCCCTAGTCTTTCGAGCAATTTCAGCTACTTTCACACCACCCAGTTGATTACATATAACAAGTGCCAGTATTTTATGTGCTTTCAAGCTTGGGATGTTTGGAACTGCAAAAGGAGGCCCATGAAACCACGAAAAGTAGATCAATAGAGATTGAATTAGGTATCTTGTCCCCTTGGTTTATCCCTTGTCTTCATCTCATCTTTGTCTACCCCTATCTTACCTCCACCCTTCTTCAAGATGATAAAACTTAACTTTCAGAAGAATCTAGGAGGGTGCATAGTAGGCTTGCTTATGCTTATCAGCCTGTTTACATAAATAGCTACTAAGACCCTGCAAGATGTGAAGGGACCTTTTAGATTAACCATTAATATCTTTCAAAACAATTTAATTAGATATATGTAGATACAGACATAGAAAAATCAACCAGCTTAATTATCCCCTTAATTGTAGTTTTCTTTGGGTATGGAAGTAAATCATACCTTGATTGTTGGAATTTCCTGTGTCTTTGGATTTTTCCATAGTATAAGTGTTTTTCAGCTGCCAAGCTCTTGGCTCTGTGGCTATGATTGAGAGTAAGGATTTTTCTATCAAGCAGTGCCAGAAGCCAGGATATCCAAGATGGATATCATCTTGATTTTGCCTCTATCTTCTTCTTCTTAAACTCACTCATAGAGCAAATAAAGAGGTAATATGCAGAATCTATCATTCTTTGTGGCATGATATTTGCTTTAGGAAGTAGATAGTGAAAGAGTGTCTTGTCACTTCCATCTTTTATTTTATTTATTTATTTATTTATTTATTTATTTATTTATTTATTTTTACTTCCATCTTTTAAATAAGGAAAAGAGTTATTCTATAGATAAGTATTTGTCTGACTTGATTCCCTCTTTAACAAAAGTAAATCAAACTAAACTATTATTCCAAACTAAAAAGTACATGTGTGGGTGGGATGGTATGAAGGTTTAGTGAGAATGCTTCTGAAAAAAATCAAGTAGTTTTACATTTTAAGTCTTTTATTTTTCAGAAAAATCTAGAGATCCTCGTTATCTTAGGTATGTGCAGAAGTATCATGTTTTTCAACGATTTTATGGGAATTCATTAGAATCAGTCTCTCCAAAATTGGTTGTAACTCAAGCTGTCAAGCCAAAGAATAATTTCAGTGAACCCAAGAAGAAAAAGAAGGCACACGTAAGTTCTATTAATTCTATCTATATCTATATCAAATTTTAGAACTGTCTTTTGACTTTTCTTAAGTTGCTATTTGTTAAATTCCTCTGGTAGTTTCTTTTCATTCTATGCTTTTTCTTTTTATATATGATCACTTAGATTATTTTATTTATTTGGTAAGAAAGTCTAACCTCCATATACAAGGTTATATATGGTCCTCTATACATAATAAAATGTATATGTATTTGAAAAAGAATATAAGACAATAGGTTACTAAAGGCTTGGATTCAGAAATGTTGAAATAAAATTAATAATATAGTTCTTTTGAGTTCTGGTCTAAGATGGCAATATAGGAGGTTCCTGAAATCATCTCCTCCCATGGACATACAGAATTTACAGATAAATATGGGAAAACTTTCTCTGAAGGCAATCCAGAAACTAGAGAACTAGTGAGAAAATGAGAAACAAATGAGAAAAATCCCACAATGAAACAGGTAGAAGAAGAGGCTGAGACATACTCTCACTATAAACCCCATTCCTGGTACAGAGACATGCAATTGGGAGAAAACTCAAAAGTCCTAATTTTGCCCTCAGGAGGAAAAGATTGGGACCAAATTTTTGGTCTGGCACCCCAACTTTTGAGTTCCACTTGAGGAAAGGACCTCTCAAAACATCTAGCTTTGAATGCCAACAAAGCTTGCATCCACAGGACCCACAAGACTGTAGCTTGATTATCCCCACCCAGGGCATAGAAGCAGCAGACTGAAATGCTTATTCCCAGTCTTTCCCAGAAAGAGAATGATTTGCATACTTTAAAAGTAACAAAAAGAATCTGAGCATACCACTACAGAAAGCTATCAAGTCACAAAGCAAGAGAAAAAAGAGAAAAACAAAGGAATTGTAAATCAGAAAAAAATTAATGGTCATAGTAAGCCAATACATATTAATAATTAATTTAAATGTTAATGGACTAAATTCTCCAATCAAAAGACATAGAGGGGCTGAATTAATAATAATAATAATAATAATAATACCCTACTATATAATGTTTAAAAGAGACTCACTTCAGCTTTATTCAGCTTTAAGGACACACAAACTGAAAGTAAAGGGATGGAAGAAGATATTCCATGCAAATAGAACCAAAAAATGCAGGGGTAGCTATATTTATATTAGAGAAAATAGACATTAAGGTGAAGACTGTCATAAGAGACAAGGAAAGTTATTATATAATGAAAAAGGTGAAAACCTGAAAACATTTTCTCTAAGATCAGGAACAAGACAATGATGCCCACTCTCACCACTTTTATTCAGAATGGTCTGGAAATCCTAGTCAGAGCAATTAGGCAAGAAAAATAAATACAAGTTCTCCAAATTGGTAAGGAAGTAGTAAAACTTTCACTATTCGTTGATGACATGATATTATATATAAAAACATTCTTAAAACTTTACCAAAAAAAAGTTAGAACGAATAAATGAATTCAGTAAAGTTGCAGAATATAAAATTAATGTACAGAAATCTGTTGTGCTTCTATTCACAAATAGCACACTAGCAGAAAGAGAAATTAAGATAACAGTTCTATTTACAATTGTATCAAAATACTTAAAATAAATTTTATCAAGGGGGTGAAAGACCTGTACTTTACTTAGTGAAAACTATAAAACATCAATGAAAGAAACTGAAGATGACACACAAAAAAAGGAAAGATATTCTGTGCTCATGGATTGGAAGAATTATTATTCTCAAAATGTCCATGGTACCCAAAGCAATCTACAAATTTAATTCAATCCCTATAAAACTACCAATAACATTTTTCACAGAATTAGAAGAAATAATTCTAAAATGTGTATGGAACCACAAAAGACCCTGAATAGTCAAAGCAATCTTGAAAAAGATGAACAAAACTGGAAGTATCACAATCTCAGATTTCAAGATATAATACAAAGCTGTAATAATCAAAAGACTATGGTACTGGCACAAAAACAGACATGCAAATCAATAGAACAGAATAAAGAGCCCAGAAACAAACATGCATATATGCTTAATTCAAGAAAAAGGAGGCAAGAATATGCAATGAGGGGAAAAGACAGTTTATAAGTGGTGTTGGGAAAATTGGACAGCCACCTGCAAAAGAATGAAACTAGCATACATAAAAATCAACTCAAAATAAATTAAAGACTTGAATAAAAGACCTGAAACCATAGAACTCCCAGAAGAAAACGGGGGTAAGTACCTTGACATTGGTCTCATCAATGATTTTTTTTTTATTTGACATCAAAAGCAAACATAACAAAAGCAAAAATAAATGAGACTACATCAAACTAAAAACTCTGTACAGCAGAGGAAGCCATCAATGAAATGAAAAAGCAGTCTACTCTATGGGAGAAGATATTTGCGAATCGTATACCTGATTAGGGGCTAATATCTAAAATATATAAGGCAGTCATGTTATTTAATAACAACGCCCCCCAAACCAAACAATCTGGTTTTAAAAGTGGACTGAGTACTGAATAGAATTTTTTTTTCAAGAAGATATATGAATGACCAACAGGTATATGCAAAGGTACTCAACATCATCAGTCATCAGGGAAATACAAGTCAAAACCACAATGAAATATTATCTCAGAGGTGTCAGAATGGCTGTCATGAAAAAGACAGAAGGTAACAAGTGCTGGCAAGGATTTGGAGAAAAGAGAACCCTTATGCACCATACATGGAAATGTAAATGGTGCAGCTACTATGAAACAATATGGAGATTACTCAAAAAATTAAAAACAGAACTACCATAGGAGCTAGCAATCCACTTCTGGGCATTTATCCAAGGAAATGAAAATAGGCTATGGAAAAATATATCTACACTCCCATGTTCATGGCAGCATTATTTATAATAGCCAAGATATGGAAACAGTGTAAACATTTATCAGTGGATGGATGAATAAAGATGACGGGGTATATATGCACAGAATGGAATATTATTTAGCTATAGGAAGGAATTCCTGCCATTTCTGACAACATGGATAACCTGGCAATGCTCAGTGAAGTACACTAGACAAAGATAAATACTGCATGTTATCATTTATATGTGGAATAAAAAAAAAGATGGTTGCCACAGACTGGGTGGGCGGGGGCAATAGGTAGAGGTTGGTAAAAAGGTGCAAACTTTCAGCTATACAGTGATTAGTGTCTGAGAACCTAATGTAAAATACAGTGACTGTAGTTGATAACACTGTAATGCATCATTAAAATTTACTAAGAGAGTAGATTTTCAATGTTCTCACTCCCAAAAAAGATAAACGTGTGAGGTAATGGATGGATTACTTAACCCAATGGGGAAAGTTCAACTACATATATTCATATATCAAATCACCATGATGTATACTTTAAATATTTTACAGTTATATTTTTCCATAATAACTCAGTAAAGCTGACATTTTTCAAAAAGTCCAAGCAGAAATGGGGACTTTTGCTTTAATAGTTAAAAAGCAGCCTTTCCCAAGCCCATATATGTGGTCATTGTTTTTCTCCTTGTGGTGACAACCCCCTTTTTATTTTCATAGCCAATTTTATTGTTGGTGAAATCATCCAGTTACTTTTCCTTTTTCATTTAGGGCTACGAAGAAGTTTCTTTTCTTTTTTTTTTTTTCAAGAGGGATGTTATAAAATAGAAAGTTTGCAGCAAAAATTCTCATTATATGGTATAAGTTATGAAGACTGAAAATAAAACATTTTTTCTTTTACATTATTAGAAATTAAGTAAATTATCTTATTGAAGATAAACACTCTCAGCACTATATAAAGTGCTCTTCTAGCAACCATTTAATAAGTCTGCATTTTCAGGATATGATAAGCATTGTGCATGGCAAAGGGCCAAGGGTCACCCTTTTTGTACTGAGAAAGAATCATGCTGAGTTAACCTAGAACCAAATATTTGGCAGATTAAAACATTAGGAATCCTCAAATAATGTTGATTAGAATTATTGAGAAATGATGACGAAGAATATTGACTTAATTGTAGGCAAATTTATATGTTAATTTTATGACTAATCAGAATAATGGAAGATTTATAGAATTCTCTTGTGAATACAATTCTTTAATTTGTTTTTGTAGATTAATAAATCAGATTGGTAAAAGTCTAGTAAAGAGGATCCATATTGAGTTTAAGTCAACTGGAAAAGCTTATCCAGATAAAGCAAATCAGTTGTATTTATGTTGTTTCTTTCTATCCACTCCTTTCCTTCATCTGCTTTCGCTTTTCCTCATTCACTTATCAAATATTATAAGCTAAATGTTTTGTGCTTGAAAAATACAGACAACAATTACATATTCCTGTTTCAAGAAAGTTAATCTAGATAGGAAGTATGACAAGTAAAATCATAACTACAGTATATGTAATGAGTACTTTGATAGAGAGATGCCCTGGCAGAGAAGAAATATATGAGTTAAGCTTGGGAGTTAGGAAAGGCCTCATAGAGGAAACATCTTGAAGGACAAGTAGGAGACAGGGAGATGACAGTGGAAAAATGGAAGAGGAAAATCCAATCCAGAGAGAGCAGCAGGAAGCAATGCAGGAGACATGAGAAAACAGTGGCCTAATATTTCCAATTTTATTAATTTACTCTTTGATTTATAATCTAATCTATACAACTCAGAAATCTACACAGTTATCTGCAGAGAGGCTTTATAGTGATTAAATTTAATTGTCATAAGTTTTTAATTAAGAGAGGGTTTAATTTTAAGAAATAAATGCTGAAACTAAAATTGTTCATATTCAAGAACAGAATGATGGTCAAAATAACCAATATACACTTAAAAATGTTGTCTCATATATGAAATTTAATCTTGGAATATTTCCAACTTGTTTCATGATTTTCTTCTTTTCCCCCTTTTTTGGGCAGGAGACCAAGGCTGAAATAATTACTAGAGAGAATAAAAAGAGATTATTTGCTAAGGAAGAGGAAAAAGAGGAGAAAAAATGGAGTGTTCTGTCATTTTCTATTGAAGAGGAAATGAAAGAGAACTTAAACTCTGGAATAAAGAATCTGGAAGATTTTTTGAAATCATGTAAAAGTAACTCAGTGAAATTTCGAGTTGAAATGGTAGCATTGACTGCCTGCTTGAAAGCATGGAAAGAACATTGCCGAGGTAAATTTATGTGATTTTGTGTTTTTTGTTTTGATGAACTGGAGAATTAATCAAAGGATGTAATATGATAGCTGTCATTTATTAACTGGAAGTTTGTGATAGAAGCCTTAGATTCATTATGCGATTTTATCCTCACAGAATTCCTCTAAAGATTACTTCTTTTATCAGTGAGCAGTGAAATCTCAAAGTAGCTAATATATAGCATATTCCTAAGCAAATTCAAATCAAATCAGTCAAAGATAAGCTTAAGAATAACTTCTTATAAAACTGTGGGCATAGTCAAAGGAACCAGCAAAGATGGTGAGGCACTCTGGGAGATCTGTCTCTCATTTTTGAAATCTGAAGTGCAAACATTTTCTTTCTGGGTAAAACTAAAGATTATGTTTGCCAGCCATGTTGAATTCTTCTAACTGTTGCCATGACACCCATGTGCTATTCTTTGCAATTTCTATAACACATAGTAGAATAAAAAAGAAGAGACAGGGAGAAGAAGATAAGGGGAAATAAACCTGGGTAAAGATGCATAAATTAGTAACAGATAAATGATATGTGCCATAAGAACTCCAAACTGACAATTCTTCCCAGTAACCTAGTTGATCTGTCTCTGGCATCTCCACACTTGAATCCATTTAATACATGGTCACTGGATCCTTTTTCCCCCTCTACTCTCATTGTGTTAACTTCAAAAGCCATCAGCCTTTCACTGTGGATTTTTTCACAGTGAGAAGCATAAGATCTGGCTTATATATTTCTCCCCAAACAAGATGTTGTATCAGAATTTGCAGCTGACTCCTACTAAGAAAGATCAGAATTAAATGGTTTACTCTCCTGAGGGGAAAAATTCTATATTAAATTTTTTTTTAGTCTCTTGTAGTATTCAGCGGGTGTTTGGTAATATTTGTTAGATAGCTAAAACATAGGTTTATTGGAAGAAATTTGAAATTAAGAACAGCCCTAACATGGTAAGTATGGAAAGGTTAGCAGTTAGGAAGAATAAAAAGAATGTAATAACCATGCAGAAATGAAGAAGAATTAGCAAACTCTGTATTTGTCAGTTGTAATAGACTAATTGAAAACCTCCAATAATTGTATGAAATAGTTATCTGTGGTCAACAGTGGGACTCAATAAGTTTTGCAAAGTTTTTAACCGGATATTTAAAGTCATCTAAATATTTTTTTTGATGATAGTAGAGATGGCATGAAAATAATAGGTAAGAAAATATTTGCTGTTCCCCAGAACACTTAATACAACCTTGAGCTTTAATAATCTTATTACTATCATGAACTATAAGACTTTTCTCTGTCTCCTTTATTTGCACAGCTACTTCCCAGTTATCCATAGAAATGATGAAGTAGGTATAGGCGCACTTTAATTATATTTTACCTAGTCATCTGTATTCCAAAAACTTTATAAATGTTAAATAAAATAATTAGGTCAGGGGAGCCTGGGTGGCTCAGTGGGTTAAACCTCTGCCTTCAGCTCAGGTCATGGTCCCACAGTCCTGGGATCGAGTCCTGCATCAGGTTCTCTGCTCAGCAGGGAGCCTGCTTCCTCCTCTCTCTCTGCCTGCTTCTCTGCCTACTTGTGATCTCTGTCAAATAAATAAATAAAATCTTTAAAAAAAATAAAATAATTAGGTCAGATTGATAGCCTGGATGACTAATCTTGGATAATCAAACATTATTTTTGATGGTCTTTATAAAAATTATATTGTTTATTGTTTGCCAAGGTGAAACCACAAAAGATTTAAATATAGCTGTTCAAATGATGAAAAGGATCCATTCCTTGATGGAAAAATATCCAGAACTTTTGCAGGAGGCAGATCAGCAACTCATGGCCAGATGCCTGAAGTATTTAGGATTTGATGAATTGGCAAGTTCTTTATATCCAACCCAGGTAATTTTCAGAATAGCTTCATTTTAATAGAATAGTTATGGGGTGTACATAAAGTGTCTTGCAAATGCAGTCACTTCTTCTAGATTTTTTCTTTTTTTAACTGACAATATTTACTCCTATGTTCAATCATTACTAGTAATTCAGCTGCCCAAACTTGAAATAAACTAGAATTAGAAAACTGATACAAATACTTGTCTGAACAAACAGATGCCAGATAATTTCTGCAGACCCTTTAAACTAATACTGTATTTAATTCTAGCAAACAATTTAAAAACTATATTGTGATTGTTTAGTTGTCTTTAAGTGTATTAGATTGTAGCTACAAATACCATAATGGATATTTGAAAATCTTGATGTCTGTCAATGTACTTACAGTTAAGATGGTGATTGAGGTGGTAAAGAACTTCATCAATAAATACTACGAAATTGAAAAGATGGTAAAATGCTTTTCTTGTAAAAAGTACTCAGTAATATATTAAATTAATTACTTAACTACTTAAATAATGTTGTAGTTTAAAATCACTCTCCAAATGGACTTTTGAAATAATGTAGGTTGCAAGAGATGACATAAAGAAGAAAATAGATAAATACTCAATTGGCATTGGGCCAGTTCGGTTTCAACTACAGTACATGGGCCATTATTTGATACGAGATGAGAGAAAAGATCCAGATCCCAGAGTTCAGGATTTTATTCCTGACACATGGCAGGTAATAACTGAATGAAACAAAAATCTTATTTTATTTGTATTTTATCATTAAATGTAATAGCAGGAGCTTCTCATTATTGTGGCTTTACATATTATATTTGGCATGAACTTCATATTGAGTCATGTTATTTAAAATTATTTTATGATTGGAAATGATGAAATGGAAAGTCTTTTCCATTTAAAGGAAGTGAAATTTTCATTTTGTTCATTTTTTATAAATGGAGGTACTTTGATGAATTCACATACATTTTTAAAGTTCTGTCTGTGTCATCCAGTTATATCATTGTGGAACAACCTCCATGTTTTCCCTGTGTCAATAGGAGATTTCATATGTAACTGCACACAAAGCAGTTTTGGTAGTTTAAACAATATAGCAATTTTTTTAGATATTCACATGCTATACCTGTCACCATCATAGCCATTCTTCTATACATACATGTAAAATTGATGGATATAAAACTTGGGATAAAATGGTATGTTTCTGCATAGATTAAACCATATAAAATTGCTAATAAATGAATGTATTTACCTACAAACATGCAATTTCATAGGTTCAGTCTACTAGACTTCAAATTCGGAATATGACTTTATCTTTCTTATGTTGATGATAATGTAAGATCTTTAAAAATTCCTGCCTCCTTTTCAGGAATGGGAGGACCTGTTTCTTACTTTAGGACACAAAGCTGTCAAGTGCTCTTTATTAATTCCACACACATTTCAATTATTCTGTGTCCATCTAATTTTGAGATGCGGCCCAGAGTGGACCTACATTAAGAGTGTGCAGACAGGTTTGGGGATATTTATCCATCTTCTGCCCATCATAGATATTTTTGATTCTTTGATTAGTCATCATTTTGATGATTAAAAGCATAAACTGAGGAGTTGAAGTTTCTTGTGTCCTCCAAAGTAGGTACCTGACATTCTTTTGTATGTAAAGAAAAGATAAGTAGTGAAATTATGAAGGATTGATTTTCTTTCTCCTTAGCTATCATTTCACTATTACAAAAATACACTCTGGCTACTTCTTAGAACTTAATTTCTCAAAGCCTTTAGAGAAGCACTCTACTGAATCAATGACAAATACTTAGATAAAAAGAAATCTTCTCAGTGATGAGATATTTTATTCAGGCTAATTTTCCATTTTTCACACACAAACTCACCTCCAGATGCTCAAAAGCATAGCAATCCTGTCTTCTGAGAGAATGCCATGAGTTCTTCAGATTTTCCTATGTGTTTCTTCATGCGTTTTCAACTCCCCATCATTCCATATGAAATTCAGAAAATTATAATAGAAGTGCATTCATCGATTTGCTTTGGTAACATGCTGTTCATATTATTGATGTGAATGGTGCTCTGAACCCTGCAGCGAGAGCTCCTTGATGTTGTGGATAATAATGAGTCAGCAGTGATTGTTGCCCCAACGTCCTCAGGCAAAACCTACGCTTCCTACTACTGCATGGAGAAGGTGCTGAAGGAGAGCAGTGAAGGGGTGGTTGTGTATGTTGCACCAACAAAGGTAGCCCTCAAGTGACTCGAATTTTCTTTCATTCCTAAACTTCTCTTTTAAAATAATATATGTACTCACACAGTGAATCTATTTCACTTTTTATTGTTTATTTTCTAGTTTTATTGATCTATAATTGACATATAACATTGTATTATTTAAGGTGTACCACACATAATTTGATATATGTATATTGTGAAATGATTGCCACAGTAAGTTTAGTTAACATCCATCACCTCATATACTTACAAACTTTTTTCCTTATGATAAGAACTTTTAAGATCTATACTCAGCAACTTTCAAATATTCAATGCAGTATTGTTAACTATAGTTTCCATGCTGTACATTACATATGTACTATTTATATATATTGTAACTGGAAGTTTGTACCTTGTGTCCACCTTCACCCATTTCACCCACTATCTCCAACTCCTACCTCTGGCATCCATCAATTTGTTCTGTTTCTATAACTTTCACTTTATTTTGTGACCTATATATTTTCTCCTTCCAGTTTTAGAGGCCAATGTAACACTTTTCTCAGAACCATTGTGAGGAAAAGGTCTGGTCTTGTGATTTTGTCATTCAGCATTATGCTTACTTTGAGAGAAGCACTCACACTTTGCTGGGCAATATTGAGTCACTTAGGAATCTAATATTGGCTTTGCAGGGTTTATGGAATTTATCTGATTTGCTCTTGGGCATTCGTAACTGGCCTGTTTCTCAAGCCAATTTGTTTTGTCATATTTCTTTTAAGTCTATTTTACTGCTTAATGTTAAATTTAAAAACAGAAAATATAATCTTTGTCATTAAGGAGAAAGTTTGACTTTCAGAAAGTGTAAGTTTGCCTATCCTCACTCATAACCCTTGTAAAGTGATTACTCTTAGAAAAAACACATTTAGTTTAAGTAACTTTAATTCTATAGATTAAAATGAATTCAGACTCCATTTAAGCTTCTAGGAAAAATTTAGTGAATTGTGGTCAGCCTCAGAACCAGATTGATCAATATGATTAGTTGAAATGAGCACTCTATTTTTTATTGTAGCTTTTTTGTTTTTAATGGCTTAATAGTGCTCATTGCTGGAAATTAGTAATATATATAAAAAATTAACCTAGCTAGAAGTAGAATTTTAGTAACAACACGGTTACTTTTTGCCAAATTACTCTTTTAAAAGTTTAAATCCATTTTTATTCCCACTGACAGATATGCCAGTGTGTATTCTCTTATCTTCTCTAACATTTCTCTTGTTATTAAAATGTTTTGCCAGGGGTGCCTGGGTGGCTCAGTGGGTTAAGCCTCTGCCTTTGACTTAGGTCATGATCCCAGGGTCCTGGGATCGAGCCCCCCATCGGGCTCTCTGCTCTGCGGGGAGCCTGCTTCCTTCTCTCTCTCTCTCTGCCTGCCTCTCTGCCTACTTGTGATCTCTCTCTGCCAAATAAATAAAATATTAAAAAAAAATGTTTTGCCATACTAACAGGTGAAAACTGCTATCTCATATTTAAATTTGCTTTTCTGTGATCACTAGTCATTTGGGTATCTTTATGTGATTTTGGGCACTGACATTTTTTTATTCATGAACTACTTATAGATGCATTTGCCCGTTTGTCTCTTACTTTGAGGGAAGTGAGATTGTCTTTTCATTGATTTGTTTGGTATACTAAGTACATTTATCTTTATGTATCCTAGCATATACTTTTATTGGTTATTTTGTCTTTTTACTATGTTGAGTCATATTAATGATAATGTTTTGTTAATATCTTTGTGTACTCAGGTCTATCAGTATTTTCATTTAATGTTTCCGTGTGTGCTCAGATATGTGAAAATGTTCACTTTTTAGTGTCTTTATGCTTATGTTTTAAAATTTATGTTTTATGGGGTTTTTTTAAAGATTTTATTTATTGATTTGACAGAGAGACAGTGATCACAAGTGGGCAGAGAGGCAGGCAGAGAGAAAGAGAGAGAGAGGGAAACAGGCTCCCCGCTGAGCAGAGAGCCCGATGCAGAACTTGATCCCAAGACCCTGAGATCATGAACTGAACTGAAGGCAAAGGCTTAACCCCCTGAGCCACCAGGTGCCCCTAAAATTTATGTTGTAATCTATGTGTTACTTTGAGGCGGGCATAAAGTATAAAATAGATGTTCATAGATTCCACATACTCAGATTCCACTAGTCACCTGATCCAAAGTATTCATGTATGTCTTCAAACTTCAGATGTCTGAAGGTAGTTCTCAAATAGAAGAACCACATATCTATCTGACAATCCTTCACTTGGTCTTTCTTCTATAGTAGATTCACAGCTTCTTTCTAAGCCTTGGTCATACAGGTATTCAGCTATTTTTTTCTGATATATGAGCAACATTTCCAGTTTTTTCCTTCTGATTAAGCCATATTTCCCCCCATTTTACTTTAAAGTTGAGGTTTATCAATGTGGTTCACATGCTTAGTCAAATATCTCAAAGAGAGCATGTTAGTGTATTTAGAGTAGATGGGTGTAAGAAAGGTTCTGTTAAGCTTTCTGACTTTTTTTTTTTTTTAAGATTTTTAAAAAATTTTATTTGAGAGAGAGAGAGTGCAAGAGAGCATGAGAGGGGAGAAGATCAGGGGGAGAAGAAGACTCCCCATGAAGCAGGGAGCCTGATGCAGGACTCAATCCCGCATGTCCAGGATCATGACCTGAGCCAAAGGCAGTTGCTCAACCAACTGAGCCACCCGGACACCCCAAGCTTTCTGACTTTTAACTGTACATATTTTTAGACAGTTCCTGTCATTCTCTGAGGTTTCATCTGTGCTTTATTATGTGATTATTGAATTTCTTCCCTTGTCAATCAGGCTCTTGTTAATCAAGTGGCAGCAACTGTTCAGAATCGTTTCACCAAAAATCTGCCAAATGGGGAAGCTCTATGTGGTGTTTTTACAAGGGACTATCGTCACGATGCCCTAAACTGTCAGGTAGGTTATATTAATTAATGCATTTGTTATCAAATTATATAATAGTACTAATATATTTCTCTTTCACGAAATTCAGCGTCTTCACAAAGCTTCATGGAAATAATTTTTTGAATTTGCAAAAGATGAAATGGCTTTACAGAAAATTTAATATTGTTACATTCCAAAGAGTTGAGAAATAGCACTCATCTTTCTCTAAGAACACTTAGGTTTGAACTTCAGATTTCAGTTGTAGTTTATTACATTATCTTGGTTTATAAATGGATTAAAAATGATCTGAAGAACCCAATGCTATAAAAAATTAATAAACAATTTCTAATCAGAATGACTTTTTCTTGATAATCAGGATATTCTCACTTTTCTTGATGAGTAATATACATAATTTAAAAAATGTATTATTGATAGAATACCTGATGCTAAGTAAGCCATAGATAGTTTTCCTCCTTAACAAATTCCATAAATACATAATTAAGACTGAACAAAAAGTGAAAAGATGATTATAGTACATTGCAGGGAAAACATGAAGATCTGTTACCCAGATTGCCTTTCAAGGATGGACTTGCTGCCCAGATGTTGGGAGAGTGGTCAAGACAAATGCCAGCTGTCAGTTCCTCTGGTTCTGCCTCCACAGTCCCTATCCTGTGGTTGAGCTAGGCAGGGGTATGAATGCTGGGACATTTCAGTCTCATGTGGAATAGCTCTGACCAGTATTCACTCCAGAATTCTGTGCCAGGTTCACCAAGATTTCATCAGGCCTGTTTTGAAGTATAACTTCTCCCTCAGCCCAATTCTTCTTCTCCCCACATCCATAGTTGTTGATCCTATATAGACATTTTTTAAACAAAACTGTCTCAGGGTCAGATTGAAGAAATAAACCTGTGATGATTAACTCTATTTGTATTATTTTGCTTATAAATAAGAATTTAAACTTCAAATCTGGTATATTACCACTTTGACTCATAAGAATTACAGTTTCATAAGGTTTAACCAAATATATCACAATTTTAATGAAATATTCTCAGAAGTGATATTATATCATAATTATTAGCAGGTGTATTCAGGAGTCTTAACTCTGTTTTTCACATTCTTATAACAAAGTCTGCACATAGTAAAGTACTCAAAATTTTTGTTTATACAATGTTATTTTTAGGTACTTATTACAGTTCCTGCCTGCTTTGAAATTCTGCTATTAGCTCCTCATCGCCAAAAGTGGGTGAAAAGGATCAGATATGTTATATTTGATGAGGTAGGTTTGGTATTATTTCTCTAGGTTGATTTCCTAGTGTACATAAGTGCTATAATGAAGATATTTGGTGCTTTAAGACATTTATCCTTTTGTACAGAGTTCAGGTTGTGGGGGGTACTTCCTTCTGAATGGTTTCCTCAGTGAATCATACTGTCTTTGGCTGCATTTTGCTGTTGTGACTCAATAGGGGATGTTGGTATATGCTAACAAGGCAGAATTAACCACCATGACATAAGTTTTCCTGGTAGAGATTTCAAAATCCAGTCTTTGACTTCTAGAGCAAAGCATTTTGGTCTCTAACAATGATAGCAGTTATGTGAATTATTTTGTCAGTCATCAAACACAACAGAAAACAAATGTCCAGTCAAAACACAACAGAGAGTTTTCCAAAAGTGTGTGTGAGGGAAACTATAAAGTTTAGTGTGGTAATTCAGAGCTAGTAACTTACCCCTGTGCTTAAAGGGACAAGTCAAAGAAGCAGTTACTGATACGCAGAAGGAGATTGATTGAGGTAGCCGTATTGTGAGTACTTATCTTATTTGAGGGACATAGCTAGTTCAAGATAACCTTTCAGGAAGGGATCCAATGAAATAAAGATGCCATTTTCCTTCCTGCTCTTGATCCCTTGCCAAGGCTCTCCATTGGCCAAGTCCAAGGGAACCAGAGAGCATTGGAGTCTTTGAAGTGATCTCCCTGGCTAAAGAGACTAGGATGGAAAATAATGGAAGTTTATAGAGAAAATGGAAGATATTTATAGCATTTTTATAGTATTTATAAATGTTATAAAATTTTATAGCATTTATAAATATTTATAACATTTTATCCTTATATTTTATTTTTATTTTTATAAATACATATTTTATATATATACTTAAAATATATTTATATAATATAAAATACATGTTTAATGTATTATCTATTAAATATATAAATATATATTTATTAAATATTATATGCTGTTTATTAAATGTTTATTATAGTCATATATTTTATTTGTGTATATTTTATTTATATTATATATGTTATAATATCTAATTTATATATAGTATATATTTATATAATATATAATTATGTATTACACTGCAAAGAAGGATAAGGGTAGCCAGACGCAGGATGCATTCACATTCTAAGATTTGTCAAAGACAGTAAAGAAAGACTTAATCAGGGAAATGAGGTGGTAAATGAAGAGGAAGAAGGAAGCCACAGAAAAGAATTCCCATTGAAAACACAGTTCAGTCAAATTGGTAACATTTGAAAAAATAATTTAAAAGCTAAATTCACTTTTAAGTGGGTAAAAAATAATTCAAGTCACTGAGGAACAGGAGAGCAGATACCTGGTTGACATAGAGTCTGAAGTATTATGTAAAAAGAGAAAGAATACTAGTCCCCTTGTTCTTATTTTTTTGCTTGTTTAGGAATGAGGATTAGAAACTAGAAATATAAAAATTGGTAAAGACAAGTATGTACTATTTATTAACTGAAAGAAAATTCTATTCTTATTGCAGTTGACATTGTTAGAAATAAAAAAAATCTCATATATTAAAGATCTTGGTTAATAAGCATCAGTTTATATTCAGATTATGGAAGCCTTTTAAGTGTTATTTCTCTGAACATGTAGTGGAAAGCTTGTACCAGACTCTATGGATGCATAACAGAGTTGATTAGGTAATCACAATAAACTTAATTTTTCCGATTACTTGAGATAAATAAAAGAGTAGAAAGCAAGAAAGGTATAACAGAGAAAAAATATAGTTTAAAGCAAAAAAGCTGTAAGAGAAAAATTATAGTTTAAATTGCCTGTATGAAGAACATGGTCTCCTATAATAAAAATAATTTAAAGATTCTACGACTAAAGTATATATGTTTAGATATGGGAAGATGCTCAGCTTTATCTCATAGCTCCTCAGCCTCATGTGACTACCAGAAATTCATATAGACTGACAAAAATAAATTAAAAATTAAAATTAAAAATTAAAAATCAGCAATAGTCAAAATATGTGAGAGACTAAAAAAATGTATAAGTAGTTTAGGAGAACATATAACAAAGAAAAGGTTATAGAGATAAAGAAATTACTATCTTATTCATTTTATTACATGTTTGGAGGGAAAATGAAAAAATTTCATTGAGTTATGAAGTGAAGATACAAATAGCATTAACTGAAAATATTTAATCAAAAAAATTATATCACGATTTAAGCAAAACATCAAAATATAAAAATTAGGAGGCTCTCAATTGCTTTACAAAAGGATTTTTCTTTTAATAAAAAAGTTTCATTATAGGATTTCTTAAAATAGATTTTCCTGTAGTATTGAATGCATCATTCAATTTAAAAAATCAACTTACTAATTTTCCATAAAATATAGCTGAAATTAAGAAAAAAAGTTGGGGTCAAAACATTAAGGAAACAGACCACTTGTTGAGCATCGAGTAATCATGAACTGTCATATATATATAATGTTATTTAATTCTCTTAATTAAATACCTGTTGCCTAAGGTAAAAAAAATTATGTATTATATTTATGATTTATATAATACATATAAAATATATATTTATCAAATATTTATTATATTTATGTATTCGTTTATATATAACATATGCTATATATATTTATATGTTTAAATATAATTTTATATGTAATATATAAAATATACGTATTTTATATATTTATTTAATATTTATATTAAGGATATTTATTGAAAGATATTTAAAATATTATAAAAGGATATATTCCTTTGCTCCAAGGAATTTCAACCTGAAGTGGAAGAAGATGATAAGCTTGTATTTAACTTAACTATTCTTGTTGTAAACTTGGAGCTACTAAGTAGGCTATATGTTTTATTTGTTTGATACTGATTTTTTGGTGCTTATTTTTAGTTACTCTGTATATATTGCATCTTGAAGGCTTTGAATATTTCTGTTCAAAATAAAAATTCAACAATTCTCTGTAATCAAGCACTTGAATTGTACTCTAGTTTCAAAACTCTGAAATGGTATGGTATTGGGTACCTTAACTTCCCAGTTTTATATAAGATAAAGCTGGAGGGTTTTGAAGGCTAATGCCAATGCTGGCATGGTCAGAGGAAAGTACCATCTGCTTTTACAAAGCGTTCAGCAGAGTTGTATATTATCTGACCAGGCCAAAACCAAATGGGCAGTGGAAAAGAAAAACTTTTAATCTCTGTCTCAGGTGGTCCTTTCCAGCTAATTGCTAGGCTTCATAATTTAATCTGTTTAAAGAAGACTACCTTTGAGAATCTTCTCTGAATTGAGTTCAGTTTGCCTTATTTGATTAAAAGACATTCATTCATTAATTTAGCAAAAATATTTAAGGGGAGCCCCTCCCATGCCAGGCACTGTTGGTGTTGGGAATGCCCAGGTCTAGAGTCACAGAGTAATTGAAGAAAAGAGAATTAAACAAGTAAGCACACAAACAAGTACACATGTGACTATGCCAAGCCCATATTGGTACGTACTGTAAAGGGAAAGAGCACGCTGGCATGACTGATAATGGCAGGAAGGCCATGGGAGAGCAACTCTGGAGTGGCAGTCAGCAAAGTCCTTCTAATGATGTGCCATTAGCCTGAACTGTGCAAGCAGAAAAGAGGGGTAAAAGCATGTTAAGCAGAAGGAATGATACATGTAAAAGCTCTGGGGTAGGAAAGGTGTGTTCAAGGAACACCGGAAAGTCTAATATGTCCTAAGCAGAGGGGCAGCAGGATGGGACAGAATGACTTAATAACGAAGCTAGAGAGGCAAGAGGGGGACAAGTTAAGTATAATGTACAACCTGTTAAGGAGTTAACATTCTGTTCCATTTGCAAAGGAAGATATTGAAGAAATTTAATTAGGGACATGGACTGATCTAATTTGTCTTTAAGACATATCGTTTTGGCTGTGATAGAAGAATTAGGGGACATCGAGGAAAACTAGGTGGTAGTCAGGAGGATTTTGTAGTGGTGCAGCTGAGACATGATGGTGACTTGGGTGACAGTACACATTGGAGAGAAATGCATAGATTTGAAAAAAATTTTTGAAAGTAAGAGAAATAGGAATTATTGATGGATTGGTTATGGGGACTGAAGAAAATTTGTGTCAAGATTTTCTATTACCTGATTTGTGGATATTTATATAAACTTGGCATCGTCAATAGAAGGAACATGAAACTGTATATGGTGATTTGAGCTTCTGTGTCTTATTTTCATTTGCTATTTTAAAATCAGCTTTTTAAAGGAGAATTTTTTTTTAATAGGTCCATTGTCTTGGTGGAGAAATTGGAGCAGAAGTCTGGGAGCATCTCCTTGTCATGATCCGATGCCCTTTTCTGGCTCTTTCAGCTACCATAAGTAACCCTCAGCATCTCACTGAGTAGGTATTATGTTCCAATTTGGATAAATGCATTTCAGTTTTAAATTTTATACTTTCTATATAGGTTCTGGAGACTTTCCTAACTTTCTGTTGAGTTTATTAACTTATCTCTGGCTGTTCAAGCAACAGAGCATCTACCACACTTCTTGGCGGGTGCTGAGAAAGGCCACACTCAGTAAAGGAAAATCAAGGACTGTCCCAGCCAGATCTGCTGTTGAGTAGAAAATTTCTTCCCTATGTCAAAAAAAGTCCACCGGCAGTGATAGATTTATGTTCCTTTTTTTTTTCTGTCCTTTAGCAAGAAAGAAAAAATGAAATAGTATAATGACATCCCCTGCCACAGACCTTGAGATTTCTTCTGTTGTCCCACTTTGTAGATGTTTAGAAAGATAGCAAAACCTTACTAATTAAAAAGTCCATATCATTTTGGGCTAGATTTTTGCCTCATTGCTATAACAATTATAGCAAAGGCTACTGTGTGTCATACACTATTCTAAGTGTTTTGCAAATAGAAAATTATTAAATATTAATAATTAGTATTTCAATAATATTAATTTAATAATTAATATTGATAATTAACATTAATAATTTATTAATACCCAACAACCCTTATGATTTACTATTTCCATTACTACTATTGATTCGTATTTCCACTACTATTATTATTTCCATTTTTATGGAATGTAGAATGTGGAAAATGAAGTACAAACAATGTAAGTGATTCAACCAAGAGCAACAGACAGCAATAAGGAGGCTGGGATTCAGTCTCAGGTAGTCTGCCTCTAAGGCCTATTCCTTTAATTATAATTTTTAAGGCATCTTTATTTAAAATATTTAATGTCACAAGAAGTAGTATTATATTGCTGTCTGCATAATATGTAAATTTATTTTTTAAGGTGGCTACAATCAGTAAAGCACTACTGGAAACAAGAAGACAATACATTGAGAAAAAATACTGCTTTAAAAAAAAATGCTGTCTGTTGTGCCAATTCTCCCAAAGATTACTTCCAAATAAAGGAATCATATAAAGTTAGACTTGGTATGTTTGGAATTTTTCTTTTACTTCAAAATCATTGCAGTCCTTATGTGTCCACTGATTTGGAAATTCTTCCTCTTCATTGTTAGTGCTCTACGGTGAGAGATACAATGATTTAGAGAAGCATATATGTTCAATAAAACATCACGACATCTGTTTCGATCATTTTCACCCATGTGCCGCACTAACAACAGATCATGTAAGTAATACTTTAGCCATATTTGTCCTGACTAATATAAATTAGTTATATATATGTTAAAATTGAAAAGCTGCCTAGTTGATTCTAGGAGAACTATAGAATAGATACTTTGTAACAGATATTTAACGTTAGTTTTATTTTTTATTTAGTTTATTGAATATATTTGACATGTAAGTATAAATTTACGGTGTATAACATGTTAATTTGATATATTTATATATTGTAAAATAATTGTGATCACAATATTAGCACTTCTATCACATTATATAATTATACTACAATATTATTGTCCATATTTATTATACTGTGCATTAAATCTCTATGTCGTTTGTTTAAAGGCAAATTTGTGCCTTTAAACAACACTGATCTTAACTCCCCTACCTCACATCCCCTGGTAACTATCATTTTACTGTGTTTTTTACGAGTTTGACTTTTTTAGATTCCACGTATAAGTGATATTATGCTGACACTTGTATTTCTCTGTCTGACTTATCTCTGTATAACTTAGCATAGTGTGCTTGGTACATTTATGTTGTTTCAAATGGCAGAATATTGTCCTTTCTCAGGGTTGAAGAATATTTATTAACATCGGTTTTTTAAAAGTGACAAAAATAACTTTGTAGTCTTCAATGAACCCTCAGTGATGTTTGGATCCACAAGGCTTAAAAATGACTAAAAATTTTAGTCATTTTTTTGACTGAAGTTTTTTTAGTTAATTTACTTATTCTTGGACATTATCTTTGCCCATTGTCCTTCTCAGTACCCATGTCTCTCTGTCTACCTTTGTGACACTAACCCTTAGTGCACAACTATATGTGGACAGCTCCTAGAACATGTGAGAATCTGATCACTGTCAGTTAGGTTAAATAAGGAAAAGACATTTCACTAAGGTAACAATTGTAACATGATTTTTTGGTAGTGAATCAATACAGTGGAGGTCTTAGGATATTATTTGGAGCATCGAGGTGTCTGTGGGGGAAGACATCTTAATTTTCCATGCATAATTCTCTTCCTTTCTCATACTATTCTTAGGAATAACCCATTCAAGCTCTCATTGCTTCTCAGAGTGATAATTAGTCATTATTTGCCTTCATTTCAAAACCTACCAAGTAGAATATATTCTAAATTCTGTTGTCAGGTAAAACTCCTAACACATAATTATGATCTTGCCAAGTTTAATGGCTTTCCTTTGGAAGTGATTAAATCCATAGCTCCTTGGCTTGGCTTCCTAGGTCTTCTCTGACCTGGCCCCAAAACCTGATGTATCTTATGTGGACGTCCTCATGATTTATATTGCTCCTGGACTCCACCAGCAGATGCCAAATGCCAGTTGTTCAGATCCTGTTTATATATATATATATATATATATATATATATATATATATATATATTTAAAGATTTTATTTATTTATTTGACAGACAAAGATCACGGGTAGGCAGGGAGGCAGGCAGAGAGAGAGGAAGGGAAGCAGGCTACCTGCTGAGCAGAGAGCCCGATGTGGGGCTTGATCCCAGGACTCTGGGATTATGACCTGAGCCGAAGGCAGAGGCTTAACCCACTGAGCCACACAGGCGCCCTTGTATGACTCTTCTAATGTGAAACATCTTCAGAGTCCTTCTGTGACTTTGTTAGCTGGATGTAATCTCTCCATAGCACCTTGTCTGTATTTCTTGTATGACACCAATCATGATCAGGTTACTGCTAAAGTTGTTGATATACATGTCTCCTTTATCTTACTAGAATAACTCCTTGAAGACAAATTTTATGTCCTTATGAGTTCCTAAAAACTGTGTATATAAAAGATGCTTAATAAATATATGTTAAGTAAAGACAGCCAACTTAAATTGATCATTTCCTTTATTTCTAAGAATTTTATGTATTTTATCTCTTTTAATGATCACAACAGTTTTAGGATGGCTGTGTTGTTGATACTCCCATTTTACAAATGAGAACAGTGAGGCACAGAGCATTTAACTAACTCATTATTGCACCAAAAGTAAGTGGTGGGGCCAGGATGCAACCAAGATTGACTTCAGAGTTTGCCCTATCATCACAGTTTTCTGAATGATCTATTGAACAAATACCTAAATGAGTGAATGAATGAGAATCACTTTATAGCCTTTGGGCTATGATGCAATGGCTTCTAAAAGCAACCAAATGAATCTTAATCATGGTAATTTTTTTAAAATTTAATTTCTTTTCAGTATAACAGAATTCATTATTTATGCACCACACCCAGTGCTCCATGCAATACGTGGCCTCCATAATACCCACCACCAGGCTCCCCCAACCTCCCACCCCCCACCCCTTCAAAACCCTCAGATTGTTTTTCAGAGTCCATAGTCTCTCATGGTGCATCTCACCCTCCAATTTCCCTCAACTCCCTTCTCCTCTCCATCTCCCCATGTCATCATGGTAATTTTCTAATAAGATTTTATTTCAGAAGTTTTTCTTTGTGTGGCAATGGCCCAATCCAAACCCTAAATAAAACTAAAATATGGACAAAATCCCTGTGACCTCACACACCTTAGATTTAGAATATGGATGATAATCCACACATAAACAAGTCTTCATTTTCTGTCTCCTTTCTTTCCCCACTGTCACCTGACATTTTTAAAACAGCATAGTATTTAAAAAATTATTTATTTTGTGTAGGATGGTTCCAGGCAGGTTATCTTTAAGTAACAATGAGTGCAGTGATTTGGAGTACCTAGCAAGATTGGCATTTTGGTCCAAGTGCCTTTCCTCTATTTTCACTAGCTATTAGTGGAGTCACTGGAAAGCAACAGAATTGCTACAGTATGCTCTGACCCCATATGACTTCTGCAAAGGTCACGCTGTTGTATGAGTCTTCTTAAGACTTCTGGACGTTTGCAGAAGGAATGGAGGATAAACTCAAAGGGCATTATTAAATGTGTTTTGATAGTTGTGTGCGTGGCATGTGTTTATATAGTGTGTTTCTTAAAGTAGCAGCAATACAAAGCAAGCAGACCTTCCCAAATGAGTAAATTATTCCTGATGTTGTATAGTATACTTCAGATTAATATGAAAGAACTCAGTGTCACGAAAAAGCATAATAAATTGTTGTAACCTAAAGAGGAGAACCATCCACCCTACTGTTGCCCCTCAGCTTAGTCACAGAAATAGTTTGAGAAGGGAAGGAGTGAAACAGGATGAGTAGGGTGGCCTTAATCCAATGAGGTGAAGGACTGCCCTTCAATCATATGAGGCTTATTTCTGGAAAAAGAAAAAAGAAAAAACAAAAAACAGAGCTTGGCCTTTGCGACCGATTACCATGCCACAGAGGAGTAGCTGCTCACTCCTGGAGAGCTGTCAGCCCCAGGAAGTCATGGAAGGAACTGTTGCCTCTTTCTGCTCAGTACAGATCAATTCTTACCATCACTTGGGGCATTAGGGACAATGTGGTTTGCAAAATAGCGTCATGATATGATACTATTGTGTTTACAAATGTAGGATGGTACAAATTTATGACTTTTTATTTCTCTTCCTTCTCAATGTAGACTGGCTCAGGTTTTGCCCGCTCATTAGTTACTAGGTAGTGGAGAACAACTGAATTGAATTCCCAGCTTTTAGCCACAGAATTATTAAACTGATTTTAAAAATTAAGACTTGTAAGTTGATCATTGACAGTCGAGACATCAACTGTCAGATATTTCACTGGACTTGTTACATACATTATCTGACTTGATTCTTGCAACAAATCTATGGCACAGGCGGAATTGTCCATTTTAGAAACTGAGAAACTCAGGCTTCTATAAAAGACTAAGTAAGAGACTTAAGAAATCACAAGCATTTTAGTGACAGAAATAAGATTTATATTTTAAAAATTGTGATAGCTTTTGGATTTATCTTACATTTATGTTTTTTAGTTAGGCAAAATAATATACCACTTTCAAGTAGTATTAATAAGAGAACACAATGCTTACATTCCAAAAATAACATAATCAGTTACTATGTTGACAAAATGCAGCCTCATGTTCAGGGATTTTACACAGGTTCACAGGGCAAAGGACAGAATATAAGACAAAATGAAAGAATATTAAAATTTTTAATTTTATTTTAAATGTAGATTGAAAAGTATGGATTTCCTTCTGATCTTACCCTTTCCCCTCGAGAAACGATCCAGCTTTATGATACCATGTTTCAATTCTGGGAAAGCTGGCCCAGGGCCCAGGTAAGTAATAATTACATATTTGATTTGAATTAATTTTATTACAGTGGATGGTAACACTGATGTTCAGAAAGACAAATTCTAACCCTTTCTGATCATGTGCATCTAATCTTTTAAAATTATAGATAGACAGTTTCCAAAACAAAATCATCCCTCCTCAGACATTCTTCCTGCTAACATATTGTGTTTTACTTTAATGGTATGTAATGCCATTGAATTCCAGAAGATATTTCTTCTCAGTTTCTGGGATATTTTTGATATTTTAGTCTCCTTTTACATCTTGGATTCATACTCCTTCATTTTCTCATTGTACTTCCCTTTTCCCTTTATACACTAATTGCTGTCTGTTTTCATGTTCTATGTGGTTGTGCTCTGCATTGTTTCTTTGAAGAGAACTCTTCAAAATATTCCTAGTCCATCCTATTAGGTTTATATACTGGAAACTTTGAGGGGATAAAAAGACATTCAATAGTCTGTACTCCCAAGAAGTTTATAATTCTGTTAAATGAAATGCATAATTGAGAAACATCTTTGGATTATTTTGCATAATTTTATTTAATTTTGTGCTGTTTCTTTTCAAGGAATTTGATCCAGAAAAATTCATTCATTTTAAAAATAAAACAGTCATTAAAAAGTTGGATGCTAGAAAATATGAAGAGAGCTTAAAGGCAGAATTAACAAGCTGGATCAAAAATGGCCATGCTGAGGAGGTAATCACACATGTTTTTGGCAAAACCCTATGTTCCTTGTTTTCTTGAATTACATTGTTTTCATTATTATTATTATTATTATTACTATTACTATTATTTTGGTCTTCAATGTTCATTTTATGACTCTAGGCAGAACAGAAGTCTAATGATTCTGAGGTAGAATAGAAAGAGGAAAAGGACATTTCTTTTTGTTTAATCCTTTGTGCTTTCTTTTCTTTTTTTTTTTTTTTAAAAGATTTTATTTATTTATTTGACAGAGAGAGATCACAGTAGACAGAGGCAGGCAGAGAGAGAGAGAGGGAAGCAGGCTCCCTGCTGAGCAGAGAGCCCGATGCGGGACTCGATCCCAGGACCCTGGGATCATGACCTGAGCCGAAGGCAGTGGCTTAACCCACTGAGCCACCCAGGCGCCCCTCCTTTGTGCTTTCTTAAACACATCCCAGAAGCCATGGGTTCCTGTTCAGTGTTACAACAGGACAAGAACAGCAGTGTCACTATCTACAGTCAGTGTTTTTGATACGGTGGCAGCAGAGAGGTTGAAATCATAGTAACAGTAGCTCAGAAGAAGCCTTTATACATTTCATCATTTTTGTCTTGGGATTTTTTTTTCTTTTATGATCTTTATTTCAATTTATAGGAACTAATTGTGTATTAAAATATTCACCTGGGGTCATGTAAGTTTTCATATTTATATTAAATAAGTTGATGGTCTTTATATTTTGAAGTTTGTTTTATTGTCATACATTAAGGTTTCTCATTTTTGGTGAGTGATTTATATTAGACTTTCCCATTTGAGTTTTTTCCATTACATTTTAACTCAGGTAATCTCCTCCCACTCAGAAACATAATTAATTTATATTTTCTCCCATTCATTTTGTCATTTAAAAACTTTCAAAAGGTATTTAAAAGTGGTTTTCGTACAGGATATGGAGAGAAACTGATTTACCCCACCTTCTGCCGTAGTGGTACCAGCATCATTTGCTAACAACCTCTTTCTGACTGACTTTTGTTGTCTTACATAATTGCATGTTAAATTGCATATATGTCTTTTTGTTGTTGTTGTTCTTTGGTGTATTGATTTGTGTATTTCTTTGATGGTTCTTTATAAAATGTTATATTTTCATAAATATTTTATTATATTTTATTTTAAAGAAGCACAGAAATAGAGATTAGACAACTATGAAAATATTTTAGCCAAAAGTAGTAATTCCTTTTTTTATTGTGCAGAATTTAAAACTAATAATTTTTTATTCATTGCTACAGGCCAAAATGGTTCTGAGGAATCTTAGTCCTGATTCAGTTTTTAGTTCAGAAAACATGACAAGAATGTTTCCACTTCTCGTTGAAAAGCTAAGGAAAATGGAAAAGTTACCGGCAATATTTTTTTTGTAAGTCATTTAATTTAATTATTTTTTGTTTGTAATTTGTATCAGGCTTATTCTTTTAAGTTGAGGAAAATTACACAAACTTTACTGTAGTAATTAGGTACTCATAACTATTTTTGGTGCTCATTTGTTATCAGAATGCATATATAAAAAATAGACCTTTCTAGTTAAAAAAAAATTTTTTTTTTTTTTTAATTATTTACTTGACAGAGACAGACACAGCAAGAGAGGAAACAGAAGCAGAGGGAGTGGGAGAGGGAAAAGCAGGCTTCCTACCCAGCAGGCTCCCATCAGGGAGCCCGATGGGGGGCTTGATCCCAGGACCCTGGGATCATGACCTGAGTGGAAGGCAGAGTCTTAACAACTGAAACAACAAAGTACCCCCCCCAAATATTTAGTTCTTAAAAACACCAGTTCTTAAAAAAAATATTTTTACTTGTGCTATTACAAATTACCATCTTTGAATAGTCTCCTACTCCATTTTTTGTCTTTTTACTGTAAACTATTATATTTATTTATGTCTTGTAAATTTCTAGTAGATATCAAGGTATTTTGCAAAATAAATTGAATGTTTACACACACAGGCATCCCACATAAAATTAAAGTATCCTTACAACATACTAGCATATTTATTGGTGTGGCATTTTATTGTTTTTAATTTATAGTTCTGAGAACTGTAACAGAGACACTGCTGTCTTGCTGAAGTTTATATGCTATAGCATGAAAATAGCTTAAAGTTGAATGTAATTATCCAGTTTTGGTGAGGTATAAGTTATACCAAAATATATTCATTAAACGGGTAATACTCTGTATCCTGGATTAATTTTGATCACATAGTTTGGGATCAGAATAAAATGCTTTCTTTACTTTTCACAATTTCAAACTACTTTCAGCCATGGAAGTTTAAGCAGGACACATATATAAACAAACAAATGAACAAATAGACAAATAAACAAAGCTACGTAATCTTGTTCAGCTGGCAAAGTTTAATGAAATTTGTTTACACATAAATAGACATACAGTAATTAATCATTTATTGATGGTATATATTTAAAATAATGATGATAATTAAATGCATGGTTGTATTTGGAATTTTGGAGGTTGCAGTATAATTGGTCCTCTTACCTGTGTTGTTGGGACAAGGAAAATAAATTTCTGAACTACCAAGAAGTTACAAAGCTCACCTACTTTACTTTAAAGCATGGCTACAGATTTAGTTAGAAACAAACACAATTTTGTGCACCTGAGATATTCCTGAAAGCCTAACTACAATATAGAAATCCAAAAATAACTACTTATTTTTCATGCACACATACATACTTAAAACATTTAAGAAGTAAAATATTTTCACACAATATGTGAAGGAAGTCAAGAGTTAAACTTCCAGGTAAAAAATAGATAAGTCATGGGAATGTAAAGTACAACATAGATAATCTAGTTAATAATGGTGTATTTTATATTTGAAGGTTGCTAAGAGATTAGTTCTTAAAAGTTCTTGTCCCCAGAAAACAAATTCTGTAGCTGTGTGTAGTAACATGTTAATTAGACTGATTGTTGTGATCATTTTATAACATATGCAAATATTGAATCATTATGTTATATACCTGAAATTAATATAATATTGTCTGTTAATTTTACTGCAATTAAAAAAAAGGCAGAGTATGACAGAATACATAGCATTTTGTGCACCTATAAAAGCTTCTTTGGAAACTACTTAGAAGCACAATCACTATATTTTGTAGTATGGGCAAGCTAATGAGATAAATGGAACATGACTTTTTTTTCTAACGTGGTTTCTTAACTTATGTCCCATTAGTAGTTCATAAGGTTTCCATTTTGACCTGTCATCACAACCTTGTGGGATTGGTTTTTCTAAATGTTATTATTCTGATTGTGTAAAATCATGTCTTGCTACTGTTGTAATTTACATTACTCTGATCAGTATTAAAGTTGAGCATTTCTTTCAAGTAAGTAGTCTTTTAATTTTTTCCTCATGTGCTATTCAAATAACTTTTCTTTTGGGTTGCAGCTTTGTTTTGTTTATTTTGTTGTTTTTTTCAGGAATTCTAATTCTTTGTCAGTTATCAATTTGGCAGTTATCTTCTCTGAGTCTAGCACCTGTCCTTCAACTTTGTCTACGCTATCTTTTGTTAAACAGTTATGTTTAATTTTGATGTATTAAAATTCATCTATGCTTAAAAAAAGGAAAGTGTTTCACAAAAGCCTCATAGATTTAATTTTCTTGAGGAGTTGAATCTTGGCATGTCTATGAAATTTTGGGCTCTCTGCAGAACATACTATGAAAATCCTTGGTCTTACACAGTTTGATTTAATCCTAAGTAACTCTAGATCATCAATAAATCGCAGTTTTTTAGGGCTCAATCTGTACGTCTGAGAACTTATCAAGTAATTGTCATCCCTGTCAAATTTCTCCAGTTTGGTCTCTAGAAAGAAATGTGTGGAGCACGTTTAATGTTTAGTGATGGTATTAGTGTGTGCTTAAGAACTCACATTTCATGGTCAGTCCCAAGTTTGTATCCTACTTCTGCTCTCAATTAGTATGGTACTTCTAGACAGCTATTTAATGGCTTTGAGCCTTAGTTTCCTTATTTGCAAAATGAGGTGATAAAAATAGTAATGTGTAGGGTTGGGGTGAGAATTAAATACAAATAAATCATGAAAGCCCTTAGTGCAGTATGACAAAATGATATTGATGGAAGTCCAATTTTGATCACATTCATTCTAAATAGGTTATCAGAGAGATTTAAGAGGAAAAATTATTTCCAAGTGATCTAGATTTTAAAACTTGATGTACGATGATGAAAATGATGCCATTTCATGCAGAATGTACACCTAAACAAAGTAAATCACATTAAAATAAAAAAAGAAGCAACATGATTTCATGACTAAGAATATGGGCTTAGAGGCCAGACTGTGTCACATTCAAGCTGTGGAATCCTGGGCAGATCACTTAATCTCTTTATATATCCATTTTCTCATCTATGAAATAGGGATAATAATAGTGCTTTCCTCATAGGGTGATTGTGAGTGCAAAATGGGTAAATGTATTTATGATACTTAGAGTAATATCTGAAGATAACATGTTTAAGTGTTTACTAACTTTATTATTTTATTGTCTACTGTATAAAATTTCTTGCCATGTGGCATAGACTGCCATTTATTTAATCCTCACTTCACTAGTATACCAACTTTTTTTTTACTCCTTATCTGGTCTCTGGAAAGAAATAGTCATAATCCAAAAAGTTAGGGCGAGAACCTAACATTGTCTCCATTCCTGCCTAAGAGCAAAATTTTTACTGTATGATCTCACTTATATATAAGATGTAAAAAACCTAAACTCATGGAAACAGAGAGTAGATTGGTGGTTACTAGGGTCTCAGGGTCTCATATAATGTATAGCATGGTGACTATAGCTGACAATACTGTATTGTATACTTCAAAGTTGTTAAAAGAGTAGATCTTAAATCTTTTCAGACTAACACACAAAAGGCAACCACAGGAGGTGCTGGATGTGTTAACTAACCTTTTTATGGTAATCACTTTGTGATATGCAGATGTATCAAATCATTACGTTGTACACCTTAAACTTACACAATGTTACATGTCAATTATATTTCAATAAAACTGGAAAAAAACAAAGGAGCCTCTAAAATTCACAAAAGATTTGTGAAATCTGAACTTACACATATTTATATAATGCTAAGGGCCTTTGATTCTGTTAGGAGGCAGATCTAAATATGAGTAGAATTAAATACAAGAGCAACTACAACATTACAAATAAATAAAGACCATAATTTTTTTTTTTAAGATTTTATTTATTTGACAGACAGAGATCACAAGTAGGCAGAGAGGCAGGCAGAGAGAGAGAGAGGAAGGGAAGCAGGCACCCTGCTGAGCAGAGAGCCCGATGCGGGGCTCGATCCCAGGACCCTGAGACCACGACCTGAGCCGAAGACAGAGGCTTAACCCACTGAGCCACCCAGACGCCCCTTGTTTTTTGTTTTTAAACTTCTTTTTCGTGGGGTGCCTGGGTGGCTCAATGGGTTAAAGCCTCTCCCTTTGGCTTAGGTCATGATCTCAGGGTCCTGGGATCTAGCCCCATTGGGCTTTCTGCTCAGCAGGGAGCCTGCTTCCCCCTCCCCCTCTGCCTGCCTCTCTGCCAACTTGTGATCACCCTCTCTCTGTCAAATAAATCAATAAAATCTTTTTAAAAAAATGAATAAACTTCTTTTTCTCATCTTATATTTTTTGGGGGGGGCAATCCCTTTTCTGTGTATAAATAGAGAAAATCCATTGTTCTATGTCCGTTACTTGTGGAGTATCTTACCTACTCTTATGGGAAAAATTTCCATGGGCTCTCATTGTTGTTGCCTCATGGGTAAGGTCTGCACAAGGAGGGGAACTTACTATTTACTATAAGGTAGTTAATAAGGAGTCTGCTGACCCAGAATACCTTGTTTGCCTATTCAGGATAAAACGCATAAAGATGGATATTAAAAGCTCAATAGGTATATGTCAGGATGTTAACAGTAGATGGAAATATGATTTAAATTTTATTTATGATACAATTTTCAGGGCAAATGGTCTTTTCATTTGTTTGTAGATTCAGCTTAAAAGATGTAGAAGAAACAGCTAACCGGGTGAGAAGTTCCCTGGAGAAAAAGCAAGAGAGTCAAAGGCCTCCCAAAGCTGATAAAGAAGCCCATGATATAACTAACAACCTTCGAAAAGTTAAAAAATCCATTGAGAAACAAAGGACAATGTAAGTACTTAATGAAACAAATTAGTGGTTAAGGGTTAAAATACTCCACAAGTTGAATTGGAAACATACATTGAATGTGTTACAAAGAAATTCTAGTTATTGCTTGAACTTATTTGCAAATTGTGTAAATTTGGGTGGGAGAATGGTAAAGATAAGTGGTCATAGTATTTATATACATATTCTTTAGTTGCATAGATGGGTCTCATTTAGGACTTCAGAGAGGCAGGACCACAGCATATGAGCATTGGTAGATTATGTACCTGACATAATCATCCCTCAAAATAAGTGTATGTGACTCCAACTCTCAGAGCGCAGTCTCTGAGGAGTTAGTCCTCCGACCAAAGTCAAAACACATTGTCTTGGGCCACAGCATGGAGGTGTCACTGATTTATCCTCACGGTCCCATAAGTGTACGTCGAATGAATTGGAAAATTGATTGAAATGCCAGTTTTATGCTTGATAGAATTTTGCTTTTGACTCCTCTTCTTTGTTCTCATGCCTAATCCATGACAACTCTAATTCAAGATGTTTACTGTCTTCCTATTATTCTCCCCACCTTATTTGCCACTTGGTGTACATGCTCATTATGTCTTTCTTGAATGACTGCAAGGGTCTTCTTTTTAGATTCCAGAGGCTCAGGTTCACTGCTTTCCAGGGTAGCTAACAATTGCTCTTGTTAACTTTCAAATTGATTAAATTATTCAATGTTCAATATTCTTCCTTGCTTCAATGATAAAGTCTACATTTTTTGGATGTTGTTGGCATGCCAACAAGTTTTGGGCTTTGCCCTAACTTTTCCAGTTTTACTTCCTACCACTCTCCTCTAATAATATTCAACATTTATTGTTCTCCTTACATGACCTGTTCTACTTCTATGTTCTTCCATGATCTGACCCATCTGCCTTAAGTATACTCCTTTTGGATTGCCCCCAAAGCTTACACTCATAGTTTTGCTATCTCTTCTCTGAATCTTGCTAGAATTCCCCTGTTAAATTTAGTACTCTTTTTTTTTCAGTGTTCTTGTTACATTTTCAGTATTTAGTAGATCAGTTACTATAATGCATTACTGTTATTTTTCACTTGTCTTTCTTTTTCCTACATTATTAATATTTTCCTCTTTTTATCTGCAGTGCTCAGCACATTGCTTGACAGGTAATAGTCATTTCATAAATATTTTTAAATGAATCTGAATAATCAAACTCAGATATTTCTTCAAAGTAGACAAAGTTTTTAGAGCTTCTCTGATTCAGATTTCTCACATTCTAGAGCAAGTTATAATTTGCTGCTGACCTTTCTTCTTAACTTCTCTCTGCCTGTTGTGCTGTTTCCTTGGAAGTAGTGGGAGGTGAAGAGCCCAGACAGGGACAGAATAGGAATTATAATCCTTTTCAGTAACTGATCTTTAGACAATTTTTCTTCAGAGCATCATTTCAAATTGGATTAGTGACCAGCAATTCAAACTATAAAAATATAAAGGATGTTTTAATACCTTGTTCAGTATTGTCATTATATGGAAGAGACCCTGTGTTTTGGAGAGTACCACTCTGGCCCTCTTCTATCTATATCTATTCCTATAATGTTATGAGTCAGTGGATCTTAGGAGGCACAGCCCCCTGAAGCTCCTTCTCACCCTTTTAAATGCCGCATTATCATGGAGGTATATTTATCGAGGTAGGAGAGAATATATTTTATTTGGCAGTTTGTTACCTTGATTTAAAACTTTAGTTAAACATCAGTATGTGGGCCTCCATTAGCACTCTGCCCCATGCTCTGCAAACATTAACGCCAGGCCTTTCCATAGTCATATCATTCTTTCTTGAGTTAAGGGTAATGTTAGTTGGAGGAGGGAACTCTTAGCGATGGGATACCAGTGAGCTCATCTTCTCATATTTGGAGATGTCTTATATTCACAGCTAACAGACAAAGTGAGAACAATTAAAGAAGGGGTAAGTGATCTGGGTGTCTATAAAAGGCCATTACATTGAGAGGTAATGGATAATACAGTCTGATGACATAGCCAGGGTTTATGCAACTATGCCTGAGGTAAGATTCTTCACTAGCACACTCTGAGATGGGGACATCTATGTAGGTGATTTATTGAAAGTTTGTGCTCATGAGGGACCTATAGGAAAGTGAAAGAAGCAACAATAAAAGAGGAGGGGGAGAAAGTAAAGAAAATATGTGTGGATGTGCGTGCCTGAGTCTCATCCAATAGGGAGATCTGGGAGCATCACAGAATTGTCCCAGCTTGGGTCCACGTGGGTGAATTTTGTACCTTATATTAGTTAATTACTGGCCTTAGGCCTCTTCCTCTCTCCCAAGAGAGGTTGTAACCTCATAGGCATTTCTAGGAAGCTCTTGTCAGTTAAGGACAATTTTCCAGGGAACAGGGTAGCTGAGAGCCCTTCCTTAGCAACCAAACTCAAAGCTGTTGTAGCCTCTACCACAAGGAGAGAAGGACAATAGCCTGAAATTGGCAATGTGGAGCAAGGGGGACACCTACCTTACCTCCATGCATGGTGCCATGAAGGCTGAAAAAGAGAAAATGATTACCACTTTAGTAAGGGGAAGTGAGGTCATCTGGGGAGAACTGACTTTGGTAAGAGTGCTACTTTCAGCAGGGAGGGGAGGGAACATTCAGGGAAAATATGGGTACACTGGAAAATGTTTACTGAAGAACCCCAAGTCCCAGAGGCTAATGAGGACGTGCAAAAGGAAGTCTGAGTCAAAATAGTACAGATGTATATCGAGTGAATGTCTGGGCGATGAGGGGATCGAGGAGGTCTCCAGCTCACTATGGTAGCCAAATCTGACTATTCATTACTTAAAATTTATTTTTACAAACAGAGATGAAAAAAGCAAGAAAAATCCCAGGAAAATGGATCAAAGGCTAATATCTGAAGCTGAACATAGTAATCTACTCAAGATTTTGGAGAAGAACCTGGAAATCCCTCAAGAGTGCACTTACGCTAATCAAAAAGCGATAGACACGGAGGTCAGCTCTTGGAATGAAATACTCCTCTAGGGAATGACTTTACTCATCAGCCATTATTTCTCAGTTATAGACAGTGTTGAATGTATAACTAAATGCAATCTCTAGTAGAATAGAATTCTCTCTGTGTGACCTTCTAGTTACACATAACTCTTTAGGGCTCTGCAGAGCATGTCTAAAAAGGAGAGGAGAGGTTTTAGAGATTATTTCTTTCTTGTTAACAATGAACTCTTGAGAGGGTCTGTCTTTTTATTACTTTTTTTCCATCACAGAAGGGCTTTTTTCACAGCCTGAATTCTAAACTTTAATTCCACATGCCTCATTTGAAGATTTGGGTACATGTGGTTCAATACTCTTTAAATAATGTACAGTGTACACAGAATTTGTCAAAATCAGAAGCTGTCTATATTATAGTTAAAACATTCTACCAAAAGACATTGAAATATATAAGTGCTATGCCATTTTTTCCTTAAAACTTTTTTTAATGCAAACAATTCATGCTTAAGGTAGATGAATTTGAAAATACAAATTAATAACAATAAAAACAATGTCATCAATCAGAAGTAATCACTGCCCTTCTGAATGAACCTTTTATATCTTTTTCATTTATGACCACATACACACACACATGCACACACACACACACACACACACACACACACACACAGTTCTATTGTATACTTTTTTTTTTTGAAAACTTTTTAATAACCATGAATTTACATCATCATTTGAATAGCTCCTCAATATTCCATTGCATGGATGACTATACAACTGAAACATCTTTTGCTTTTGGATACTCAGGGTTTGTTTTTTTTTTTTTTTCTTTCCTTTATCTCCCCCTCATAAACAGTGTTTATCTTTGTACATATAACTCTCTACACAAGCGGATTTCCCCCTTAGGGAATGGTTTTTTAGGCCATTTGTGAATGATTTACAGAGAGAAGTAAGCACTCCCAGACTATATGGGGTAAGAAGCCCGCTCTGCCTTCCTGAAGAAGTCAGTCTCTCTCTCCCTCTCTCTCTCTCTCTCAGTCCGTAGGGAGAACTTGTAAGGCTCATATAGAGAACTGACTTCCCCCCAGGCAAAAGCAGGTCGTACACTCACACCCACTCTGGGGTATTTCATCTACTGTTTTGTCTGTACTATTCACCCCTGAAGTAGGGTCAAACAGTGAGAGACAGTCTGTTCAAAGATTTGGGAATATTTCCTATAGTTACTGTTGCTGCCGTAAAATGTTTTTTTTGCTCATGTACAGTCAATTTCAAGCAGCGGTGTTTCTTTAAAACTACGACAAAGTATGACTGTTACTTCTTTTAAATATTTTTTTCTGATTTAAATTAAACTTAGATAAATGATCAAAATCGCTAATACTCTTATTTCTCTCAGACTTTGCAGATGGTGTTTGATCGAGTAAAATTCGCAAGAAAAGGTGCAGAGCTGAAGGCTTTGGCAGAAAGGGGTATTGGCTACCATCACAGCTCTTTAAGTTTCAAAGAAAAACAGTTAGTTGAGATTCTTTTTAGGAAAGGATTTATTAGGGTAGGTAAATTTTTTCATTTTAAAAATTGAAGCTGTGTCTATATGAAAGTGAATGTTCATGAAAGGGAAAAATAGTAACTTTTTTTCTCATCTAATTATATCCTTTATTTTTTTACAACACATGATATCATTGCATATTCTTCCATCTCATCTAATTGAGGGAGGGGGTTTGAAGTTTATCATTTAGTTTATCTCTTTTTCAAGAATTTAACTCTTCCCCTAAACAGATAACTTTTTCAAATATTTCTTCAATGAAGTGTAACTATTATGATCTTGAAATAACAATCTCTTGATTTTTCATTTATAGTATCTGGGGAATGTTGTCAGCTGTTTGTATAATTTTGGTTACAGATATTCTTTCATGGGCTTAGAGGACACTTATAATAGGTTTTGGTCAAATCTTTTTTCAGTGTAATAGCTGAAGTAAGAATAAGAATGTATCACTTCCTTAGGGCCCACTTCATATTTTGGCAGGTTTTAGATAAGTCACTACTAAATGCTCTCTCTCCCATCACTGAGGGACAAGAGGAAGATTACTTTAAATAGCTTGAAAACCCAACCCTTACTATGTGTTATTTAGTATGTTACATGAGGATGCATGGGGATAGTCTGGATAAATCTATAGGAAGGATTAACATAATTTCTTAGTTTAAATCTTGAGCAGTATTTAAGAATAGCCTCTGAGTTTTTTTAAATTTTCTGTATCAGATTTTTTGTATGATGTATATTATATTTGTGTATGTGAGAGAAAGAAAGCGAGAGAGAGTGCAAAAGCAGGGGGAAGGAGAGGAGAGAATGAGAGGATATTACTCTATGTAGTATTTTTTTTAAAAGACTTTATTTGTTTCAGAGAGAGAGAGAGAGAGAGCGAGCACAGAGGGAGAGACAGTGGGGGCAGCCGACTTCCTGCTGAGCAGAGAGCCTGACGTGGTGCTCAATCCCAGGACCCTGGGATCAGCACCTGAGCCGAAGGCAGCCACTTAACCGACTAAGCCACCCAGGCACCCCTCTAGTTATTGACTTTTAAAATAAATAAGTAGCTTGTTATTAGTTAAGAGAAAAGCTAAGCATTGTTGTTAATAATATATTTTGGTTTTTATCCAGGTTAAAAAATTACCTTTTAACTTTCCTCAACATTTTGCCTTCAGCTCAGGTCCTGATCCCAGGATCCTGGAATTGAGCCCTGAGTCGGGCTCCCTGCTTGGCAGGGAGTCTGCTTCTCCCTCTCCTTCTGCCCCTCCTCCCTGCTTGAACTCTCTCTCTCTCTCTCAAATAAATAAATTTAATCTTTAAACAAAAAGGTCAATAACTAGAGACAAAATTTTCTACATGCTTACAAATTGAGGAAAAGAGGCACATGTATTTTGATTGGCATATCTTATGTCTAAAATAGTATATGCTAAGTAGTATTGCCTTAATTACTATTAGTTTAATGAATGAATAATTAGATCACTCTAGAAAGGCAATATGGAAATAGTGATAGCTTTGTCATAGAAAACACATTTTTTAAAAAAGGTATTTATTCTACTTATAATATAAATTTAATGTTCTTACTTTTCCATTTTTGTTTTTATTAAAGAACTTTAGAAAAATAGTTAATAAATCATGTGTTTCATTTTCACAAATGTAGACCTCAGTTATAGAATAATTAGAGAAAATTATTCCATATACTTAAATATTACCTTTAAGACATGGAATACATGACAATGTAAAGAGAAAGAGAGGACCAATAGAAATACCCAAAATTATATGAGAAAATGAGCAAAAGTTGGAACATTGAAGAAACTTAAAGTTTTCCCTGCTCCTTTTTGGTCAGTTGTCAAGGCAATTGAGGGGGGCGGGGATGAAACTGTGTTTTTTGCCCTTATTACAACATATGTTATCTCCATTGAAATAACCTTCACAAATAAGCTGGAGTGGATGAAGTGGGCAGTATCCCAGAAGGGGGTTTGTAAAAGTATTATTACCCTGCCATGAGGAAATTCCCTTTTTTAGTCATTCATTAAGAAATAGTTACTGAACACCTGTCATGTGCCAGGTACTCTTGTCAGTGTGGAGGAACAATAGCAAGTAGGCCATCTCTGGCTTTCCCACTGGGGTTCAATTGAATAGCAGAGAGTTTCAGTAAGTACATGGCATTCTACTGAAATACTATTTCATGAAGAATTGTTTTATTCTCTTTCTAGGTGGTGACAGCTACTGGGACACTTGCTTTGGGAATCAACATGCCTTGCAAATCTGTGGTTTTTGCTCAAAACTCGATCTATCTGGATGCTTTAAATTACAGACAGGTATTGCAATATGCATACACTCACTATTGCCTTATGAAAATATGGCCATAAAATGGTAAAAAATGTGAGCTGTTAGTTTAAGAACATATTGCAATTCATGTGCTAGCACACCCTAACATTCATTCATGCCTGACTGGTTTAGCTGTGGTATAGTGGTAGGCACATGAGTGTAGAATTATGTGGCCATCATTGACCAGATATGTGACTTTGGGTGAGATAGATCTTAACCGCCTGGCCCTTTTCTTCCTGTCTCCAGAATAAGGGTGATAATTACTACCCCACAGCATTTGCAAGAATTAAATGAAGTTATTTGTAAGAAAGATACATATCAAAGGTGCTAGATAAACATTTACTCATTCATTTCCTGTGCACGTGTTTTTGCACTCTGGAGTTAATACTTCTCTCTTCTTTGCTCCCAATACATAGCCTATTACCAAGCCCACTTCGTTATTCTCCTACATGTATTTGATTTTTGCCTTGCAATTTCTGTCTTCACTATCTCTCATCATACATTCTTGGCCTTGTATTATTAAAACAGTTCTCTTGATTTTCAATTCTCCTTACTCTTCTATGTCCCATACACAGTTTAGTTTGTCTTCATATGGCTTCCCTGCTCAAGAATAATTTATTTTTTTTTAAAGATTTTATTTATTTGACAGAGAGAGAGATCACAATTAGGCAGAGAGGCAGGCAGAGAGAGGAGGGGGGAAGCAGGCTCCCTGCTGAGCAGAGAGCCTGATGCAGGGCTCAATCCCAGGACTCTGAGATCATGACCTGAGCTAAAGGCAGAGGCTTAAACCACTAAGCCACCCAGGCACCCCAATTTTTTTATTATATTTTTATTATGTTCTGTTAGTCACCATACAGTACATCGTTAGTTTTTGATGTAGTGTTCCAAGATTCATTGTTTATGCACCACACCCAGTACTCCATGCAATATGTGCCCTCCACAATACCCACCACCAGGCTCACCCAACCCCCCAATCCCCTCCCCTCTAAAACTCTCAGTTTGTTTCTTGGAGTCCATAGTCTCTTATGGTTCATCTCCACTCAGATTTTGCCTTTCCTTCTCCTAATGTCCTCCATGCTATTCCTTATGTTCCACAAATAAGTGAAACCATATGATTATTGACTTTCTCTGCTTGCCTTATTTCACTTAGAATATTTGATGACTATTTCTGCTAGCAGGATTATTTTTTAAGGTATGGGCCAACATTCAAGTTTTTATCAAAATGCCCTCCTCCTTTTCTCTCTAAACACTTCTTATTCTTTTTTTTTTTTTTTTTAAAACATTTTATTTATTTATTTGAGAGAGAGAGAGAGACAGTGAGAGAGAGCATGAGCGAGGAGAAGGTCAGAGAGAGAAGCAGACTCCCCGTGGAGCTGGGAGCCCGATGCGGGACTCGATCCCAGAACTCCAGGATCATGACCTGAGCCGAAGGCAGTCGCTTAACCAACTGAGCCACCCAGGTGCCCAACACTTCTTATTCTTATAGGCTTTGTTCCTATCCAATATAACACCCCTCTTATTTCTCACTACTTTACTAACCCCTGTCTTTCTGATCTCTCCTCCTGGGGCTGTGTTCTGCATGAGCTCTCCTCTCCTATATCATCTTTGGGAGTGACATAGCGTTTTCCACTATGTGTTATGATGTTTCAGATGATAGACTTGGGAGTCAAAATGCCAGGGTGTGAGTTGGATCTTCCACTTTCTGGGGTTTGACTACAGACAAGTTTCTTCTATCCCTCATGCCCCTATTTCTACTTTGTAAAATGGAGATAATGATTATATTTACCTCATATGGTTGTTGTTGTGAGGTCTATATAAAAACAGTTCAAAGGATTTAGCACTTTCTAAGCACTTAATATATGAAAACTAATACCGCTTCTCTAAAGAGTTTGTTTTCTACAAGTAGAATTTCAGAATTTTATCTTACTCATGTATTCCTCAATTTGTGCACAATTTTTATGGTGACTTGTGATGCAACACACTGGTGTGTAAGAAAGGAACAAGGGAGAGAAAGTGGGAAAGGAGAGAACTGGTGTAATTACTTCAGCTGTAAGTGAATTTGAAATTAGGGTCTAGTCTTCTTGTTGTGCTCTGTTCCATCTGTATATCATGATATAAATATATAACATAATTTTTGGCATGAAATAATTACATAATAATGATAAATTTCTCATTCTCAGCTCTGTCTTAGCCATGGTAAATTTCCCAAGTGCTACACAGTTGGATTTTAAGTTCTGTTTATATGATGGTTGGACATATATACAATGTACTTGTTCCAACCCTATGTAAAAGGCTCAATTCTTATACTGTGATGGAGAAAGTATCTAGGGAAGTTTTACTTTGTGATTCTCTTCTGTTTCCAGATGTCTGGACGTGCTGGAAGACGAGGTCAAGACCTGCTGGGAGATGTATATTTTTTTGATATTCCATTGCCCAAAATAGAAAAACTCATTAAATCCAATGTTCCTGAACTGAGAGGACAGTTCCCTCTTGGCATTACCCTGGTCCTGCGACTCATGCTGCTGGCTTCCAAGGGAGACGACCCAGAGGATGCTAAAGCAAAGGTACTGAGCTTGACATTTTCTGAGGTGAAGTCTTCACTGCTGGCTTGGCTGTGGTTAGGTTTGCTCTTTCTTAGAAGTCTGTAGCAATAACTTGTAAGTTTCATGGGTTTTTATGCTTTGCAATGTCTTGCATAGTATAGGGTTGGGGCAGAGTGGGAGAATAATAATTAGTTTTGTTTGTCTCCTCTATTAATCATAGAATTTGTGTTAGTTGGGCATTTGGAATTAAAGATTACTTTTTTCATGTGTGATTGGTATTGTCTATAGTAGTTAAGGGTGCTGGCTATTGATTATATTTTATTTTTTAAATATTTTATTTATTTACTCGGAGAGAAAGAGGCAGAGAGCATGAGTGGGAGAAGGGGCAGAGGGAGAGGGAGACGGTCTTAAGCAGACTCCCTGATGAGCACAGAGCACGATGTGGGGCTCGATCTCATGACCCTGATATCATGACCTGAGCTGAAATCAAGAGTCAGATGTTCAACCCACTGAACCACCTTGGCACCCCTGGCTATAGATTTTAAAAGATCTGGGTTAGATTCTGTTTTCAAAAGGAACACAAATTTCTTGTGATCAATTCATAATAATAGAGTTTATTTTTTGTAAAAAAACACAGTAACCCAAATTCATGAAAGAATATTTAATTAATGCACAAGGTTGAAAGAAAGCAAAATCATACTAGGTCTCATCATCCGAAGACAGTCATGTTATCTTTTGCCATAGGGGTACCTTTGGTTTTCAAACACTGATATATTTGATTAGACATTGATTGATATGACTATAAACTTTTCCTGAAGCTTTTCCTGAGATAAATATTTTGTGTCTAATCTCACAATGAAAGATTTAAAATTCATAATGAAACAATTTGGTTTTCATCCTTATGAAGATACATTGTTTTTGTATATTGATTAATATGTCCAATTAAACCAGATACTGTTTGTTGATGTGAGGAGTCTTTCAGGACTTCCTTGATGAGTTGGCTCTTATGTTGCTGATGTCTTACAGACAGGCACATATCATTTTAGACCAAAACTTCCCCATTTCTGCATTCTTTTTTTTTTTTTTAAAGATTTTATTTATTTATTTGTCAGAGAGAGATCATAAGTAGGCAGAGAGTCAGGCAGAGAGAGGGGGGGGGGAAGCAGGCTCCCCGCCGAGCAGAGAGTCTGATGCGGGGCTCAATCTCAGGACCCTGAGATCATGACCCGAGCTGAAGGCAGAGGCTTAACCCACTGAGCCACCCAGGCGCCCCCCCCCCCATTTCTGCATTCTTAATTTTTGCTTCTGTGTAGGAGAGAAGAATACATCTTTTAGCAAGCTTTCAAAGATTTTTAAAGAAAGTTTATTAGAGTGGTTTATTTTCTTTGCCTTGGCGTGTTTGAGAAAATCTGTCTGTAATCTTCACACATGAAAGTCTCAAATATGGACATAAAATTTTTAGAATATTCCCTTTACTCTTCACATCAAAGTAAGAGAGTTTCATTTCCTCTGGCATATACTGTTACAGTGGAGTAGACTCTTTTAGTATCCCCTAGTAGAGCCATGTAATTCCAATTTTCTTGTAGTTGATTTTTTTCTGCCTATTTATTTATATGAATTTTTTAAAAAATCCTTATATTTCAAATTCTTTTCCCCAGGATTTTCTGTTTTGAGGGTCATTTTTTAAATTGACCTTTTAGTTATATGCTAAGAATTTTTAATCTTTATGTTTACATAAAGCATGCTCATAGGAAGCTTCAGGTTCAGTTTTTAAAATTGTGGTAAAACAAAAATAACATAAAATTTATGTTACATACATTTGCATTGGACAATGCTCAAGTAGTTTTAGAACTAAGAAGAGATATCTTAAATTAGATATTTGCTATTTGCTTCTATTTTAATTTGTTCAGTTTCTTATCAGGAAGGGTTATATTTTTAAATCAAAAATTCTTTTTCTGTATTCCATTGCTATGTTTTTCTTAATTATAAGAGAACCTGTGAAGTTTATCTTTCACATTGCTGAAGCTGCTGTCCAGAGTTTGTTCTGCTCTTTAGTAATACACATGTGGATTTTAAGTCTGCTACTGGAATTTTAATTTTCCTGAAATTCTTCACTATTTCTTATATCACTCTTTTACATATTAATAAAGTATTTTTTAGTGTCAATTTTTAATTGTCCATTTACCTTATGCTGTTTTGCCTTGTCTTGTAGAGGACATATCTTATGGCATCCATTAAGGATGCCAAATAATTTTTCAAAAAACTTTTTTGCTGCTTAAAAAAAGCAATTTTTACAGGTCAGCTTTCCCCCAGCCCTTTTTTCTTCTTTCTTTCTTACCTTCCTTCTTTTTTTTTTTTTAAGAGTAAGAGTCAGTGTTCTTATGATGGTTCTGCAGAAACTGATCCCTCATCATCTTGTTGAACTAACCTCTTCCTGATTTCCCACACGAGCCTAGTACCTGCTCCATGGACTCCACATTACAGTCTGAGGACCATGGCTTTGCTGTTTCTTTTGCTTGTAATATCTTCTCTCGGATATGTGCATAACCTCACTCCTTTACCTCATTCAAGTTTTTTCTCTAATATTACTCTCAGTGAAGCCTACTGTCATTGCTCTTCCTAAATTTGTAAATGTATCTCCTGTCTGTTGCACCATGATCTGTATTCATTTATACATAACATGTATCACTCCTTACATAGCATCAAATATCTATCATCTATCTATCTATCTATCTATCTATCTATCTATCTATCTATCTATCATCTATCATGTTTTTATTTATTTTCTCTATATTTTTCACTGGAATACAAGCACTCTGTGGCCAAAGATGCTTGTCTTAGTCCCTGGTACAGACATTTAATAAATACTTTTAGTATATTTTAGTATCTTAGCAGGGTGATCAGTTTTCTTATAAAGAGTTGATCTCTTGTGGGTTTTTCTATTTTCTCACTTGGATATAGGTACATTTGTTTAAGTCGGATGGGCTGCCAAAAAATAGGATATATGATTTCACTCTGGCTTCTCTCTGGCCATCTAAGTGCTATTCAAATACCCTATTAAATGTGAGGGTAGCTGAATAGCTTTTGGCTCAAACGTTAGTGTTTGGTAGATTTTAAACTTACGTAGCTTTTCTGGACTGAAAGTTCCTTGATCTACTCTTGCCAGTCTCACTGCTGCATTTATCATATGGATGCCACCCATCACTACAAACTGTGGTATACATTTCTGTCAGGGGCCTTACTTTCTTAGTACGACTTTAGTTATGTGTCTAGATCTCTAAGATTACAGTGAATCACCATGAGTTGCTCACTCTCCTACTACTCCTCTGTTTTCTTGCTGTTGCCGTCTATGGCTAAATGCAAAGCAACAGAGAGAGGAAGTAGGAAAGGGCATTTGGGAAACTCTCAAAAAGACATCCTAAAATAAAAGTGATGTGCATTATATCCCCCTTCCTATCTCCCTTCTTTCTCTCATCTGTATCCTCCCAGCTTCCTTTCACATAGTCCACTGCACTTACAGTGAGGACAGACTCTTCCTAGGCTCTATAAACTCTCAGGCCTAATGGTAGCCAGGCTTAAATTTGGTGATGTCAGGAAATTTTCCTTTTATTGGAACCTCATAGATGTTTTAGTGGGCAGCTCAAAGTTATCTGAACTGCTACCTCAGGGCTGTTTTACACCAGAAACAAAACAATATTTTTAATATTTTTGTTTTAATCAACCTATTCTATTTTTTTAAAGATTTTACTTATTTATTTGACAGAGAGAGAGAGAGAGATCACAAGTAGGCAGAAAGACAGGCAGAGAGAGAGGGGGAAGCAGGCTCCCTGCTGAGCAGAGATCGATCCCAGGACCCTGAAATCATGACCTGAGCCAAAGGCAGAGGCTTAAACCACTGAGCCACCCAGGCACCCCTATTCTATTATTTTTGCCACAACACTGAAGTGAATATAATAGGAAATCTCGTTTTCCACCAGAATGAGCCAAGAGCTGTAAGCTCGTAAACGGGGTTCACATTTATTATCAGGTCTTTTGGCAATATTTCATTTCTGATGATTCTGTTTTATATGTTCTATTTGTTAAAGGAAGGATGTGCCATGTAAGAAGATGATAAAGCAAATAATGTGAAATTTAACTGAATCTTATATATTGCAGGAATCTGTGTGATATAATAGATATGGGTAATATCTATCCTATTGTTATATATTCTTTTATGTGATAGGTGCAGTGTCAAGAGGAGACAGAGGTAAGGCTCAGGAGAATAAAGCATAAGCCTCAGAGACAGGAGTTAGGGCACACTATGTGGGACTATATATGAAAGATACCAAGCTGGTCAGGAGGCGAGAGATAGGAGCAGCATGAAAATTTAGGTGACTGCCTTTGTAAGTTTCTGTGGAAAAGGCAAGATGGCAGAATAAGCAGTTTAGGACTGGCTAGTTTGAATAATTCTGCTGGGTTTTGGGCTGAGCAGGTGACCTCTTGTCACCTTGTACCTGCCTCTAGGATGATTTAGGACACCAGAAGTATTGGCTAGATGTGTGAGAATTAGGGAAGGAAGTAGTTAGGGGTATAAACTTAGGTTTGGTTGGTTTGTATATGATAGGCATACTTTTAGGCAAGTTGTTATCTTTAGGAGTCAGCTAGCCCAGGAAGGGACAGTCTCTCCCCGACCAGAAAGATTTTTTTGTTTGTTTCTTTTTTCAGAAAGGTTTTTTAAGATGTCAAAACATCATTAGAAAAAATTTTAAATTACCATATATCTGTATCATTATTTACAAATATATTTCATAAAACTAACATGTTGTGAATTAACATATTCTTTTTTAAAGGTGCTGTCAGTGCTAAAGCATTCATTGCTGTCCTTCAAAAAACCCAGAGTCATGGAGATGTTAAAACTTTATTTCTTGTTTTCTTTGCAATTCCTTGTGAAACAGGTATGATTGCTTTTTGCCTTTTTGTGAAATAGGAATGGTGCTATCTTTACTTTTTATCCTGCTGAATTGTGGTCTTTAGAAGATTATATCCAATGACTAATATTTCTTTACTTAATATAATTATCACACTTGGCCCAGGTAATGATTATTAATCTCTCTTATATTGGCATTAAATACTGTTTTAAACTAGCACTTAATGTTAGTTATTAATTAATGGATGTGGTGCATTGAGTCAAACTAATAAATTGTTTTTGTTCTTTAGGGCTATTTAGATCAAGAAGGTAAACCAATGGGGTTTGCTGGACTTGTATCACATTTGCATTATCATGAGCCTTCTAATCTTGTTTTTGTCAGTTTCCTTGTAAAAGGCCTTTTCCACAATCTCTGTCAGCCAACTAGGAAAGGTAAGCTTGATGTTTGTGTGTATAATCTTGAAATAGTAACAGAGACCATAGTGAAGCTAGCACTTCAGGAAAATTTTTTCTACATAGAAAACACAAGTTAATATTTAGATAATTTAGAGATACAAAATTAGATAAAGTTTTGTATACCTACTAATATAGATCATATGGGAGATAGCCATATTTTGTGACACCTATTTTAAAATGTCAGTTTCTTATAAACTTTAGTGATTTCTGGACTCCAAGACTCAGAACAAATTAAATAATATGTGATTTTTAAATAAATATTTTTCCTAATTAAAATGTAATATGTGCTCATCATAGAAAAGGGATATAGGCAGGCATTATGTTAAATATAATATTCACAATTAATATTTATGAATATTCTCTTCCAATTATATTCTCATAGAATATAACTGTCTATTTAAATAACAGATGTATTAATTGTACAATCTAGAATCTTATGTTCCTTGAAATATAGTTATGCCAGTATCATATAAATTTTTTGTGAATTCCATTTTTATGCCCACCTAATATTCCATTTAATACATTTTTTTAAAAAAAATTAAAAACATTTTATTTCTATAATTAAGGCCTAGACCCTTAAACAGTGTCCCTAAAAGACATGTTTTCTTTTTGGTGCTTAAATTTATTACATTTCCTAATGCTTTGCAAATGCAATGCCTTTCATAGCATTGCTTTATTTCTGTCTTAAATGGATAGCAAAATTTTACTTTGTGCAATAATCCAGTTCATTATGCTCTGAACATGCATTGTTCCGTGAAACAAGTTTATTCAGGGAATTCTGTCCCTGCAAAAGCTCTGTAAGAGAAGAAATAATTTCCTGCAACAGGAAGTACAGTTGTGTTCATTGCTGTATGGGTATGGGTGGGGTGGGAGGGTGTATGCTATTATAATCATGGAGTTAGAAAATGTGATAACTTTATGAGGCATATGATATGGCTATCACTCTTTTGTAAGTAAGGAAACGGATAAAGAGAAGTTAAATAAATTACCACGATCACACAATTTTAGATAAGTGCCAGAGCCAAGATTCAAATATAAGTAGTCTGACTCTAGACCCCAACTTATTAAAGGTAGAACCTTTTTAATCACTGCAGTATAATGCTCATGTGTTATGAAGGATAGAAAGTAAGTCAAGTTGATTGTACCTTAATATGAGTGGCAATAAGGTAAAGAAGGAAGATAAGGCTGGGAGGTTATTTGTAAACTGAATTTTAGAAAGCCTTAAATGCTAAGCTAAGGAGATTGGATTTTGTTTATGAGGCATTGACATGCAAACAGGGATTTTTGAATGGGTGAGAGACAGGATCATAAAATGCTTTAGGAAAATTGATCATGGCCTGAAGTTAAGGGAGGGGGATGGGTAGAATCCAGGTAAGGAGATGAGGCAATTTGTGGTTGGAATGATTTTGGTACAAACTAGTGTGGGGGTAGCAAGAATGAAAAAGAAGGCACAGATGTAAACTGTCAGCAAATATAGTCATTCCTTGGTTGCTATATTTGTTACATTATTTTTAGTTTTCATGAAATGAAATGCAGTATAATATCCAATTTAAATGTTAAAAATGGTATTGGCACTTTTTTTTTTTTACCTTTATAACAAGACGCTTTGTATTGTATAGATTCAAAACATTTTTCTCAAGATGTTATGGAAAAGCTAGTGTTAGTATTGGCAAATCTGTTTGGAAGAAGACTTCTTCCAGCAAAGTTCCAGGATACTACTGTCAAGTTTTATCAATCAAAGGTAAAATTTATGCTTCTGGTAACATTAAATAATTAATGTAATTAAGTAGTTCCTACCATAAATGATTCAGCAGCAGTAGGATTTTATCAATATAAGGTTCATTTGTTTTATAGAATAATAGTTTGTTCTTTCTGTAATCGCTGTTATATTTAACCTCTAATTCATAAGCCTCTCCATATCAATATATCAAAAGACTAAATTTCTTGAGAAAAAGTAAGGTAAAAAATTTTGCCCGTGTTTTCCATTTGATTTTATGACTCTGTCAAATTATAGCATTCAGTGGCTAAAGAAATAAATGTAGATAATTACACAGTAAATGAACAAATTGTTCCTATCATTGAATCTGTAGTTCCCTTAGGGTCTTTTTACCTTGGGAGGTAGGGCTACAAGCAAGAAGTGTATGTTGTGAACTCTAATGTCCTCAATGAAAAAACATTAGAACAGTCATTAAAGAAATAATTCCTTGACTCATGTAGAAAAAAAGCAGGAAAACTCTTTTCCAATTTTATTTGCAACATATTCTTTGATCAGGATTTGCTATTATTAAATCAACATCAAATACTGTTACTAATATACCCCACTGGAATCTGAGAAAGTGGGATAAGTGGGTTATACTAAATAACCTTAGTAAAAGGTGACAAGGAACAAAAAGAGATGAGTTAATCTATATTGTCTAACTCCACAATGTCAAATTACAAATCTTAGCCCTCACAGAATGTTCTCTTGACCAGTGAACATAACTTTAGTCATTGACCTATCATCTTCACATTTTTTTTATCACATGTACACTCTTCAAGTATTATTTGTTTTGTTTAAACAATTTATATTTAACTTAAGAATTCAGTATCTAAATTCTCACAAAGAAAGACATCATAAAGATATACACTAAAGGAAGGTTTTGCATGGAGACCTCCTGTCTTTCTCACTGTCTGCCAGTCTCTTTCTTTTTCTCTTTTTTAAAGGTTATTGGAAATTTGTGCACTTTCAGGTAGGATATAGTAGATGGTTATCACTTGTGGTGCAACAGAGAGCTGTGGAAACAATGATTTGACTGTCTAAAATTGTAAAATGGCAAAAACTTACTAATGATATAATGGGAATCTTTAATCATGGCTTTCTACCAAAGTATTTGTTGATTCTGAACATGGTGTGAAAATATTACTTAGCATATACAGAGAGCTGCTTCTGAGATTAAAACAATTATTAAAGCTTTTAGTGACCACATGAGGCTAGAGTGACAGAAACGTGGGAGACATAGTGTTTCTATGAGTTTATTGAGAATGTTTACTGAGTACCAGGTCTGCATGAAATGCTGGATTACTACACCAAATTTTTGCAATCTTGTGGCATTTATTAAGTAAAAACCCACTATGCACTTATTCATAGGCTTGTATGCCCCTCAAGACATTTTTGAAGGCTTTTACAACTGGAAGATGTGGAAGGTTAGGAAGCTCTGTAGGAAAGAGGTAGATCTTTGGCAGTCTTTTAGGACTGAGAAAAAAATCCCACCAGCCTCATACTCAAAGTCCCAAGAGAATCATGACTCAAGAACAGAGTTAAGTCAGGTATAGATGGAAACTTAATAAAACTGGAAAACTATACCAGCAATACCAGCAATACCAGCAATACCACTTTAATCTCTATTTGGACTGAAGTGATCACATCTTCAATCATATAACCAGGCACAAAAATGGGAAAACTCACTCTGGTGGAAGATAATATCATTTGAAGCCCATTAGGTACTTTTGTAAACAATTTATGGTGGAAAAAAATCCCAGAACTAAAAAAGTGAATAAGCAAGAATATATGACCAATTGGCAGAAAGAAATTCAGGCAATAGTAGTAGACACACCGATGATTCAGATATTAGAGTTAAGAGACAAAGAATTTAAGTATGATTAATATGTTCAAGAAAATAGGAAAAATGATAGATAAATAGGAGAAGTGTTAGAAAATAGGAGATAGTGATAGATAGAAAAAATTCATGGAAGGTTAGAGAATTTCACCCAATAATTAGAATTTTACCACATAATTAAATGGAAATGTCAGAATTGAAAAATATAATATCTGATCAGAATATACCTATCAGAAGTCAGAATCAATGAGCTGACAGCTCAACAGAAAGTACCCAAACTGTACCACAGAGAGAAAAAAATTGAAGGCAGATAGCATAAGAGAAATATGGATTACAGTCAAAAGGTTTAATGTTATGTAATGGGAGTCTATTAAGAAAAGAAGGGAAGAAAATGGCAGAAGAGTATTCACAACTCTTCTAGTTGGGAATTTCTAAAGCTGATAAAAGGCAGCACTCCATAGTTCCAAAAGCTTATTAGTTAACTTAAAGAAGGATAAATATAAATGTTAAACTAAAACTACTGAAAGTCAAAAACAAAGAGAAAATCATAAACCAGCTAGAGCTGAAACAGGCATTTCCTTGAAAAAAGCAATGATATTGATAGCTGACTTTTTAACCAAAATAATTGAAGCTAGAAGAAAATGTTCAAAAATTTCATCCTACTCTATTTTCATACATAAATATGTATGTATATTTTGCATGTTTTAAACATAATTTAAAATAGGCTAAATATATTGTAATTGATTTAATAATACATCAGGAAGGTATGCATAAATCTACTTTTTAACTTTATTATTACTGAGGTATAACTGATATATAAGGAATTGCACACATTTAATATTTATGTCTTAATGAGTTTGGACATGTGCATATATCCATGATATCATCACTACAACCCAGGTATGACATATATTCATTATATCCCATATTCCTTGTGTGTAGGGTGGCTTTCTTTCTTTCTTTCTTTCTTTTTTTTTTGGGTAGGAGCACTTAACATGAGATTTATCCTCTTCATGTATTTTAAACTTAACAATATTGTATTGTTAACTATAGGTACTCTGTTGTACAGTAGATCTCTAGAATTTATTTATCTTGCATAACAGAAACTTTATATCCAATGAAAAACAATTCCACCTTTCTTCCTCCACCCAGGCCCTGGGAGTCACCATTCTAGTCTCTGCATCTATGAGTTTAACCATTTATGATATAAGTGGAATATAAATAGAATTTATAAGATATAAATTCCGTCATATGAAATCATGAATTACTTGTCCTTCTGTGACTGGCTTATTTTACTTAGCATAATATCCTCTAGGTTCATCCATGTTTTTGCTAATGGAAAGATTTCCTTCCTTTTAAATGTAGTATAATATTCTGTTGTTTGTATATACCACATTACCATATCCATTCATCTCTTGATGGACATTTGGGTTGTTTCCCTATCTAGCTTATTGTGAATAGTTTTGAAGTGAACAAGGGGGTACAGATATCTCTTCAAGATCCTTATTTCAATTCTTTTGATATATACATGACAATGGGATTGCTGGATCATATGGTAGTTCTATTTTTAATTTTTTGAGGAAAACTCTAAATGTTCTCCATAGTGGCTGCATCAGTGTACATTTTTACCAAGAGTGTACAGGGATTCTAATTTTTCTGTATTTTTCTCAACACTTACCTTTTTGATTTTTTGATAATATCCATACTAACAGGTAGGAAACAATATCTAATGTGGGCTTCATCTGCATTTCCCTAATGATTAGTGCAGTTGAGCAACTTTTAATACACGTAGTGGTCATTTGCATGACTTCTTTGGAAAAATGTCTAATCAAGTCCTTTGCCCATTTTTTTTTTTGATTTTTTTGCTATAGAGTTGTAGAAGATTTATATATATATTTGGATATTATCCCCTTACCAGGTAGTTGACTTAGAAATATTTTCTCCCATTCTGGAAATGCCTTTTCACTTTATTATTTCCTTTGCTATGCATAATGTTTTAGTTTGATTTAGTCCTACTTATTTATTTTCATTTTTGTTGCCTGTGCTTCTGGTGTCATATAAAAAAAAAATTGTTTCCTTAGTCCTACTTATTTATTTTCATTTTTGTTGCCTGTGCTTCTAGTGTCATATAAAAAATCATTTCTAAGACCAATGTCCTTATATTTTCTTCTATGAATTTTATAGTTTCAGGTCTTACATTTAATTCTTTAATGCATTTGAGTTTGTTTTTATGTACAGTGTATGGTAAGGGTCAATTTCATTCTTTTACATGTGTTTATCAAATTTTGCCAACACCATTTGTTGAAGAGATCATCCTTTTCCCATTGTATGTTCTTGACATCCTTGTCAAAGATCTTATATATATATAAGTACCATATATACTTGGATTTATTTCTGGACTCTATTTTGTTCCATTAGTCTATATGTCTTTCACGATACTAATACAATACTGTTTTAATTACTGTACCCTTATAATGTGTTCTAAAATTACAAAATGTAATGCCTCTGGCTTTATTTCCCCCCCCCCAAGATTATTTTGATGATTCAGGGTATTTTGTGATTCCATATGAATTCTGGGATTGATTTTTGTTTCAGTAAAAAATGCCATGAGATTTTGATAGGAATTGCAATGAACCTATAGATCACTTTGGATATTTTTGATATCTTATTAGTAATTATTATTTTAATCTATGAACATGGCATTCCTTTGCATTATTTGTGTCTGCTGTAATTTTGTTCATGAATGTTTTTTCTTTTTTTAACTTTAACCTGGACTATCACTTTATTTATTTATTTATTTTGGATGTTTATTTAAAATTTTATTTCTTTTCCTTTTTAAGGTTATGCTAGTCACCATACAGTACATCATTAGTTTTTGATGTAGTGTTCCTTGATTAATTGTTTGCATATAATACCCAGCGCTCCATGCAATACATGCCCTCCTTAATACTCATCACTGGGCTCACCCAACCCCCCCCCCCCAAAACTCTCAGTTTGATTCCTGGAGTCCATAGTCTGTCATGGTTCCTCTCTCCCTCTCATTTCCCACCCTTCATTTTCCCCTCCCTTCTCCTAATGTCCTCTATGCTATGAGTGTTTTATACTTTTTAGTGAAGAGATCTTTCACCTCCTTGGTTAAGTTTAT